GTGAAAGCTAACGTACGAAACCAGAGGGCAGCACAGGATGCGATCGCACGATCCCTTCCGTGAGCAATCTCCCAACTCATCTCTGAGCTCTATGGTCCACCGCGCACTTCTTTATCATCCGAGAAGAGTTAGGGGATTGCTTACGTGCAAGATTGCGCGATCGGAGTCCAGTACTCCCCCTTGGTGTAGAATACAGGCAGCAGGTGCAGTCGCTTACTGCGATATAGAGCGGATTGCATTTTTTCTTTATCTTACACAATACTAACATTTCTATATGCGTAATATGCGATTATCTCATTAAAAATACTACCTTGCAGCTAGTTCGCGGATCGTGTGTCATCCCCTAAGGATGCCCTAAGGATGGCACACGATCCCCCCAGTACCACCACGTGGAGGCCGCTGCGCTTGGGACCCGCCAAAGCATAGGGACCTGGTTCCATCGACTTCTCAGCGAGCTGAGAAACCGACAGAAGCAGGATTCTAAAACCCACACGCCGTAAGAAATCTCCCAACTCATCTCTGTGGGATAAGGTACGTGTCCATACTAAGCGGGGAAATATTTGGTTAGAGGGTGAGTGGTGGTGATATGATGGTAAGGAATGATATGTGGTTAGAGTGACTACCAATAAAATCTAGGACGTGGGCACTGTTAGCAGAGATGAGCTGGGAGATATTCAGAGTGGTTTCGAGCGTTTTTCAACCGTTTTCGAGCGTTTTTCGAGTGTTTTGGAGCGTTTTCGATCATTTTTCGAGCGTTGTCGAGCGTTATCGATCGTTTTCACGCGTTTTTCAAGTGTTTCTGAGTCTTATCGAAAGCCGTACAGTGCCGTCGGGTGTTACTAAGTGCAGTAGAGTGCCGAAGAGTTGCCGCAGCGTGTCGGAGAGTGTCGGAGAGTGCCGCAGGGTGCCGAAGAGTGCCGGAGGGTGCCGGAGAGTTGCCGAAGAGTTGCCGCAGAGTGCCGCAGAGTGCCGGAGAGTGCCGTAGAGAGCCGCAGACTGCCCAAGAGAGCCGGAGAGTTGACCCAGAGTGCCATAGAGTGCCGGAGAGAGCTAGAGAGTCGCCGCAGGGTGCCGAAGAGTGCCGGAGGGTGCCGGAGAGTTGCCGAAGAGTTGCCGCAGAGTGCCGGAGAGTGCCGGAGAGTTGCCGGAGAGTTGCCGGAGAATGCAGTCTCCGTCACTCTACGGCACTCTACGGCACTCTCCGGCAACTTTCCGGCACTCTACGGCAACTCTGAGGCCCTCTCCGGCACTCTCCGGCACTCTACTGCATTCTCCGGCACTCTCCGGCACTCTCCGGCACGCTACGGCACTCTCCGGCACGCTACAGCAACTCTCCGGCACTCTCCGGCACTCTCCTGAACTCTGCGACACTCTGCGGCACTCTGCGGCAACTCTCCGGCACTCTACTGCACTTAACAACACGCAACCGCACTGTACGGCCTTCGATATGGCTCGAAAACACTTGAAAAACGCGCGAAAACGATCGATAACGCTCGGAAACGCTGGAAACCGCTCTCAAAATGATCGTGAAACGTTCGAAATCTCGCGTGCGTGCGTGCGTGCGTGCGGGAGCCGCCAACGGCGACTGGTAGATGGTACCGCCACCGCGAGTGCGCGAGCTACTATCAGAAATTCGTTGCGCCGCTCTTGGGGGCAAAAAACGGTGAAAGCTAACGTACGAAACCAGAGGGCAGCACAGGAATCGATCACACGATCCTGCCCGTGAGCAATCTCCCAACTCATGTCTGAACGCATCTCTGGTTATTATTGTTATTCTCTGGTCTGCTCTGGACGTAGAATCGACCACTGTCGACCACATAGAATTTGATTAAAGGTTATTGTTTAGTTTTCGGAAATGTATAAACAAAAAACCAGATTCGAGTGAACCTGGTTGACAGAAGTTTATGAACGGCGAATCACGAATTTATAATCCCTTCCGATTTGGGAGAGGTATCCATTTACATTATTATTACCAAGAAATTGATGAATGTCCGACAGTGATTACGATTCGGCGAACGAGTACACGAGCCTGATGGACGGTTATGTAGCGGAAGCGAATTTGGACAGGACAGGCTTTGCAGCGGGTCAGCGTCGTTACAAAAGACATAACCGAGATGAGGTGCTCCTTCTACTTTTAAACCTCTGTCTGCAAATTATGTAGCTAACCTGTTTCTCTTTTTCCAGGCGCAAAATGACTTGCCAGAGGTATGTGTCGCAGGACCAGGTGCATTACGAACAGATAACTCATCCCACAGAGCTGATCTCAGAATGGAAGGTCAGGACGGAGAACTTAATGATTCCAGACAAGATAATGACGAACGGGAATTAAAGTATGGAGCGACGCAGGTCATCAGGTTGTTCCTACCAGTGTCGCTTTGTATGCTCGTCGTTGTGGCCACTATAGGCTCCGTTAACTTCTATACAACCAAAGGAGTATATTTGTATGTATATTATAACTCAACCTCTGTTACGTGTTTTAAATAGAGTGATTTATGTTCTATTACATTACAGAGCATATACTCCGTTTCATGAAGAAAGTAACGATATGAGTACAAAAGCTTGGCAAGCAATTGCCAATTCCCTTATACTAATGGCTCTCGTTGTCTGCATGACCGTAATACTCATCGTTTTATACAAATATAGGTTCTATAAGGTGATACAAGCCTGGCTGATTACAGGTTCCTTGATGCTACTTTTCTTATTCTCTATATTGTTTTGCGAGTAAGTGGAATCCATAAAATTTAAAACCCTTAATTGTATACACCATAGAAAATGATCTTACTTTGACAGAGAGGTGCTGAAGGCTTACAACATTCCAATGGACCTCATCACGCTAACGATTGCTCTATGGAACTTTGGTGTGGTTGGAATGATATGTATCCATTGGCAAGGACCTTTGCCACTGCAACAGGCATACTTAATTGTGATAGCTGCATTGATGGCCCTTGTTTTCATAAAGTTTCTACCAGAGTGGACTGCGTGGGTAGTCCTTGCCGTTATCAGCATTTGGGGTAAGTGAAGAAATTGTCTTATTCAATTCAGTTGTTAAAAAACTTACAACCCTAGATCTTGTGGCGGTGCTGACACCAAAGGGACCCTTGAGAATTCTCGTGGAGATCGCGCAGGAACGTAATGAGACGATATTTCCCGCTTTGATTTACTCCTCGACGATCATGTACATGTTCACTATGAATTACGCTGGATATGCAGAAGTAACAATGGCAAGTGGAGACGCCTCCACTGCTGAAAATGTGGCATCACCCGCACAACCACGAACGCAAAATCAAACCGATCCACCATCCGGAGACACCGAAGAAGGTGAAGCAGGTTTCACTAGAGAATGGGTTGAGACGCATGGTAATATACAATTCCCTTCCGATCTCTTCATTGAATTTCATTCTGGATTTTACATTATCTAATCTTATCATTACGTCCAGCTGATCTCAGTACAAGGAGAGCGCAGGAAATCCAAGAAAACGCCTCCACGGAGAACTCGAGACGTCAACCTCCGGAGTATCGTACAACTGAAACTCGTCCTGATAATCCCCAACAGGTCTCTCTTACAGAAGAAGAGCGCGGGGTCAAGCTGGGTCTCGGAGATTTCATATTTTACAGCGTATTGGTAGGAAAAGCCTCCAGTTATGGTGACTGGAATACAACGCTGGCATGCTTCGTCGCCATCCTGATAGTGAGTTAACCATCGTCTTCTAATATTTAATCTCTTCCGATACATCTATTTCTGACCAATTTCCTCATTTTTATTTTCAGGGCCTGTGCCTAACGCTCTTACTTCTGGCAATATTTAAAAAGGCACTGCCAGCTTTGCCGATCTCCATAACTTTTGGTTTAATATTTTACTTTGCCACGCGCGACATAGTCGCACCGTTTGTGGACAGTTTAGCCAGCGAGCAAGTATTCATTTAGACTTAATTAAATCTGAACAATTATTCAGACAGTGAGTATAGTTGCGACTCCGTTTTGTGTCATCTGCGTTTCTCTAACTTTTCTAATTTATTACGTCTGGACTGTATATTCAGTGTCGATTTTATATAAAGTTTTATCGATATGTAGTCAGTCAGCGACTTTACTTCGAATGTCTGGTCTTAAGCAGACGTGAACGTTTGCACCAGAAAATGCACCCAGCGTCTGATACTCATTCCACCTTCATGCAACATTGTTATTGCCGCCAAAGGATTAGGTTAAAGAGGATTAATGAGAATCACTAACAAAATGCCGAGAACGGAGTAAGAATATTCAATTGACACGATAAACCTACTTGGGAGTATTCTACACCCTCGTTTTCTTCAAGTTGAGGCTACGACTTTAATATTCTTGCGGCAGTTTATTGTACCCCGTACATGTACAAAATATATAGATCTTAAGAATCGGGCATAAAAAGCAACGATGAATAACCTTTTTACAGCTGATACGTGTTGAGAGGAATCACACCTCGGAATGTACAGTTATCAATCAGTAAGCGCCCGTTAACGCACCGTGACATCGGGTTTCAGATCTATCAAGGTCGGTTTTATAGATATTAGGTACGACTTTCGGTTCGCTAAAAGCGCGAGAATATAACACTTCGTTTCAGACAATAGGTCTATCTTCGTTAAACAACGTCTGGAAGTCGCAACGGCAGAACGTAACGTGCATTGACAAGATTCAACCCTGGAACCCCAAACGTTGCCTTCGATGCCATTGCGGAAAACTACCAGCCTATTTTTATCTCTACGAGGAAGAACTTTAATAACGATATACGGTTCCGTGCAGAATAACTTAGTAGCCGTAATACTTTTACACATTTGGAATAACCGTCGAGGTCCCTGATTGGTACTGCAGATCAACGGAAAAAAAAATATATATATATATCGCGGCATTGCAAAGGACATATTCGATTACCATCGACTCTTCCTACGTAATTCGGCTGCCGCATCCAGTAACGAACGTTCCCTTTTCTTTTATACCTCCGTTATAAATTCAATCAACGTAACGTCCGGAATTTTAACGAATCCACTAGGTCGTCCGTCAATTCGCGGCTCTTTTTAAGATAGAACCTCGACGCGGAATCGTCAAGAGAGCTTCTCAAGCAAGCTTTTAATATGAGCAAACGACATCTTAACGTCACTAGCGACTCTGACGCGAAAAAATGTCGTTCGATTGCGTCGCTTCGTTTATACAGATATAATTAATAAGTACTCTCGTTAACAAGAACCTTTCTCCGGATGTCGTTTCGCCCTCGACTTGCTCGACGTTTTCGAAGGGTTCAGAACTGTATCGAGATCTCGAGGCGCAGCTTTTAACTAGTGCCGTACTTACTGCTCTCGAAGGTCCCGCGTCTGAAAAATGAGCTAAACTCTAGAAGAGACTGCTTATCGAGATTACTCAGGTTGCCGTGGTACTTGTAAAGCGGCTCGCAGTTCGGCAACTCCGAGCAAATGCGGATCAGCCGACGAAGATACTCCTCAAGTCGTTTCCTACGATGTCGAGCAACCACCTCGTACCTGGGAAAGACCTGCCTCGGCGGGAACCGTATCTCCGTCACCTAATTAGATAACCCAAGCGGATAATTTCATTGCCGTGCTAAGGGAAATGTGTTCCCAGATCTAATTACCATGTCATTTATGTACAAATGTAAATTCTGATTGTAGGTAGGCAACTAGATTAGGGGGGCTCTACAGATTCAGGGTTTACCTTGCTGCCGTACTTCTGCCGCATCGAGCTGTAGAGCTCCCGGAACCGCCTATAGCGTCTCAGCAAGGTCCAGCTATCGTCCTGTGTGACGACACGCACCTCGTATTCATAATGGCTGGAGGTCCCAGCTCCTCGGACGACGTACGACGGTACGCTGACGATTGCATTAACGATGCTGTCGCAGTCGTCGCCCTCGGTGCCTACCAGCGAAGGCAGCGACCTGGTGATCGTCAGGGAGTAAGGACTGCTCAGGCGATCGCCGCGATGCTGGCTCTAAAAAAAAAGAAAAAAGAACCAGCAGTGATCACAAAACGTAAGAGAACCCTCGTGTCAAATCGTCATGAATAGTTGTACTAACGGTGAGGTAGACCGAAGAGAACCCCCGGATAGGAGAGAAGCTCCGTTGCGATGCTTCGACTGGTGGCGCATCGGATAAAGTCCCTGACTTGGGTCGCGAATTGGAAATTGGTGTCAACGATTCGATGACGGACTCGGGCTCGACGTCGACCTTGGAAGCAACCTCGGCAATCGCCTCGACAACCGGATGCGACTCCAAGTTGAGTAGGTCACGGTCTGCAGTGAGCTCTCTCCGCTCACGACGTTCTTCCTCCAGAAGAAAGACCTCCAGCTCGATCTGCTGTCGCTGCAGCTCCTGCAGAGCGGATATCTGGCGGTCCAGGTCGTCCCTGGAGGGCGTGCTGGCCTCGAGGCACTTCATGACGAGCATCCTCTGTCGCGCGACGCGTCGATCGAGTCCCCTCATCGCTTCGTTGCGCCGAGATGAGAACTCCTCCCTGGAAGACAGCTCGCGCAGTCGCTCGAGGTCGAGGAAGGCTTCGTCTGCGACGTCCTCGAGACAATCCTTGTCACCGGTGCCTATTCCCGAGGACCTCTCCTCAAGCCTAGCCTCGTTGCTCCTCAGGGACTCCTCGTCCGCAGGTTTCCTCCCGGTCGACCCTGTGTTTCTCGTTACGTCTTCCAGGTCGGAATCTCTCCCGACATCTTGTGAATCGAGTCGCTCGTTTTCAGGAAAGGGCGATAGATCCAGGTGATCCTGGGCATCCAGAAATGGTAGCCGCGACTCCAGAGAGTCCTCCTTGGCCGTGTGGAAGGAGGTCTCGGCCGTGTCGGCGGAACTGGTCGCCTCGTAGTCGCAGAGCAAACTCAGGGCGGAGGCGATCTTCAGCTTCCGATTGCACGCGTCCTGGAAGGACTTCAGGTCCCGGCTGGACACCGTGTCTCCGCTACTCGACGACCGCCCCCCTGGAGAAGCTGGCAAGGCTCGCTTCAAGTTCAGGGAGAGACTTCGCTTCCTCTTCGATATCTCTTGTATCTGCTCCTGCGTGCGCTTCGCCAGCATCAACTTCTTGTCTTTGGCTATGTCAGGGTCCAGCTGCGGTTGCAAATTCGTCTCGATAAGCACACCCAGAAAATCCGATGTATTCGCTCAGGACTTACGTTCAGGTTGAAGATCTCTCGCTGCTTGTCCGCCACCTCCGTCAGCTCCTTTTCGATCTCGTCGACCTTGGACTGGTGGTCGTTCAAGAACTTCACCTTGTTCCGCAGCTCAGCTTCCAGCGCAGCGAGCTCTTTCTTCTGTAATCCAAATAGTCAATTAGGGGATCGAATCTTCAAGCTTAGATTAATCATGTTAACTTCATTCAAGGTCTTGACACTTACGTGCCGATTGACGAGTTCCCTCATGGCTCGCAGGGACCTCTCATCACCCAAACCGGACCAGGATTCAGGCAAACTGCCATCGCTGCCGGTACCGTCATCAGTCTGTAAAAAGATGCCACTTCAACCCCCGTTCGCCATCGATCCGTTTCTCTAATATTTCCTTATTCTTCCTCGTGGAGTGCAAGTAAGGGCCTTAAGAGTCCTCGAAGAAAGCTTTCATCGCCTCGGTTCACCAACCCGATTGCTCAATATCCTTCAATCTCGCGTCTACACTCGAGAACCACACGAAAAAAAAAAACCAAAAAACACTTTTAGCAAAGGGCTGCATTGCCGCCAAACATTTGCTCTTACTATAGGAATAATCGCGCCAACGTAAAAAATATATGCAATTATCTCGAACCGCGGATGTAACCACTAAAGAGTTTTCTTTAGGAGAAAAAAAAAAATTAAAAAAATCCTTGCCAAATCAGCAAATGAATTTCTAGCAATAGCAAGAAAAATACTGTCGTCTCCATTTTGTATTTTGCGTGCAGTGAGCAATCGCGTCGGTGATAACCCTGGAAGCGAAACGCCGCCTCTTCGAGGTCTCCTTCAGGATCAAGCGTCTGCCGTGCAGTTTCAGCCCGTGCCACGTGCACGCGGTCGCGGTCCAGGTGCGTTAACGACATAGATGAACATAAAATGAAGTCAAACTAGCCACGCGAGTGCGTTTCTCTTACCTTGTCCCACAGGTGGTGATCCCGTGGCCGGTCCCGGGAGCTGGCCAACTCTTGGAACTGACGCTGCTTCGATTGGAGGGTGGTGCGCAGCGAGGCGACTTCCCTACACAAACTTTCTACCTAACCGCATACCCACACGCACACGCACGCACGCACGCACACACACACACACGGGTCGGTTAAACGAAATAATCGGTAATCATATAATAAATCATAAGGGTACAAAACGGGAAGAATGGCCGCTCGGCGGTGCGCCGGAGGGACGCGGGACCGATTTTGCCGTCGTCGTCGTCGTCGTCGTCTCGGCGTCACCACCGTCGTCGCCGGGCCGCCTCCAGCGGGACCTCTCATTCAGGGGGCTCAACGAGTCCCGCCAACGACATACCAAGATACTAACGATAACGAATAGATAGGAGAAAAGAAACTGTGAACGAGGTATCAGGTGGATATCGTGCAACGCATGTGTGGATGACGTTCGTTGGGGTAGGTTCATCAAGCAGGGGAGTAAAGACGGTACCGTACCTTCGGTAGACCTGGTGTTAGTCGACCCGATGCGCGAAGAAACGCCGAGACCTACGACGGACCGACGAGAGCCCGGGTCACGTTCGTTAAATGCGGACCTTAAGGTGATATGAAAAGGTTATTGTATACATATGTCACTTTCATAACACCTTAAGGTGATGTGAAAGCGGCGTCGAAGAGGTCTCGCATTTGAAACCTTTCCCCGAACCGAGTGTACCGATTGTACCGAGTGTACCGAGTTTGAAACTTTACAACGCGGGTGTGGAGGCTAGAAGGAAGGTCGTGACACCCGTGAGATTTCGGTTTCCGACAAATTTCTGAAATTCTGAAAACTTTGTACAAAATGAAATTTCATGAGCGTTGGGACCTTTCTTATAGCCTCCATACTCGCGCTTTAATGTTTGAAGCGAATCGGTGCGTCCAGTTCGGCGATAAGTTTCCCATGAACGAATGATCCCACAGATGCAAGTTTCACACCCCCTTAAGCTACTTTATCACTCGCTGCCCTGCCGCAAACTCGCCAGCATCAGAACGCCCTGATCGGCTCTCGATTCTTACGGCGTCGCCCATGATGGCTATCTGGCCGTCTCCAACCAATCTGATGCGTCCCGCTTTCCTGCAATTTTGCTCTGACGCAGGAGGTGAGAAAGTAGCTTAATAAGCGACGTAAACCCGCGAGGAAACGGTGCGTGACATATGGTCGTTCTCATTTTAGTCGGTGCTGCGAGCAGGAGTGGAGAGTACCTACGTGCGAGAGCCAGATAGAGAGGGACGAGCGTCCAGTGCAAGGAGAGCGGCGACGTGCTTGACGCAAGATCGAAGGCCAATCGGTTTCCGTAGAGATTTTATTAACGAACAACAAAGAGAAGAGAGAGCGCATCTCGCGTAACAGTGGTCGGGGCGGGGCCGAGCGACGGCCCGCGCGCGGTCACGAGCGTCCCGACGGCGATGAATACGCAAGCGGACCTCTCCTTTCCGGGAGCGGAAGCGCGCTCGTCGGCGCGAGTCGTCGCCCCCGGCCCGCTCTCACATGCTCAGAGGGCATACGTGCGAGTGGACGATGACGTTGCCGGACAGGCAGAGGAGGAGGCCGAGCGCGACGACGAGGACGAGACAGAGTCGGTACCTCGTCGGGGCTAGATGCTCTAGGCACGGGCCGGACGACGGATCCTTCGCACTTACTTGGGTCATCTCGTCGCGGCGCTCCTGTTCGAGGAGGCGGCGCCGGGCACGTAGCTCGCGCTGACGCGACTCCAGGGTGGCGATGGCTTCGGCCCACTCGCGCCACTGGGCGCCCCACTCGCGCTCCAGCTCCCTCTGAGCACCCTCCAATGCTTCTCTCCGGGCGGCCCATCTCTCCTCGCGCTCCTCCTGCTCCCTCTGGGACGGAAACACATTCAATGTTAAGGGGATATGGAAGTGGCATCTGAGAGGTCAATTATTCACGAAGCTCTTCTCTGCGCTGAGAGTACCGAATTATTTCAATCTTTACGACGTAAACGCGAAGGCTATAAGGAAGGTCCTGACAAGCGTGAAATTTCAAATTTTTACATAAAATTATGAAAATATCTATAAACAAATTTTTTAAGGTAATTACATTTCAGGGGTATCGGGACCTTCCTTACAGCCTCCATATTCATGTTATGAAGTTTCAAACGATTTGGCACTCTGCTACTATCTCTGCCAATGTAAACGGGGCCTACAAGATCTATGTAATAATTGGTATCATGCCTTAAAGTCCTCTTTCTCCTTAACGAGCGCGGCTTTCTGCTGTTCCAGCTCCTCCAGCGCTCCGAGGTCCTCACTCGAGTTGAGGAGGTTGTCACTGGACGTGGACACTCGTAAGTCGGAAACGCTCCAGCTCAGCAGAGAGAGCCGCGAGAGGTTAACCACGGTCGACTGAAGATTCCCATTTCCGATGCCGCCCTCCTTGCGGAGCTTGGCCGCCTCTACAGGGTCGTTGTAGCGGAACATGTTGTTCCTGCCGAGCAGGATAATGCATCCCTGGGAGAGTCGAGTGGGCTTGTCAACTTGAGCAGTGTTGATCCAACAGTGAGCCGAAAGCGGATGCAGAGTCGCTACTCCCTCCTCGAGCTCCACGACGCAGTGCTCCGGCTCCACGTCCGGACCCGTTAGCACGATGTCCTGACGAGAGGGCAATTGATCGTGATCCATCAAGGTACCTTATCGTTTGTTACTGCCAGGGTCCACGAAGCTAGATTTCGGTTCGAGATCTCGGATGAAAATGCATCTCGTCCCATTTTTTTTTATACTAGTTGCCATTTACATATCATGTATCCAATACCATGCCATATGCCATATTATATCTAGACTTAGTTTCATACATTTGATAATGTCGATCCGAGGTCTGCGACCGAGTTCTAGCATCGTGGACACAGGCTATTACATCCTAGTGCATCTAACTTTGTCCATGAATCTCACCTGAGTGGTCGGTGCCTCCTCGGTGCCCACCAGCGTCTTCCCCTCTTTCAGGTGATAGAGAGTGACGCCGGTGCTGAGGAGGTCGTCATCGATACCGACGAGGTGCGGCATCTCGGAGTCGAGAACCACGCCGACGCCGCTTTTCCTCAGACCGAGAGCCCGCTGCTCTTGGAGGATCTGCTGCGTCTCCCTCCATTTCTCCGTCCACTCCTCCGTGAGCACCTTCTCTTGCTCCTGCTTCTCGTGAATCTGTGCTAGCAGCAGCTGCGGTGGCGGCCTCTCGACACTCTGCACGAGGAAGGCAAGTAAAGCAAGCCACTCAACCCCTGATGAACTAGAGGATGTGTCTCGGATACTTACTACTTCCTTGCCGATCAAGGACTTCAGTTTCAAGATCTCCTCCCTGAGCTCTCTAATCAACTTGACGTTGGGGTCCTCGTTGATGGTCGGCTTATTGATGATGTTCTTGGCCCTGTTGGCGTACCTTAGGGTACTCAGGGTCTCGCCGTAGTTACAGTCGGCCGGGCTGATCGCGGCGATCATGATGGTCTTCGAGTTGCCACCCAGGGAATCCTTGAGGAGCCACGTGAGCACGCTGTCCCGGTAAGGTATGAAGACGTTGCGCTTCGAACAATTCGAGTCGGCCGAGCTAAGCTCGGCCAGGGCCGATATCACAGAACCTAAAGTCACGAGGGACTTGTTAATGTGCGCACCTTCTTTCAGCCGCTGGCCCGTGGCTCCGGTCGCGTTGGCCCGCTCGCTGAAAATCAGGTGACCCCACAATCATCTTCGACGAGGGTACTCGAGGGTCACGCGTTCCGCCACCACCACCACCGCCACCACCACCGCTACCACCCATCGCGCCCGAGGGCGAGGTACCCGATCGGCCCCGGGAAATTACCTTCCGGCCAAGTCGACGAGATGCACCTTCGAGACCGTCTCCGAGGGCATGTTTCCTTCGGAGAAGCCCGCCTGCACGAACGTGATTGTAAATATCGCGTGGCTCCTACTGCTCACGTCGTTCATGTTCGTGCTGGCCGTGGTCCTGTGGATGTTGCCTCTCACCATGCACTCCTGGAGACGAGAGGATGCCTCCGTTTTAGGCAGGTACATTATACAAAAGCCATCGTGCACCATACCTGGATGTCCGAATAATCGTAGACCAGGTGGCTCGACAGGTCCTGGACGTAGGGTCCCCGTTTGGGATGCTCCCTTACCCTGAGAGAGTGCATCGCACTCTGGTCTGGCCTGAGCAGATCGCGCACCCTCTCGTTGTGTATCTCCAGGAAGGACACTTCCGTTCTATAGGACGCTCCGCTCTCCTTGCCCGCGGCCATTCGCGCGAACAGGGTCTTGCAGATCCGGGGTATCAGTCCTTGAGCCTCCTGCGAAACATCGGTCATTCTATGTCTAACCAGAGCTTATGGTTTTACCCAAATGCGAGGCGATCCCGAGCTTACCGGAGACCCCATCATGGTGAATGTCTTCCCGGATCCCGTCTGTCCGTACGCGAAGACGCAGGCATTATAGCCCTCGAAGGCACTTTCGATCACCTCGGTACCCAGGTCATAGAATACCTGAAAGGACATTTCCGTCTCAGCATGGTAGTCGACTCGGAATTCCAGGTCACGAATGCCGACCTGGTCTCGCGCTCCGATTAGTTCCTGATCCCCTATTAATAAAACCACCGATTGGTCATTGCCGAACGCGAGGTTATTTGCATCCGTCCCGGTCCTTCTTTCCGTCCGCGTTCTACTCACTACTCGCTAATTCGGTTACCTTCCCCCGACGGGTAGGCGCGCCAATCAACGTCAGCAGTTTCTAAAAATTATTCCCCCCTCGTCCGTCCCTCCCTGCAAAATTTACCATTCTCACCATCCCACCCAGAAACCTTCAGCCCTGCCAGAAACCGACGGCAGCGACCTCGTCGCTGCTATCGTTCGCTCGGTTTCTAACAAGCTCACGTTAATCGTGCGCCACGCAAAGGCGCAATTTTTTTTTTTTTTCTCGCGTGACAGGTAATTCCACAGTTACGGCGGGCAATAAACGGTACGCAACGTATATCACGGGCTCCAACCTCTTCCTGAGAAGCGTAATTGTCGTCCGCAGGGTCGAAGGACCAGTAGGAGTGGTCGAAGGTGAAGTCCTTGTACTTCTCCTTCTCGACGTCCCTGCAGTTACCGAGAGGCTGGAAAAGAAACATCAATGACCAATGCGTTCGCTCAACGTGTATACAAAAAAAAAGAGACGTCGATTACAGTTCGAACGGTAATTCCGGTCGTCCTTAGCGCAATAAAAGGAGCTAACGGACGGAAAGACACAGAGGGGAGCGGAAGAGGAGGAATCGAAGGCGATAAATATGCGGCGGGGGCGTAGGTGGGAGTCGTGACGTAACGCGGCGCGAGTCGATCTCTCGGCGACCGTTTTCGATCCTTCTCGACCGCTCTCGATCGAAAACGGTCGAGGGGCAGCGACGCGGGACGGTCCGTGCTTTCTCCGGCCGGGCGGCGCTCGGTACCCGACCGACGTCGCCACGTTTAGCCGCGTCCAGCGGGCCGCGACGCCTTACCTTGCCATTGAAAATGCGAGTCTTCTTGCCGTCCATCTGCACGATCGGTTTCGCGTTCATGGCCAGCTCCCTGAAATCGGAAAGCGCCGAGTCGATAAACCTTCCCTTCTACCTTTCTCCCTTCGCGGCTCTCCGACACGGGCGAGGCCTCGAGAGCGCCGCTGTCACTCGGTTGACCTCACCTCTTGTTAAAGGGCCTGACCCTGACGGCCACCTTGACCGAAGCCATGATCGACGTCTCGTCGGCGCTCCGGCCCGACTCTCTGCGCGCTGCTCAGTCCGGTCGCTCCTTTCGCGACATTGCTCCGCGAGGGACTCCTCGTCTCGTCACCAGCTGGCTCGCGCTCGCGCTACTGGACGCGAAGAACCTCTCACCGCGGCTGCCCCTTTCGGACTGACTGCTGACCAGCGGCGGCGCGAGCGGCGCCACCGCTCGACGCCGTACCCTGCCCGCAGCGTTCGACCGCCCACGCGCTGCTGCCATCTGCAGAACCCCGACATTACCGACCGAGTCTTTATCGACGGAAATGGTACCATTAAGTACTCTTAAAAGTGAGTTACTTTTTGTGAGCAAATTGATCGCGGCTTGCCCGATTATCGGTAGTATCAAAATTTCGGTATTGGAAGTTCAAAAAGCTATAATCTCCAGGAATACAATGAAATTTTCCCGTCCGCATTAACAATCATAGTTTGTTGAAATTATTGAAAATAACTTGAATATTTTTAAAAAAGAATAAAAACTCAATTCTCGATCATTCTCGTAGAATTTAATCATCGATTATATTTTCGGTCGTATTACCCGGGTAACATAACGCACTAAGATCTCTAATTACACCGTCCCTACACCGACACCAGATAATCCTCCAACTTGTTCGATAAATACAAACTTACCATCTCCCGTGTAAGACGATTGGAACGGTACGCTCGGGTCGAGCACCTCATCGGTACTGCAGAGGGCCATGCGTCGCGCCGCTCGGAGGGGTGAGTTCGAGCGACTCGGGCGCGCTCGGGCGCCCTCGGGGAACCTCGGCCGAGCTCGGGCAGTGCGGCGGGGCTCCGGCTCGCGCTGGTTGGTGCGAGCAGTCGGGTGGCAACCATAGGCCGACGAGGGCCTCTGTAGGCCGCGCGGAGTGACGATCGTTGAGAGTGCTGCTGGGGGTGCGCGCACCCCCGTCCTCGTCGTCCGTGCCCGCGCGCGCACGGGGCAATGGCCCGGGTCTCGGCCTCGACCTCGGCCTCCGCTGGACGCGACGCGCCATAATAACCGAGTCATATTACGCGAGCTAACCGGAGGTGGCGCGACACCCCGCTCGCTGCCCACCGGGCTCCAGGGTCGCTACGAACCCCCGAACCTACCGGAGCCGCGCCGACCGCGCCGACCGCGCGGACCGCGTCAGGCATCATGGTCGTCCCTCAGGGTAAGAGAGACGCGCCGAGCGGACCGACGCGCACGGGTCGAGGGGGCGACTCGCTCGCTCGCCCAGGTAGCCCAGGTAGACCTTGCGACGCGCAATTGCGTCGCCCCTCGAAAGAGACCCACCTCCCCCTTCCCGAAGACCCACCGATAACGTAATCCGCGATATAAACACTCCCATCCTTCCCTTTCCTCCGAATGCACCGACAACGGGGAATAACGTCACACCCTTGTAGAAGAGGGTGCCACCCCCTCTATACAGCTATAAACAATCTCGCCTGACATTTTTTTTTTTTTTTAAGTCTTTTTCGTTCGTCGAGAAATACCCCAGGTGGTTCGGCTTACGTCCTCCCGGATTTGGTGCACTCGTCGCAGGGACGAGCACGTGGTGCCCAAGGTGCGGCCGCTCCGAAATAATCCCTATCTTATCGTCAGGGTGCTTCAGGCGGCGGAGCAAGCACTTTCGATGGCGCGTCGGGGATTTCGAGGAACTCGAACACGGAGACCGGGGCGGAGGTCTTGGATTCCGAGTGTCGGGCCTCCCGCGCGAATTACTCCGGCGAGGCCGACGTGCGGCGTGCCCCGATAAGAGGCTTCCTCTCCGGAAACTGGCGACGCCGCGCGAATCGACCGCGGCGACCCGCCTCTCTTCCGGTTTCGCTCGCTAGTCGCGCAAGGGGGATTTCCTTATCTCGTTATCTCGTTCCATGGAGATCGTTTTCCGCGAGTGGGACGAAAGATGGAAGCTTGGAACTGGGTTTGGGAACGACGGCCCCGCCCCCGTCTAGGGGTGCTCCCGACCCCTCTCGGATGAAACTCAGAATTGTTTATAGAGTTATGAAATTCATTGGGATTCTCTTCTCGGGAGCGGAAAAAGGACTCGCGGAGGAATCGACAGTCCGTTCTCGCGTTCTATGTAGGGGGTCCTTTTAAATCCGGTTATTGATCCTAACGGGGCACGCTCGCGATAAAGATTTAGTGCTCGGGTTATGTCGACCGCCGAGTTAAGGGTTATCACCGGCTTCGCTTTGCGTTTCGACCCCGTGTACTTGCGATAGAAGTACAGCACGGTACCAAGGCGTGGATGCGTTCGACTCGGCGCCATGGCGAATCGAGAAATCGAAAAATGGCGTCTCGATGTCGAAGGACCCCTTTGCGTGCCGTTTTCGGGATAACGACCGACGAGGGTTTGCATAATCGTCTCGGCGCCCGGTGATTCATAGAGAAACCCGGGGTATTACTCCGTTACCAAGGCGTCTCACTGAGTGCGGCGGGTCGACGCGTCGAGGATGGAAAAGTAGACGGAACTGCGCTTAATCACGCGCGTCACTTCCGCCGCGATGCTCTTGGATTTCATTTAGTTTTTTTTTTTCATCCCCGATGCGGTGACGCGCCGCGCTCAGTGTGCCACCCGACGCGCTCGGGAGGACTCGGCATTATGGCGATGCGAAAGTGGCCTCTGAGGGGTGAGATCACCCTTTTCTCCGAACTGGGTCTACCGAATTCCTGGAATTTTCATCGCGTGAATATGGAGGCCCCGAGGAAGATCCCGACACCTATTAACACGTTGACTGCCATGCGCATTTTATTTGACTGCTATGTCACCCGAATATGGGTGACGTGGCAGTCAACGTGTTAAACCCATTTTATTTTTAATGCAAACAAAAATTGCCTATAGAAACGATTTAAAATATGAAATTTCATAAATGTTGGGGCTTTTCTTAAGGCCTCTGTGGTGGAATCTTAAATGATTCGGCGTACGCGGTTCGGAGAAATGTCTCGTAAACGAGACCACTCGGAAGCCACTTTCACGTCGCCTTAAGTATCATTCATGATCGACTTAGTGCAGGGGTAGTGCACGGGTAGTGCACTGGGGTGGAAGTTTGCAACGTGGATTCCAATTTGAGCTTTTATGGCTCGGTCGTGCGGCTGGTAATGGTAATGGGTAGAGGGAAAAAGTTGTCAACCTACAAACTTTCTTGTCAAACGCGTCACCGAGCGAATTCAACGACCAATCGGGAACTCACCTTTAGCTTGTGTTGCGCCAACGATTTCCGGGGGGCCTTCTACGCTGCACCGCAAATTTCTGCATCACCTCCACTCTAACGTTGCGCTACCACCCTGAGAAATCGTAGACCTTAACTAAACGCAGTCCCTAAAAGGAATATGGTGCATAACTGCAAAACAATGTATAACATTAGGAATCGTAACTTTGAGAAATGCAATTGCATTTCATATTCTTTTTCAATTTCGAATCGGCATTCGTCTCTGGTCTGTACCGTACGACCGATTCGCGGGGGGTCTCCTCCGTTGTACAGCCAATTTGTCTGCTACTTCCGCCGTACCTTTACATTACTACATTGCGAAAACGTAGTACAAACTAGCTGCCAGTCCCAACTAACAGAAAATTATTCGGTTTATTGGCTGAGACTTTTTAAAATTAACAATTAAGATTTTTAACGTAAAAACTTGAGTCGTTTGGGGTAAACGAGTTTGGTCAAGTGTACCAGAATTGGAGTAAATCCTCCGAAACGTTCTCTGAAGTGAATCGAATACAATCGAACGATTTTGTTCAATGAAACAATTCTTTTTCCCTGTGTGTCCGGGACATGATGTAGGACTGCGGAAAGACAGGACAATATTGCCAATCGCAATTTTGCGAAGCGTAGTTGTCCTTTTCAGGGACTGGCAGTTGTTTAACAGCTCGCGTGGTAACATTTAATACTGTTTTCTCAGTGCACGGTACACGTCTGCATTACTCTGTGCACTAAGACGACCATTAACGACACTTTGCAAGGGACGGGGGAACCCCGAGAGTGCCGGAACTCCGGAGTGCCGGAAAGGGCCTCTAAAAGGCACCCGAGGCCCATTCCCTTCCGGCGAGTCCGGGACTCGTTAGGTCGGGGTGAATCACGGCCAGTCACGGGACAACGAGTCGTCCCGGAATGCAGGCCCGGTGACGCTACGGCACCTCGATTTCTCAGGTGACCAGGTACTCTCCGATGAGTCCCCGTTAACGATGGAAAACCGAGGGGGCGAGGAAAATCGAGCCGGACCTCGAGGAATTCCGGGTACGTGGGCCGTCTTAGGGCTTCGATTTTCGACCGACATGAACATCAACGGAGAAAATGGATTCAGTTGAAAATAACTATGCCCATGGATAACGATAAATCGTTGCAATTAATCCCTGCTTAGATTTAAGGTGTCTCGATAGGGTCATTCTATACGTGTTAAACGTCAATGTATTTATAAAACATTTCTTCAAACTGTTAAATGTTAACTCGTACGATAGAGACGAATTTCTAGCGATGGGGATGGGAATGAAATCCAGGGGTTCGGTAATTCGGCACGAGTCGGCACTTTGCGCTCGAAAATGCCCCGAGTGGTGTCGTCGATAACGAGGGAGCGCCGCTCGGCTACGTGGCCGGATTCTGGACGCGAAGAGGCATCGGCGCTCTTTTATCCCGCTCTCGGGATGAAAAAGAGCGGTCACCGGCCCCTTTCGGTCCTTCGAACCCGGGTCGGGTCCGCACGAGGATCGATCGAGAGAGGCACCGCGTAGCGCCTCGCGAGGTGGCCCTGCCGTTCTCTTCTGGGGCCCTACTCTGAAGTTCATTCGGTCAACTTTCGCAAGGCGAAATTGACAATTTGGTATACGACTCGTAAACGTTGACCAATTACGCGATCTTGCAGCAATGAGAAATTTTATCATGCGTATTCATTCGCACGCGAAACTAATTCCTATTGACATTCGATCAACTTTCGCAGGCGAAATTGACAATTTGGTATATGACTTTCAAACGTTGACATGTGACCTGACATCGGCACAATGCGAAATCATTCATGCGTGTCTATGCGTATGCGAAAAAAATCCGTACGAACTCGCAAAATCAGGGACTCGATTCTCGAGTTCGTTCGATCAACATTCCCATGCGAAATTGACAGTTACGTATACGACTTTCAAATGTTGACCATTGACGCGACTTCGCAACATTGCAAAATTTTTTATGCGTATCTATTCGTATATGGAAAAAATTTTTTACGAACTCGAGAATCACGGACTCGATTCCCGAGTTCGTTCGATCAACTTTCGTAGGTGAAATTGAGAATTTCGTATACGACATTCAAACGCTGACCAATGACGCGACTTCGTAACAGTGCGAAATTTTTCATGCATATCTATTCGTATGCGAAAGAAATTTTTTACGAACTCGTGAATCGGGTCCGTGGGATGTCCCTAGGTCCCTTTATCACGGTCGCGCCGATTCGTCGCGTTTTTGCTCGTGAGCGGATTCCGCGTCCGCGAGTCGCGGATCTTGTCGAGCCTCGTAGGCGGGGCCCCGGGACCTTCGCCGTCCGGAAACGCTCGGAGATTCGACTCGCGCGATAAGCAGGGTCGAGATGAGGGGGGTCGAGCAATTTTATAAAGCGCGACTCGCGGGTTAACTTCAAAGTCGAATGCGCGACTTCGAGAGCCTAAGGATCGAGGATGATTTCAGATTTTTGGAGTCGAGGGCGGATATAGGGATAAAAAAATTGGTAAAATGAGGAGAAAAGAGGTAGGGTCGAGATAAGGGAGGTCGCGCATTTTTAAAGCCCAATTCGAAGGTTAATGTCTTTGGACGCGCGACTATCGGGGTCGATGATTATTTCAGGATTTCTGGAGGAAAACATTATCGGCAATGCTCTCCTTTGCTAATGGTACGAATATTAAATTCTTTTTTTTTTTTTCCGTGCGCTCCCTTCGTGGTTGCTTATGATCTCCGAATTTTGAGTCGGATGACGATCGCGGATTTAACGCGAGGGCAAAATTCGAGGCGATCATCCGGGATCTGAAATCGAAGGTCGCACCTCCTGGGCCTTCTCGAGGCGGGCCCCTCGAACAGGTGGCGACCGCGCAGGTGCTGGCGCGTGCCACCTGCGATCGGGCGCGACTAAACCGCGACGTTTCTCCTTTCAGGTACCAGCCCCGAGTGCGGCGTGCCCGACATGACGGTCATCAGCGACATCGACGAGACGGGCATCAACCGCAACCTGCAGGTCCGCTACGACCGGGACCAGATATACGTATCCTTTTCCAAGAGACCGCGTTCATCGCCCTGCACCCCGGGTAACCCGTCGGCCACCCCCAAGGGGGGATATTTATAGAAAATCGAGGAGCGATCGGCGCGTATCTTTGGTCGGACGTATAGATCGGCCAGAATCAGAGATATCCTCAGGAAATATCCGGAGAAGGGATTCGCGTAATCGAGTAATCGAGCAATGGGACGGAGGGGTGCGCCGCTTAGCGGGTCACGGGGGCGGGGGCGGGAGGAGGGGGGTCGCGGGGCTCTCGTTAACCCCTCGGGGCGCGAAGCGCCCTTAGCCAGGTTGGATTGCTTTCGAGGAAGAGGACGCTCCTCCGGCTTTCAGGCGCCTCCGGTCGGCGTGGTGGGTCGACGACTCGAGGGGTGCGGCGCGGAAAAGAGGGAAGGAGGGAAAGAGGTAACGAGGGAAGAGGGAGAGAGAGAGAGAGAGACCAGTAACCCGTTTGCGGGAGCGGCGATGCGGGAAAATTAGGCCGCGGGAAATGTCGGTCGGGGGGACTTGACAGGTGGGCGGGGGTCGACGCACCAGGTGGTCCCTAGGGACGCGGGTCGCGCCGTCGCGACAGGTAGACGCGAAGATGCGGGAAAATTAGGGCACGGATGGGGGCTCGATAAGTGGGTGGAGGTCATCGCACCAGGGGATGCCTCGGGTCGCCGGTCACGGGTCACACCAGGTGGAATCGAAGATGCGGGAGAATTGAAGTTGCGGAGGATGTCCGCCGGACACTCGCCAGACAGGCAGGGATCGTCGGTTGCAGCAGGTGATCTCTTGAGTCTCAGGTAACAGGTCGCGCCAGGCGCGAAAATGCGAGATCCGCGTTGCGGATTATGGGTCGTGGCACATAGACATAAAGATGCGGGAAAATTAGACCGTGAAAGATGTCGAGCAGGGGCTCGCCAGGTAAACGGGGACCGTCGGTCGCGGGTCGCGCCAGGTGAACGCGAAAATGCCAGACCCGCGTCGCGCGTTACGGGTCCGACGATGTGGGAGAATTAAGACGCGGATAATATTAAGCAGGGTGTCTTAGGTCATGTCAGGTGGTCCCTCGGGTCGCAGGTCGCGGGTCGCACCAGGTGAGCGCGAAAATACGAGACCCGCGTTACGGGTCCAAAGATGCGGGAAAATTAGGTCGTGCAAGATATCAAGCGGGGACGTGCCAGGTGGGTGGGGGTCGGGGGTCGCGCCAGGTGGTCGCGAAGATGCGGGCCTCGCGGCGGAAGGAGCAGTCGACGCGCTGGAGCTCCGAGCGCGTCGCGGGGTATCGATCTCTCTCTGTCGCGCGCACACAGACGAGACTACGCTCGCGTGACTCATCGCTCCGTCTCTCTTTCTCGCTTTTTCGGCTTCTCCCTGGGACTCCCCGTCTCTCTTTCTCTCTCTCTCGCTCCGAGGCCTTCCCTTCGACTGCCCTAAATGCAAGCGCTACGCATCGTCCCCGACCCTCGTCGCCCGGCAAGGGGTGTTTAGCGGGGTTTCCCTCGGGCCTTCCCTGCCGCCCCCCCCCCCATGCTTGAGCGCAACCGGCACGCGGGATGATTCCTTGACTGAAATGGCACTCGCAGACCTATACGGGCTCCATCCTGGTGGCGGTGAACCCCTACAAAGAAGTGGACTGCTACACGATGGTACGTATACGCGCTCTGACCCCCGCGTCTTCCCGCGGAAACTACCGAGAAATTTTACTCGGCTTCGGCTATAATCTAAACACTTGAAAATAGACCGGTGACACTTTATTTACCCCGGATGCGTTTTTCTTGTACAGACGACGCGAAAGGAAAAAAAAAAAGAAAGAAAAATAATCTAATCGCTTCACCGGGGAAACATGAAAATTCCGTTCATAGTTGGGACATTCTTATCCAGCGACGAGAAGCTGTTTAACGATATGTTCTCAGCCGTTGCTGTGAAATCCTTTGCTAATTCGGCAAGCGTTTTCTTCAAGGATTTTATTCGATGCCATTGTAACGATTTTTGCCGTTTGCGCAGATATCACTTCAGTACGAGGTAAACTGTATCAGCGACTTCTCATGTTAACCGTGCAAGCGTCCTTTTTTCTCTGTCTACGTGCAGAACCTCTAAGACCGGTGTCATGTTATGCATTTTTGCAGCACCAGCGAAAACGCTCCAGTCGAGCGAAACAGGTGCCATCGACTGTGTTCGCACTTTGCGTTTTCGCCGCACCCACCGTATCCTGCTACTCGGAACCGGATCACTGCCAGGGTCACACCGTGCGTTTTTTTCAGGATCGCCGACTCCCAGTTTTCTTCGAGGCAGACTTCCGTTTTGCGTAGCTGGACGCGGTGGACGCGGCAAAAACGCACTGGGTGACGCGTTCCGTTTGTATACAGGCGTTGTCACCATTCCTGTCAACCGGATCGTCCTCGGAGGTCTTGCAGAAACGCGTCGTGTGACACCGGCATAAAGACCCTGCGACCGGCGAGCGCGGTTACGATCGCGTCTTTAAAAGTCCGCTTCCGGCCGATCGACGGCCGCCGGAAACGGCCGCGTCGGAATAGTAAACGGCGCCGACTGCGCTCTCGGGACCTTGGGGGTTTTTATACGCCACGCGTTTCAGAATTACGAGGGCTAGCTCCGCAGCTGCGAGTTTTCCTATCGCGAGCGACGACGCCACGTGGGGCGCAACACTCGATGGCGAACAGGGCCTCGTTGTCTTTTATTAAGGTGATGTGAATGCGGCCTCTAAGAGGTCCCGTTTATGAAACGTTTTCATCGAGCTAGGTGTAACGAATCGTTTCGAGCTTTACAATGTAAATACGAAGGCTACGAGAGAAGTCCTGACACCCATGAAACGTCAATCTTTTAGAAACTTGTTTATGGATATTTTTTTTTTCTTACAAAAAATGACATTTCGTAGGTGTCAGAGTTTTCCTTGTAGCCTCCACATTTCACGTTGTTAAGCCTGAGAGGAATCGGTGCACCCTGCTCGGAGAAAAGCGATTGATCTCGTAGATGCCACACTTACATCCTCGTGATACGAAAGCGTCATTCTATGTGTTCCAAAACGTCAAAATATTTATAGGACTTTTCATTAAACCGAGGGCACCGAATAATTCGGTACTTTAACGTACGATTATGGAGGTCCTTAATTTAAATTTATGGTGCTTTCTCGGAAATTCGCAGGACTTCGTGAACCGGTACCACGGACAGAAGATGGGCGCCCTGGAGCCGCATGTCTTCGCCCTCGCCGAAGCTGCATATCGGTCTCTCAGGGATACCGACTCCAATCAATCCTGCGTGATATCCGGAGAGAGCGGCGCCGGGAAGACCGAGACCACCAAGTTCATCCTGCAGTACCTGTGCTCGGTGACGAGCAACGTCGACACCTGGGTGGAACAGCAAATCCTGGAGGCTAACACGATCCTGGAAGCCTTTGGTAGAATCTCCTTTCTTTCTCCCGTGATTACCCTACACTGGGGAAAAATAGAAAATCCACTGAATCAAAGAAATATTTTTTTGAATAGTACCTGAGATATATTTTGTTAATTCGAATAGTACGTCAATTAATTGTCCCGGTTGAAACAGGTAACGCGAAGACGGTGCGCAACGACAACAGCTCCCGGTTTGGGAAGTTCATGCAGGTCTGCTTCGACAGTAAATGGATGATCAAGGGATGCATCATCCAGGACTACCTGCTGGAGCAGAGCAGGATCACGTTCCAGAGCCCTGGCGAGAGGAACTACCACGTGTTCTACCAGCTGGTGGAGGCCGGCACCAGGGACAAGGAGTTCGCCGACAGGTACCAGCTGATGCCAGCTGGCCACTACAGTTACCTGAACCAATCGGGCAGCGCGAAACCAGATGGGGTGTCCGGCTCCAAGAGATTAGACGCCCTGAGGTTGGCCTTCAACGTTCTCCAGGTGCCCCCGGAGATGTCCGAGGGTATCTTCCGGGTGCTCTCCGCGATCCTCTGGCTAGGGAATCTGACATTTGCGGACGTCGACGGGGAGAGGTGCGAACTAGCCCAAGGAGACGACGAGATCGTCGAGAGGGTCGCCTCTCTTCTGGGTCTCCAATCCGGGGACGTCACAACGGTCCTGCTCGTTCGGCAGATCAACGTCCGCGGCAACATCACCGAGATCCCCCTCAAGGTCCAAGAGGCCAGAGAGAACCGCCATGCGATGTCCAAGGCTCTCTACTCGAGGACCTTCGCCTGGCTCATCAACCACATCAACAACTGCACCAACCCCGGCCAGGATATGTCCAGGTTCCTCGGAGTCCTGGACATTTTCGGGTTCGAGAATTTTGCGGTCAACAGCTTCGAACAGCTTTGCATCAATTACACCAACGAGAAGCTGCACAAGTTCTTTAACCACTACGTCTTCGCCCTTGAACAGGAGCTCGTAAGTATCACCAGGTGCTTCCTTATAGGTAGCGAATAGACGAGGCTGAACGAGTCCTTCCTTCTCAGTACCACCAGGAGGAGATCCAGTACTCCCACATCACCTTCACGGACAACACCTCGTGTCTGGAGCTGATTGAGAAGCCGCCTCGCTGTGTACTGAAACTGCTGACCGAGCAGTGCCACATGCCTAAGGGCTCCGACCTGGCGTACCTGACGAACCTGCACGCAGAGTTCGAGGGTCATCCCTGCTATGTTAAGGGTGACGATCGACGCAACTGGGAGAAGGAGTTCGGTCTAAGGCATTATGCTGGATGCGTGACCTACGCTGTCCAGGGCTTCGTCGACAAGAACCGGGACGTCCAGCAGGACGTCTTCTTCGACTTCATGTCGAGGAGCACCAATGAGTTCGTTCAAGAGATCACAGCCTACCAGGATCTGCTGGGCGCCACGGTGGGCCGCGTCCCAGTCGTCGGGGCTACCACGGTAGCGACTTCCACGATGTCCAGGGGCACCTCCAAGGGCAAGCCCACCCTCTGCGACTCCTTCCGACACCAGCTCCAAGCTCTGGTGGACGTCCTCCAAGCCACTACACCCTGGTACGCCAGGTGCATCAAGCCCAACGTGGACAAGGTCGCGAACCACTACGACGAGAAGCTCGTCCTGGACCAGCTCAAGTACCTCGGCATGCTGGACATCATCCGCATACGGAAAGAGGGCTTCCCTGTGCACATGTCCTTCAGAGACTTCATCACCAGGTACCGGTGTCTCGAAGGAAAAACACCTTCGAAGTTGCGGGACCACCCTGACGAGCGAGAGACGGTCCAGTCCCTGATAGCTACTCGTGGCATTCCTGAGACAGAGTGGCAGATTGGCCGCACCAAAGTCTTCCTCAGGAGCTACGTCCACGAGCCCTTGGAAGATTCTAGAAATCGCGTCGTCAACGAGGGTGCCATCGTCGTGCAGAAGACGTGGCGCGCTTACGTAGTTAGAAGAGGTTCGTGCATCGAGGAATTATTCTTTGACTTCCAGTACTTGAAGGTGAAGTCGGTAATAGCGACTTCATTATATTCCCTTTCATCTCATTCTTTCCATGCCTCGAATGTCTAGAATACCGGCGAGTCAGAGAGGCTGCGCTGACGGTCCAGCATGCGTACCGCGGCTGGAAGCTGCGGATCATGTTCATCAGGAAGCGCAGGGCAGCGATCGTGATCCAGTCCCATCTGCGGGGAGTCTTCGCGAGGGAGGTGGCGGCGGCGCTCCGCGAGATGAGGCGAGTTGACGAGGAGATGCGAAAACGAGAGCGAATGGAGGAAGAGCGACGACTGATGGAGGACAAAAAGGCGTTGGAGGAGAGCCAGAGGTAAGAGTCTTTGTCTCGACCGTGAGTCTATCCGTTTCGTAGTAGATGTTCATCTGACGGATCCTGTGGTAACGAGATCTGTTGGTTTGTGCATTGTAGCGGCCAGTACAACGGTATCGTTGGAATGGAACCTGGGTAAGTGGGAGTGGAGGCATTAAAATAAAATCTGCAAGGGCGACCGAGGAGCGCCGACCAAGCCGCGAGCCGCTTTGAAGGTTGCGCGAAGTTTATAAAAGAAAATCTCTAGGTGTGTCCATGCGTCCTCGTGTTACTCGAGTACTACCTCTTGGCAAATTTGAACGGAATTACTGACCATATGAAATGTATATCTCGAGTTTCTCTGATTTCGCTGATACCACGGCGGCCTTTGGCGCTCCTCTTTTACCGCTCTGTACCTTTTGAGTCGGGCTCGCGCCTGCGGTTTTGCGGTACTATGATTCATAACTAGACGTGTGTTCGCGAGCGCAAGTCCGATCAATCGCTTTCGATGGGCCGATTAAGTTAAATGATTAAGATGATGCGACAGTGGCGGCAAAGAGGTCTCGTTTATGAAACTTTTCGTCGAACTGGGTGCACCGAATCATTTCAAACCGTACAATGTGAATATGGGGGCTATCACAATGATCCTAATACCCTTGTAATTTTATTTTTTATAAAAAATTATAAAAATGTCTATAAACAAATGTTGAAAATATTGAAATTTTATGGTTGTAAGGACCTTCCTTGTAGCTTCTATATTCTCGCTGTAAAGTGTAAAATGATCCGGTACGCCCATTTCAAAGAAAAGCTTCATTAACGATTGACTCCTCAGAGACCTCTGTCGCATCGCCTTAAGTGTCTTCAGGGTAGGAAAGAGTTTCATGTTTAATCCTCTTTTCTCTGCAGGAAGGCGCAGGAGGAGATTGCTGCCCTATCCCAGATGGCCGAGCAGCTCAACTCGAAGATGGCCACGACTGAGCTGCAGTCGGTCGACCTGGACAACTTATTCTCTTTCCTATCGGACGTGCAGTCGACCAAGAGCAACCAGATCATCGAGGAGATCGGCGAAAGGATGGACGAGTTGGTCGAGGATCTGGACGTCGAGCTGGAGACGGTGATCCAGCAGGAGCTCGAGCTGAACTCGCGGGCCGACGTGAGACGCGCGAGCGCAGAGGGTCCGGAAGGTGTCCAGCAACAGCAGCAACCCAGGACCACGGCTGGAGGTTCTGGAAAACTCGGCCAGCCGAGTCTACCGGAGCCAACCGAGCCTCCACCTCCGCCGCCACCACCTCCTCCACCACCCTTCGCTTTCGGTTTGGTCTTCTCCGAGGACTCTGGCACAGATGCTGGCGAGCCCATCTACGAGTCTGTGTTGCCGAGAGATGAGAACGGTCCAGGAAGTCCAATCCTCGTCAACGGGACTGCCACTGGCCAACTGGTGAATGGAACCGACCGCTGTACCTCGCCGTTACCGGTTCCCGTGACCAAAATCATGAAAGAGCCGGCAGCGACGAGTCCACCTTCCGCGAGACCGGACATGCTACACCAGAATGGACATTATCATCCCCATCAACAAGCTGCTCTACCGCAGCAGGAAATGCAGCCGTTACAGCAGGACCTGTCACAGCAGCAGCAGCAGCAACAACCGCTGCACCAACCACCGACACAGCCTCAGCAGCAACAGCAGCAGCAACGACATCAACAACCCCAGGATCAGTGGCTTCATCAACAGAGGTACTCGGAAGAGGAGCAACAGCAGTCCCTCCAGCAACAACAGCCCCAGGAACGCGAACAGCGCAGGAAGTTCAGGGTCGAACGGAAGCTCCAGGAGCTCGAGGAGAAGAAGGAGCTGCCCGAGAACGAGACCACGTATCATGATATTGTCGAGTTCGCTCAGAACTATTTCAACAGTCACGAGAGGTCTCCCGAGGGCACCATAATGGCCACGCTGACTCGCAAGTCGCGAGGTAAAAGCGTCGAGTACATTCCCAAGTACGAGATGGTCACATATTATAAGGGGAGCAGCATCCCAAACTCGCACATCCACATGTACGACCCGGATAATGTTAACGTGGCGTGCTCCGTCTTCAGGGTGAGTCGTAGAAATAATTGTCCAGATCGTCATTTTACAGCGATTGGAAAGTAGCGGCTGAAGGGTTTAGTTTATGAAATTCCTCTTCAAACCGGGAGTATCGAATCGGTTGTCGTTTTACCTCGTGGACGTGGTGGCCCTAGGGAAGGTCTTACACCCATGTAATTGTATTTTTTTCTAAATTCGTTTATGAACGATTTATAGTTTTTGTATAAAAAATGAAATTTCATGGATGACGAGACCTTCCATCAGGGCGTTCGTATACACGTGGATAAATCTCAAACGATTTGGTACACATAGTTTGAAGATAAGCTGAATTAAAGAAACTTGTTTGACGTCATTTTCACGCCGTGCGTTAGGAGAATTACAGGAGCTGACTCGCGTTGGTCTTTTCAGGATCTGTGCAAGTATCTTCGAGGCGAGACGAAGCAAGACCAGGAGATCGCGACTATCCAGAGCATAATTGGGTACGGCATCGAGAGGGAAGAGCTCAGGGACGAGATCTTGGTCCAGTGCATGCGCCAGGCGACCAACAACCCCAACATCGAGTGGGCCGAGAGGGTCTGGTTGCTCCTTTGCTTGGCGATAGTCGCCTTCCAGCCCAGCAAGCTCCTCTACAAGTATTTCGTCTCCTTCCTGAGGAAGAACCTCGCCCTGGAGGGCAAGCTCCGACAGTACGTCCAGTGGTGCGCCGACAATTGCAAGAACACGAAGGTTTCTTGTCGACAATATCCACCGTCGACCGTCGAGATCGCGGCCATGCGCAGGCTGGGAACCATCGTCTGCAGGTTCTTCTTCCTGGATGGAAGGACGAAGGCCATAGACGTGCATCCGACCGACACTGCTGCCGATGCTGCCGCGAAACTCGCTGAAAAACTTGGCCTTAGGTCCCTCGAGGGTTGGGCGATCTACCAGAGCAGACCCGATGGCGAGGAACACGTCAGGGCCCACGACTACCTCTACGACGTGATCGCCGCCTGGGAAATGTAAAGCTCTTTTAACAATGCTGTCCTTTGCTAAGGATCCATTTTTTTTTTCTAACGATGGTTCTCTATGGCTTTTCATATTCTTCCCCCTCAGGAAACAGTGCAAGCTGAACACATCCCAATCTACGTTCTCGACTCTGAGGAGAGGCAACAATCCAACCCTAGGCAGCGGGGAGAACCGCTTCGTCTTCAAGCGCCGACTCTTCAGGAACACCCGAGAGATGTCGCAGGACCCGGTCGAGGTCAACATGCTGTACGCGCAGGCGGTGTACAATGTGGTAAAGGTATGGGAATTTTTATTTGTTAGCAGGTTAGTATCGGGTACACAAAAAAAAAAAGAGTTTGCCATTGAACCAGAGAAATAGTTCATTATGGTTCAATGAATCTCTCTCTCTCTCTCTTTTTTTTCTTTTTAAGTATAGAGAAGTAGAAGTGGAGTGATGATGTGATCGGTGGTCTTTTAGTGCGACGACTTCCCGGTGTCGGAGAAGGTGGCGCTTCAGTTGGCTGGTCTTCAGGCTCAAGTGGCGTTGGGCGACCCCAAGGACAACGACCGATTGGACTACTACAGCGAGGTCGACAGTTTCCTGCCGTACCGCATCAGTCGGGCTCGAGGAGACGACGTCTGGGTACCGATAATTGCGCAAGCTCACAGACAGTACGGTGCCGGTCGTTCCGAGCTGACGGCAAAGGTCCTCTACCTATCCTGCGTGATGCAGTATCCGCTGTACGGCACGACGATGTTCAACGTGACCTATAGGGGATATTGGTCGTACGGCAACCAGTTGGTGCTTGGCATCAACTGTGACGGTTTGATGCTGATCAAGCCGGACGACAAGTTCGTACTGTCTGAGTATCGGTACCAAGACGTCGAGAGCATAATGCTCGACCCGAGCGACTCCTTCATCACGCTGTCCCTGCTGAGGCACAACCCGGACAGCTCGCACAAGTGCTTCGTCTTCGAGACGCCGCAGAAGAACGAGATCGGCAGCCTGATCGTGAGCTACTGTCCGGCCCTGGCCGGTTGGATAACAGAAAACGAGGCCCCGGTGAAGAAGCTGAAGGGCATCACCAACGAGGACAGGGTCAGGCTCTACCACAACCTGGTGAACTGCAGGCGAACCCTGGTCGACTCGGAGGCCCTGAGGAAACCGCAGGACACCGGCGGTGGGTTCCTGAGGAATACCCTGCGCAGGCTGTCCAAGCACAGGATCGAGAAACTGCGGCAGGAGCACGGGACCGCCACCGACCATGGGGAGACCTACAAGGGCTTCTCGTACGCGTACTGGGCATTCAGTAGGCAGGCCATACCCCAGAGTCTGACCAGGCTGCCAGACTTAGAGGAGCAAGGTGCGCTCTCGGTCTTCCAACTGATCCTGACCTACGCTGGCCTCGGCCAGAATGGCGACACCGTCAGGCGCGTCGAGGACGAGCACGTTAACCTGATCCAGACGATCATGGACCGCTGCATGCGCAAGGAAACCCTTCTCGGAGAGCTGTACCTGCAGCTGATCAAGCAAACCACCGACCATCCCGATCCCAACAGCCGGGTCAACCTGAGGCACTGGGCCTTCCTCTCGCTGGCCTGCTCCGTCATCCTGCCACCCCAGAAGATCATCCGGAAGTACTTGATCGCCCATCTGAAGAGGTGCGCGACGGACTACGTCACGGAGGAGGGCAAGTACGCGAGGTTCGCGGAGAAGTGCCTCTACAGGACCCAGAACACCAGGAGGCGGCAGCTGCCGCCTAGCCGAGAGGAGATCATGTGCACTATCAACCGTAGGCCCATTTACGCGAGATTCCACTTCATGGACGGCCAGTACCACGCCGTTGAGTTCCACCCCTCGGCCACGGCGACGGACGTCATGGAGATCATCAAGGCCAAGATAGGTCTTGAAAAGTGTGCCATGGGTGAGTATTGTAGAATCCTGACCGAATTCTGATTTCTTCCCGTTAATCCTTGCTGATTAAATTCTGTCTTCTAGGTTACGCGGTCTACGAGGTGTTGGGGTCCTCGGAAAGGTCTCTGTTACCCGAAGAGAAGATCGCGGACGTCATGTCCAAGTGGGAGCGTTATAGAACCGCCAGTGCCACCCAGCAGAACCAGCAGTCTCAGCGGAAACACGCTCACCACCTGTTCCTCTTCAAGAAACACCTCTTTCTCGACCGGTATATGAACCTGGACGACCCTGTAGAGAAGGAGCTCCTCTACCACCAGGTCTTGCACGACCTCCGCGCGGACAGGTTCCCCATTACCGAGAAGGAGGCTGTGAGTACACGTTCTGGATGTGAAGGAGGAGGAATCTTGAGCCTCGTGGTCGAATTCTTATGGGGAAATCCTTTCCAGGTGATGCTGACCGCCCTGCAGGCCCAGCTGGAGCTAGGTGATTGCCAGGAACTGACCGGAGGCCAGGAGTACAGAGCCATAGCTAGTCATTGCCTCCCTTCGCGCCTCGTGCCGAGTCTCTGCGTCGAAGGGGTTCTTCAGCATCACCAGTCCTTGCGAGGGATGACCCAGCCAGAAGCCAAGAAGGCCTTCCTCAACCTGATCCAGTCGTGGCCGCTCCACAAGTCGACTATCTTCGACGTGATGCAGTCCTTCACATCGAACTGGCCCAGGGTCCTGTGGCTCGCCGTTGACCAGCAGGGACTCCACCTCCTGGAGCACCGCTCCAGGAATGCCCTCTGCACCTACGAGTACAGCAGCATCCTCACCTACAACCCTGCGCAGAACTGCCTCATGATTATCACCGGCACTGACAAGAAGCAGAGCAAGGTGATTCTCACGACCTCACAGGTGAGTCGGATTAACTCTTTCATGTTTTTTACGTGTCTTCCGCTCTTTCTCAATCGTCTTCACGGTAATTAGTGTACTCTCTCTCTCCCCTAGGCTTACCAGATAGCGAATTTGATTCGCGAATACACGGAAGTGCTGCAGTCGCCCCCGGAGGTACCGAAGAGGGACTCCATGATCGGACAACACGTCGACAGACAACAGCAGTACCAACAACAGCCGCTGCACCAACAACAGCACATCCAACAGCAGCAACAGCAGCAGTACCAGCAACAGCAGGCACCCGCTGTTCGTAAATCCAGACCGACGTCGGTTCTCCACAGAGGAGCACCGGTCATCCATTCCCAAGCTAGTTAAAGTCGAGCCGCCATTTTGCGCCCGACTTCGCATCGAGAGGTCCGACCGACAAATAGCATGTTAAACCGAAGCAGTACCAGCAACGACCACCTGCCGTTCGCAAATCCAAGCCGAGAGACGACCTAAACGACACCTAGCAACAGGACGCACTGCCACCGACAATTCCGCGGAAGCGGGAAGCCGTTTACAGCCATTTTTTACACATCTCCAAGAGGCTGCCAGATTACGCTGCCATGCTTCCAAGGGAGCCATTTTCTTTTTCTTACTCGTCTAGTTATCTTAGCTCTTTCCATATCGTAAAGTCCTGTTTTTACATCGGTGGAGTCAGTAGGCTAGTACACTCCATTTCTGGATTTTTCTCGAATCTACTCCACTACTAATCTTGGTAGACGACCGTCTGCCCAAGAACGGTAGTTTGGAGGAGAGACTAGGGTAAAGATACATGTTTTTGTCCGACTACTCTACCTGGATAAACCTGTTTACACCAGTAGAGCGTCGGTAGAGTAGAATGAGGATCATGGTAGGGGGAGAATAGGGTACTATTTCGCATGTACTGTGATATTCTCGCCATTCAAGGTGTTTACGTGCTAGTAATGGGATAGTGCGTATTCTACCTCCGTAGTTACCCACTAATTCTACCGATGTAAACGGGATCTCACCGTACGAAGCCCTCGACACGGTGCGCGAGCAAGTGCACCGCGCGAAGTCGCTGCAACGGTCCTCGCGTCATCCGCCTCGGACCACGGCGGTCGCGTGTATATATATATAGAATTGCGACGTAGTCTAGGAAATTGGGCACGCACGTAGCCGACCGACCGGGTCGGTTTTCTCTCTCCTTCCATTTCCGAAAGTATGTTCCGGCGAGAAACGTCGCCCGGTCTTGGGGAATCCGCGTAACCGGCGTCGGCGGCTAAGTCTCGGGAGTGGGAATCGTAAGATCTGTCTCACTGCCAGGGAAGGTCCTCAACAAGTGCCCTGCGTTAATCAATCCTTACACGTTAGATTACCGTAGAATCGCAGGAAGGTACCTAAGACTTTTTGTCGTCGAGCCTTTCCTTTCTATCGAAAACCAGCCCTCGGTTTGACGCGAATAATGATCGTTCAGAAGCGTCGCGGCTGCACATTCCTCTCGTACAATCAACCGGTAACAATGACCTCGCTTAACGACTTCGCGTTACGCCAACAAGTCGCGCTAATTTAATCCATCACGCGACCGGAACGAAAGGCGAATTATAAGAACTTCCCCCTAGCGATCCAACAGTTGTTCACCACCAAGTTCTGGATTTTAAACCGTCCTCTACCGTTTGAAATCCGCGGCTTCGTATGGAACAACCTAGAGAAATCTAGAAGAATCTAGAAGAATCCAACGGTCGCCCCCAATCGTCGCGCGCGAATCTCGATATCTGGAAAGGTGGATTCCTTTCCAAGTAGAATGTCCTCGGCCCATCTAGGCGTTATCAGGGCACGCGACTCCCGATTCGGACCTCTAGTATAGTAATATATATAAATAAATAAATATATATATATATGTACCTATAAGAGAAGAGCGCGATGGATTCGCGCGCACCGGCCATTCCGGTGACCCATGTCTCCGGACTTGTCCCTAAAGTTTAACGCGCAAAAGAGACGGGCAATCCTAGTCGGCTAGAGGGCGCCGAGAGCGTGGAAACGTCTCGACGCGTCCTAACCAAAGCGGAATCCCCGCCTGGCTTTGAATCTCGTAAACCTCGTTCCCGCTACGCGGGAGAACGCGCGCGGAAAATCCGGACCCGCGTGTCCCCCAGGCTGTATCCACGACGTAGGCTAGGTAAATTATTTGACGATCGATGAGGTTACCGAGTAATTATCAAACGAAAAATGCTCCGTGTATATATATACATACATATTCGTACACCCACACGCATATGGACACGCACACTCACAGATACACCGGGGGGTGGGGGTCGAGCGCCACACACGCACAAACGCGACACGTACAAATCAGGGAAAACGACACGCGTACAGGTTCTATACATATATGTATACATACGGATTATACATATATATGATACACTAATTATACCGGACTTCTGTATAAGAACGTAATAAAAAGATATTATATTGCAACGACATCCCTCGGAGGGTCCTCCCTCTCTCTCTTTCGAGTTCGCACATCGGCTCGCATCCGACCTTTCGCATGTTGAGCGCTAATATATATATATATATTTCTATTTATATATATATATATATATATATACTTTTATTTTTATTTTTGACGATTCTTTACACAATGATCAGACAAGTAACAGTGTTCGCTCCGGTCGACGGTTGTCCTTGTCCTTGCGAACGCGGCCTCCCTGGGGGGATTGGCGCCGGCGATCCCAGCGCCGCCGGCGGCGACTCCCGAAAGCTTCCGGCGCCAGAAAGAGACGGACAGAGGGGGAGTTCAGTGGGAGGGAGGGAGACGGATGGAGCGCGCGCACGCGCTGCCAAGGAGGCGCGCGTTTCGCGTCCGCGGTGTAATTACTTCGGGTAGGTAGGCTAGATAGGAATTCGCCTAACTATCTATCTATGCATGTATATATATATATATTGTTTATATATATATATTTATCGCTATGGTACTTACATACCGCGCGCGCACATATTCCGCGGGGTCGCCCGAAAGCGCGCGATTTTCCTAGGACATACGAGGGACGACGACGCGCCCAGGGGGCGGCGGCGCGTCGCCGTCGAAACATCGAAAGCGTTTACACTGGAGATTCTCTTTTTTTTTACCTCTTTCTGCTTTTCGTCTATCTCTTTCTCTTTCTCTTTCTCTCTTTCTCTCTTTAACGGCGGACAACACGACTATACTCGAACGTTATAACTGCCTAACGGTTACAATTAAGTATGGCCGCCTCGAAGCGTAGGTACATTAGCGAGAATACACGACGAAATACGCACCCGAATGCGACGGACTTTACGCCCCCCCCCCCCCTCCAGCCCCGCCGAGCGCGGGTCCCCGGGGAACCGCGGCCGATTCTAAGAACGGCGCGAAAGTCGCAACCGATACGCGAAATCGTTGCGGCCGAAGGAGCGCGAAAGAACGGCGCTCACGAGTTCGACCTGACCAGTAGCACTCGGAACTTGTCCGATAAATTCTCGGGTCGATGCGAACGGGACGGCAGCGGATTAAGGCCGTTTCAAACGTATCCACACCGTGTCCGAGACGTATCCGGGCACCCGGGGGAAATGTCTGCTTAGATTTACACCGGGAAATCGATCACACCTTTATACCATGCGCAGATCTTATAGCGTGAGCGGAGCCATTAAGGCGATACGAAAGGGCCATTCTCTACATATCAAGACGTGATAATACTTATATAAACTTTCCTCCAAACCAGGTGCATCGAATCAATTGGAACTTGAACGCGTGACAATGGCTTTATGTTTCGACGCTTCGTTATGTATAGAGTGACCCTTTCGTACCAGCTTAAAACGCACGTTACAATACTTGTCGGATCGGCAAGGGTCTTAACCGATACGTGGGCGTGATCGGCCCTACCTCGTCGTGAGGTGTTAATAAAGGATTCAAACATTTCCCTCTCGCTATCGATGAATAGCGCGATATAAATCTAAGGAGGCGTTATATGTATCTGTATGTGGATATATGGAGTCGGGGATACGACGGTATGGACGTGTCTGAATCAGTCTTTAGCTGGTCTGGTCGCCTCGGAGCGTTCGTGGAAAACAAAGATGGCGCCCGCCTCCTTTCCTCGAGGACTCGGCTCGGATCGAATCGCTTTTCTTTACTTCCTCCTTGCTGCTGGCTGACGGAGTAGGCCGGTCTGAGCGATTCCTCTTTGCCCCTCTCCCTCTCCCTGGATCCGGCGTTCGCGTGGCGCGCTACCCCTCGGGAAGGAAGATTTCTTAATATTTATGACTAGTCTCGGTCCAGCCGATACGCGCGCGCGCGAGCGAGCGAGCGAGACGGCGAGCGGCTCGCGCGTGCCGAGGAGATGAACGAGCGACGAGGATGGAGCGACGTCACGTGACGCGATCCGTGAGCGATTCCCTACGGGCGCTCCGCATCGGACCTCGGACTAAATTCACTTACACGACGCTAGAACTCGTGCCGAGAGTTAATAGTACTCGAATAGTAGGCAGAGTCAACTTGAATTGTAAATCTCGGAGTAACTCGCATGCTAACTCAAATCTCAAAATACAATAATATTAGATTTAACATCTCTTTACATTAGCTGTCGCACTCTACGGTTGCACTCGACGCATTATCTACCGGAAGCCTATTAATCGGTTTTGCGATACCCGTGGCCGGGATTTATCTTTCAATTCGCCGGCAAATAGTGTGCTCAGCCCGACGTGGCTTGTGCGCTCTTGGCATCAAGGTGTTGGCGAAATTGGCGCCGAAGATGTCTCGTTCGTGAAGCTTTTCCTCGAACCAAGTGAACCGATTCGTTTCAAACTGTACAATGTGAATATAGAGGCCACAAGGAAGGTCCTGACACCCATGAAATTTCAAGTCCTTCCAAATCTCTTTGTAGACATTTTGAGAAATTCTGTACCAAAAAAAAAGGAAAAAAGAAATTGAAATTTCACGGGTATTGTTATTTCCTCTTTGGCCTCCACGTTCACGTTGTCAAGCTCGAGATGATCCTCGGTTCACTCTGTTCGGAGAAAAGTTTGACGAACGATTGACCCCTCGGGTGCCACTTCGAAATCCCCTAATGGAATCGATTCACTTTGTGCCGTGAGTAAAGGTTGTCCGAAATCTTGAGCGATGGAGCGATTATTTTTTTTCCCATTCCGATTTTAGGACTGTTCGAAGAGTCGACATGGAGCGTCAGTCGAAACGCACGGATAGCAGTAACGTCGAGTGATCAACTATTCTGCACCGCTTGGACGTGGCTACTCCCTTAAAAAAGCCACCGAAGAGATGGCACACGACATAGAACTTTGGAGGCTGCAAAGATAGCACGCCGCACATCAATCATCACAACCACGACAATAATTGCGGTCGTCCAACGGTCACAAAATTATGATTACGCTAGTCAATCAGACCAGACCCAGATCCTCGTAAAACTTACTTCTTACAGCGATGGATACACCTTATCCATATCAGGTTACATTCCGCATAATATACGGACAAAGGTGTATCCACGTTTATAAAAAACAGTACATTTTACTCTGATCTAGTCCAGAGTGGTTTGGTCGGTTGTAGCGTAGCCAGAATCCCTTCAAACCACCTTCGGTGTACAAAACCTTAGCCAAACGCAATTATCTTTCGGCAATTAATAGAGGAAAAATAGCGCTAATCACATACTTCAAATGAGAAGCTTAAATCAAGTATTTCTGCCGAACATAAGCCGTAACATCCACGCCATTGAAATCTCAGTTGAATTTTTCTTGTCAGAGCACATTTCGTTTCACGCGTGCTGCAAGTACAAAATTGTCTACCTCTTCCAGACGAAGGCAAATGTTAAAGAGCATATCGAAGCACGTACAAAAAAAAGAAAAAGAAAAAAAAATTAGAAACTAATTTCTACCGTAGCCGTAATGCCGATCTTTGGCGTTAAGTATTCGGTGCCGTTCGCGCATGCCTCTTAATGTATTTGGCGCGGAACTCTACCGAGTTTCCTGATCTAACGGCGGATCGAGCAGCGTCCCACTCGGACCGTTCGCCCCTTCTCATCGCCTCTCCCGCTCTCTCCTACTCCGAGGCGCGAATCCGCTCAACGGACCGCTCGGATCATCGAAGACGACTATCAACTACCTGCCCTTAACTTTAGCCTTAGAGTCTAAGCGCGATTCATTAAGTAGTAGACGAATAACTCGCTCCCTGTTAGCTTCCTCGGACGTTTCTCTGGACGCGAGCGAGACGCCGTTCGCGTCCACGTGCCCTTGCGCACGCCCTGCTGCGCAGCGAGGCACGCCTTGAGGTACTTATTGGCCGTTTGCAGAAGCGCGACGAAGCCGACGAAGGTTTTGGACTCGTTTTGGCAGTTCCAGCGTCCGGGACGGCGGGCGAGCCCTGTCGACCCGCCTCTCCATCGATATGTATCTTCGCCGTGTGACGTCGTGCAGCGTCATCTAACGTTGTGCAGCGCCACCAAACGTTGTGCATCCCCATCTAACGTTGTGCAGCGCCAAGTATAGCGTAACGCCGTGTAACGTCGTTTAACGTCGGACAACGATACGGCAACGGAGGAAAGCTGGTCGCAGCGCATACAACGTTTAACCGAAAAACTCTCGAGCAATCGATACGGAGTACTCGTGTCAGCGAATCGAGGTCGCCGCGAAGAAACGAGAAAAATCGAGTCGGCGATGCCACGTGAGCACCTTAAGGCAAAGATGCCCTTTGACTAGAGTCACGGAGATCGTTACACCGGGGGGTCCCGTCGACGCTAAACGACGACACCAAAACCCTCGACCGCGCCTCATCCGGTCGCTCGTGCACCCTCGAGATCTCCGGGAAAGAAAGAAGCCCCCACCCCCCGTCGTGTGTGGATGTGACTAAAGAAAACGAGATAAAGAAAAAAATAAGAATACTGTTGCAACGCATCTCCATGAAGAAGGGACTTCACGAGTCGGGTTACGCGGCCGCGTCTAGAGAACGACGTCGGTGGCTACGTAGACGAAACCGGAACACCGTTAAGCCGGAGTCGGGACGAGAAACAAAGGATGATAATACCTGGCGTTACGACGCGTGGTGTCTCGGAGCGTCGCCATCGCGCTTACGGTTTGTTTCCGCGCCGCGAACCGAGAGGGCGCGACGCGCGCGGCGGCCTTTGTTTTCCCCTCTCTCTTTCTCTCCTCGATTTTCTCTCTTCTATGAGTCTTCGCGGGTTCTTAAAATCCGTATAAATTCCGTATAAACTCAGGGTGGCCCGGTATCGGTCCGCGGGGGTAAGGTCCGGCGTTTTTAAAATCGCGCTTTTGTACGATAGGTGAATCCGAGGGAGTCGAGAGACCTCCCCGGTCGACCCTTCCCCGTGTCCAGGTAGTGTGCGTCTTGCCTCTACTGGCCGGCGAGTCTGCTGGGATTGAAGTCGAGATTGACGAAGGAGAAGCCGCGGAACTCCTGCTGATTGATGCACCGCACGATCTCGGCGTTGATCGGCGTCAGGACGGGGTCCTCCTTCGTGAACTCGGCGTCGAAGTTCAAGGCGTCCTTTTTGTTTTTCTGGAAATAGAGGGAGGGATTAAAGGTGGTTCTAGATGGAACAGGGAACTCGATGGCGACATCGCTTACGATTTTCGGCTTGAAGGGCGGCTTGACTCTCCGCGACTCGAGGGCCTCCCAATCCATGTACTGGAAGAAGGGATGGACCTTAATGGCGCTCTCTCCGCCGTTGTCCGCGACACAGCCCAGTCGTTTCGCGGGGTTCTTCGTCATGAATCCCTTCAGGATGGACACGGCCTCGTGGGTCAGCCAGACCGGATAGAGCACATCGTCGTGGAGGATCGACTCGAAGAGGTCTTCTTCGTTATCGGCCTCGAAGGGTGGCTGTCCGGCCATCATCTCGTACATCAGGACCCCGAGTGCCCACCAGTCGACGCTGGCTCCGTACTCCAATTCCTGGAGGATCTCCGGGGCGATGTAATCGGGCGTGCCGCAGAATGTCGTGGTTGTGGTAGAGCCCTCGATGCCCTCCTTGCACATGCCGAAGTCCGCCAGCTTGCAGTGGCCCTCCTGATCGAGGAGGATGTTGTCCAGCTTGAGGTCGCGGTAGATCACTCCGTGCTCGTGGAGGAACTGCAGGGCTAGGGTCACCTCCGCCGCGTAGAACCTCGCCCTTGCCTCGTCGAATTTCCGGGCCCTCTGAATTTGGAACATCAGGTCGCCTGCAAACACCCAAGTGATGAGTCATACCGGCTGAAATTAATCTAGGAAAATTAATAAATCATTAAGGCGATGTGTGAAACAGGCATCAAAGAGGTCTTGTTGAAATGAAATTTTCCTCAGAACTGGGTGTACCGAATCGTTTCCAACTTTACCATGTGAATGTAAATGAATGATTCGATAGACCCAGCTCGCAGAAATGTTTCACGAACGATTCACCTCTCAGACGCCGCTTTCACGTCCCCTCAAACTAAATTTAATTTCAGCAAAGCGGACGCCACCTCCGTTGACGTATTCCATGACGAAGAAAAGCCTCTCCTCTGTCTGAAAGCAACTGTGGATGGCCGTGAGGAAGGGATGCTTCGCAGCCAGGGCGAGGATCCGTTTTTCCGTCATCGTGCAATCGACGTCGTCGTCCTGGATGATGACGTCCTTCTTGAGGACCTTGACGGCATACACCTCGTTGGGGTTGCCCTTACGCTCGGCCAGCATAACCTTGCCGAAGCTGCCCTTGCCGAGGACCTTGATGAAGTTGAAGTCGTCCAGGCTGACCTTCCTCGTGTCGGCCTCGACAGCCTCCGGGGTCTTCCGCTCCAAAGCTCCGTCTGCTGCGGCATTCCCCATAGCCGGGGCACCTGGGGTACCAGGTGCATCCGGAGCACCCGGGCTTGCCGACTGCTGGTTGTTCGAGCCCGTCGCGGTACCTCCACCTCCGCCACCCCCGCCGACCTGAGAGCTCTTGTAGTTGATCCGCGGAAGCTTCGTCTGCTTATCCGGCGAGATGCCCATTTTGTTCAGAATCTCCGCCATCACCTTCGTGTTGATGCCGCAGTTGTTCGCCACGTTCTTCTGGCATCTCTTGTGGACGTTCATGTTACAGGCTGCGAGTGAGAAGCGACCATTAGAACCGAATATATCTCCCGTATCTTCCCTGGGTATCCAGAAATCCACTCACCTACACACTGGAGGCCCTGCTTGATCAACCCATAGAGCAGCGAGCCGCAGTGGTCGCAGAACGTGAAGAGCTTATAATTATGCACAACGAACCGATGGGGGATGTTCACGTTGAACCGTTGACCCTGGGTGCCTTGACTGGACTGTAACACGATTCCTTTCCCCTGAACGGACGGAAGATTCGAAAAGGATCAAAATCAAATTCAAACGTAGTCACCCCTGGCCAATTGCCCTCGGATGCCGAAATGAAAATGATATTCGCATTTCATACGTAACTAAATGAACTTCATGGGCCTTTATTTGCATGCACATGTGGCGGAATTAAATGAAAAAAATGTTTCAAGCAGGCAGAGGTTGATTAGTAATGAGACTGCATAGTACCTCGTCTCTCATCCCGGGGCACTTGGTCACCACCGACTCGTGGCATCTCTTGTGGACGACGCAGGTGCACACTGAAACAGGAATGGCAAATTCGACGGTCAAGTACGGAAGTTAAAAGCTACGACAGCGTAGGCGACGGCGACGTTGGTAGCAACGACGGCGGCGGCGGCGACGACGTCGGCGGTTACGTCCCTCCTCGACATGCACATTTAGTGGGGGGTACTTACGATCAAGGTGGGAATCGCAGATCGCAGGAGCTCGGCAGGAGGTCGCAGGAAGCGGCACGATTAATTAAAGAGCAAGCGAGAGCGGTCATGCGAATCGAAGTCCTCTTCGTCGAGAGGTGGTCGATCGTCCCGTCGCCGTCGCCGTCGGCCGACAAAGACCGGGATGGAGGAGAGGGATGGGATCCGTCGAGGTTCAGGTACTTGCGAGGTATCGGTAGGGCAACGACGGCAAAGGGGGGAGGATACGAGATCGGCGACAAAGACGGAGAGCAAAAGCCTGTGACTTCTACCAAGGCGGAGACTCGGTCTAAGAAAACGATCAGCCAGGAAAGACGAGGTTCTCGGTCTCTAGGGTCTTCGAGCTGCCTACTGTCCGCGTTCACGAGTCGTACAGACACACACGCGCACAAACATCGACTCTGCAAGCGAATACATCAGGTAATTGGTTAATAACGTGACTGTGTCTTCCTCACCTTGACACTGATAGCCCTGCTTGCCCAAGCCCCTGAAATACACAGACAGAACACGTCACATCGTCTCCTTGAAATCCCTTTTACACACATACGTAAGCCTTCTCTGCCTTTAAACCATTATGGAGACGAAAGGGCTGGGAGAGATCCCCGAAAATGCGTGGCTTTAACGAGGGAGCGAGCTCCGATACGCGTTTCCCTGGCATGCAGCTTGCCTTTTTTACGGGACCGAGCGAATCGCCGTTTACGATCACGAGCGTTCCTGGACTCGGGCAGGTCGTGCACTCGACGGAGTTCGTTTCCACGCGAGGATTGAAAACCTCGACTATGAGCTACCGATTTCATTGACACGTTTCTACGATTCATCACTTCGCACCACCAATGAAGCATTCCGAGAAAGCTAAATCACGCCTGAATATTAGTTTAACGAGAGGTAACGGTCGAATCGTCAACCATTAGACGTGGACCGCTCGGAACTATGCACTCGCCCCGTGGCAGGAACTTAGCTTCGTCGAAGAAATCCCAAAGCAGGTTATTCGCACAGTCCGAAGTTCACCGGACGGCGTACTCACAAATTGACCTCAAGAAGACGTACCATATAAACTCGCGGCAGTGGGAACAAAAAGTTGGCTGCCTCAAGAAGGTCGCCATAAACTTGTGGCCGTTTACTTGGTGGACCCTTCGCCGCATTGCCCCTCTTCGGCGGTTGAAACCTTGCCGCTCCTTGAACTCTCGCTTTGGTTCCCTGCCACCCGAGACGACGCCGACTCCGACTCCGACGTTGCCCCCAAATCCTTCTCCATCTCCGCTCCCGGAACTCGAGGGTCGATCTGGAATACATTTCGATACATACGTAAAACCACTCTTCCCAAAAACAGAGCCGAACCTTACAAAAGTCACGACCCACCTCGATCGTTCCATATTAAATCTATCCTTATCCGCAGCCGTCCTTGAGGTTCCAGGTCGACCTGCGACATAAACGTCGATAAACCATAAATTCAATGTTTCATTACATGATTCGTCGACTCAACCGATCGTACGCAGGAACGTCAAATCGAAATCGCTCTGAGGTTACGAGAAGATCGATTACCCAGAAGTCGGTAGTCTGCTCATCCCGGTGCATGAGCTCCTCGAAGGGGATGCTACAGTTAGCAACGAAGTCGTCTGGCGGCAGAGCTGCGTCGTGGAAGACGGTGAGGCCCAGCATGACGGCATCCTGCACTTCGTAGGTGAAGGACTCGTTCCAGACCGGGTTGAAGGTCTTAGGTTTGGTGGAGGAGCGCGCCAAGTGGTTCTCATCGACATCAAGAAGTACGTACGGGTCCAGGATGGGTGGCTCGTCCTGCCAGAACTTGCGCTGCTTGTCGGTGGCCCTAAGGCCCTCGGCCTCGCATATCTTAACATTGACCGTTCCGGTAAACATCTCCGGTGGTCGCGACCGTCGCCGTCGCGCTCGTCTCTCAGCAGCTGCCCGCAGCTGTCTCGCGGCTCGAGCTCAGCGTTCGGGCGGTCGTTCGGTCAGTTTTCGCCGAGCTCTCGGCCGTGGTCGTTCGGTCGGTTACTCGGACCCCGGGGGTCGCTCGGATCGGCCCTCGAGCCTCTGAGACGTCCCGCCTCTCCTTTCGTTCGATACTCTCCCACCCTCCCGCCACCCTTCGGACGGTTGTGGCTCCGTGCGCGCCACCGAGCCCACGGCAGGCGGCCGCGGCCTCCTCGACTCGAACGGTCACTGGGTTGTCGCCTCCTCCGATCCACCGGTGGCCGTCGTCCCCGTGACCGGCGCCGCCGCCGCCACCTCCTTCGTCGTCCTCGGCGATCCGACTATAAACAACCGCTCGATCTTCGGTCAGATCCAGCATTCGAGCATACTGGACGCGCGGGCGCGGCGAGGGGGCTGCTGGGAGCCGCGGGGCGGGGGCGACCGACGGACACGAGCGACTGGAATCGGAATGCCGAGAGAGACGGACGCTCTACCACGGACTTTGTCTCAGATGGCACCAAGTAAGACGAGAGATAGAATGGCCGTTACGAGTTCTAGCCCCCTGGTGGTCGCGCGATCAAAACAATCCATATTCCCTATGGATCTGCGCCTCGTTGTGCAATAGATTCAGACGTTACCGACCGAATGGAAAATGCTCTCCTTCCTTTTATAAGGTGTTACAAAAATAGGGAATATAGGCGAAAGCAAGATGAGTTGGGAGATTGCTCACGGACAGGGTCGCGCGATCGCATCTTGTGCTGCCCTCTGATTTTATACGTCAGCTTTCACCATTTTTTGCTCCCAAGGGCGGCGCAACGAATTTCTGGCAGGGACTCGCATACTGGCGATGGCGGTGCCATCTACCTGTCGCCGTTGGCGGCTTACGTACTCGTGATGGTAATACCATGCAGCTGTTGACGGTGGTGACTTACCTACGCTTACCGACCCTGCTCGCTTTTGATGATAAGGGAATTCATACGCTTTCCAACTATCGTTGAAAGCCGCCGGTCCGCAAATAGCTGCGCGAGTGGTTCCACTTAGCTTGTTTTGTGTATGCTAGTAGTTTAACGTAGTTAAAAGTGGAAGCACTCATTGCGTGCGCGCGTTAATGTAAATTGCGGACAGGACGTTGACGGGTACCTTTCCATGCAGCTAGTAATTTCGGATTTGCGTGCTAACCGAAGTAGATTTTTACAGGTACGGCAATGCCATACCTATAGTGTATCCGGCAGCTTCCGTCGGTACCTAGTACGTCGTAGCCAAATTACGGCGTGCAAGGCTACCTGGCTCAGGTTGCCGGTTGCGCGATGCGTTGTTTCGATTGGTAGATGGTATCGCCATCGCGAGTGCGCGAGCTCCTATCAGAAATTCGTTGCGCCGCCCTTGGGGGCAAAAAACGATGAAAGCTAACGTACGAAACCAGAGGGCAGCACAGGATGCGATCGCACGATCCTGCCCGTGAGCAATCTCCCAACTCATCTCTGGTTGTGTTCAGTTGCGTGTTGCATCTTCATGGGACGTGAATATGATTATTGAAGTGTGACTGTTGTTCGTAAATAAGACATGATAATTAAGATTTGTTTTGAAATCAGCAAAGGACTTCCGTTAAAATATTGCATATGATCCTTGGTTGCTCCTTAACGGTTGAAACACTGTTGTGATACCTTGGTCAATGTTTTGCATCGATAAAAATTCAAATGGTGATAGCAAACAGTTAGCCCTATTAATAAAAACTCAATTGAGGTAGATATTAATAATATTTCACTGGCAAAGAATGGCACAGCAAACACCAGGGGTACAAACTGCTGGTGCAGGTTCAGACATTATGTCAGCCCTAGGTAACCTCCAAACAGTTAACACTCAATCGTCTACACCTATGACGACTATGCAAAGTAACAGTACGATTCAAGTCATGCAACCTCCCTCTCAACCTCAGCAAACGCAATATGTTACACAGCCAACTAAGTCGCAGCCAGTAGCGCAATTACCTACTTCGTGTTCATCTAATGATTACGCTCAGGTATTTTTTAATGGTGCGATTTGATATTGACTCTGCTATATACTTTAATGATTACATTTTTAGTTTTTAACCAAGACTCGATTACAAGATCTCGTTAGAGAAGTGGATCCCACTGAACAGCTTGACGAAGAAGTCGAAGAAATGCTTTTGCAACTAGCCGATGACTTTGTTGAAACCACTGTGAACGCTGCTTGTTTATTAGCAAAACACCGACATGCAAATACTGTTGAAGTAAAAGACGTTCAACTCCATTTAGGTAAATAAACCTGTACTGAGTTTTATATATTATACTTATGGGTATATCCATATGTAGCTTTATTCTTTGCTTTTTCAGTTGACGATTATTAATTAAAGATTTACTACAAATTTATTATCTTAATAAATCAAGTATGTTGTTTGAAAAATAAAGAAATTATTTCAATTTTCAGAGAGAAATTGGAATATGTGGATACCTGGTTTTGGCACAGATGAAGTAAGGCCTTACAAACGAGCAACTGTAACGGAGGCACACAAACAGCGATTGGCTCTCATTCGAAAGAGTATTAAAAAATATTGATCACGGACATTACAATGTAATTAAGTTTAAGACATAAAGAGTTTCGTATTCATTGAACGATCGTTATTAAATTCGGATTTATAGAATACATATTTGCTAGGCACATTATTACCGAAATTGCGAATGAACTAGTAAGGACCGATTCATAAGGTGTAATTACACTATGTTTAAACATTATTGAATGACTATATAATTACATCAAAATGATTGAATAATCTACAAGATCAAAATAATGTTGTTAAGGTGATCTCAGATTTGTCTATTTCCAAATTTAAATTACAATTGTATCTAAATAGCAATATTTTGTAATAAAAAATCTTATAAGCTCTATGAATCTGTGATTACATGACATGATTAATACTTCTTATATACAGCATACTTATGCTTATGAAATTTTAGTACATGACAGTCAAGATTAGTAAGGATATACCTAGGATCATGTGTAAAAATATAATTGTCATTACTTAATCATTCTCTTAATTATTATACATTACATTCATTCACAACGGACAGCCTGATTATGTGATTGAACTGGTGCTGTACGAACATTATTTACAAGATCAGTCCTTGGTCTACGGAATAGTAAAACATGTGGTTCTGTAAAATACATTCAAACACTTGAATTAACCATGTGTGATGTCTATATCCAATTGATAAAGGTATTCACATTTTCACATAAATCTAACAAACAGAATTCAATTTAAAACTTATAAATAAAAATTTGTGTATACCTGGCCCATGCATCATGTAATGAACCCATTCAGGACTCTGTTGAACTCCCAGATTACGCCATTCAGTTTCACTCATTAGATGTGATTTCGGTACATGTTTAGAAAGGTCAGCTGGTAAAATAACGTGCCTATTCGGAAAGTAATGAAATATTTAAACAGCTCCAGCGTAACAATATCGCATTGAAGTCGCTACAACTGAGTACAACAAAACTAACCTGTACACAAATTTATCGTCGTAGTACTTTTCCGAGTATTGTATTTGATCTACGGGCATTTTGAATCGCAAGAAGCGAAACTCGTTTTGTGCGTCGATAAACATACGAAATTTAATGTGGCAAAGGAATACTCTTAATTGTCATTATCATAAATAAACATCAAATGATCCCGCTCAAGAAAACGTTTTAAGTGATTGCCTACTCTGTGCTCATTTATGAATCGGAATCATGTACTGCCCCCATGTAGCACGTTTAGGCAACGTATGTATAAACATACATTTATCAATCGTATGATTTAACATTCCATCACGTAAATATGTACATATGTACATATGTATGTACATACACGACTTCGTTAATGCAAGAAATTAAAATTTAGAGAACTTATTTTATTATACAAAAATAAAAGACTCATGCGGCACATTTTGCGTTTAAGGTATAAAAGGATATTTTCCGAATCTAAAGTAATTTTCATGTTTCCCATTTTAAATTGCTCGTGCGAAGGGATTTCCTGTTTCGCACAGAGTTTAGTTGGGAGATTGCTCACGGGCAGGATCGTGTGATCGCATCCTGTGCTGCCCTCTGGTTTCGTACGTTAGCTTTCACCATTTTTAGCCCCCAAGGGCGGCGCAACGAATTTCAGATAGGAGCTCGCGCACTCGCGATGGCGGTACCATCTACCAGTCGCCGTTGGCGGCTCACGTACTCGTGATGGTAATACCATGCGGCAGTTGAAGGTGGTGGCCTACCTACGCTTACCGACACTTCTCGCTGTTGATGGTAAGAGAAGAACACTCGTGACGCTCCATTTGACTTTATCTATTTATCTACTACTATTAAGTACATTGTTGCCTCGAAGTCGACGTGATGCGGAGCATTGGGGCACGCGTCGGTGTCGCGTACGGGACCCTTATGCAGCGAATTTGTGTGAGTGCGATCGCTCCTAGAAATCTTAGCGCATCCCAACCAGCCAAGCGCCAAGCTACGGGTCGAGACGTTGAGTATATGTGCGTTCGGCGCTACACTCGACGAGTATGCGTGAGAGTCGAATGCTGCGAAAATCCTCCCGAGGCTTACCTAACCCCGAATATAAGCCGAGTCATTTCGCGTATGATTTTTTTTACATTTCTCTACTAGCGTTATCAAGCGTTTTCGAGCGTTATCGAGCATTTTTCGACCGTTTTCGAACGTTTTCGAGCGTTTCTCTATAATTTTCAGAGCGGCTTCGAGCGTTTTCAAGCGCTATCGAGCGTTGCTGAACGTTTTCGAGCGTTTCTCGATCATTTTCAGAGCGGTTTCGAGCGTTTATAGACTGTTTTTTAGGGTTACCGAGCGTTTATCAACCGTTTTCGAGTGTTTTTAGTGTCTTCGAGCGTTTTTAGAGTCTTTTGGAGCGTTATGGAGCGTTATCGAGCGTTTGTCAAGCGTTTTTGAGCGTTATCGATCGTTTTTCGAGCGTTTCTCGGTCATTTTCAGAGCATTATCGAGCGTTGTCGAGCGTAATCGATCATTTTCGCGCGTTTTTCAAGTGTTTTCGAGCCTTATCGAAGGCCTTACAGTGCGGTTGCGTGTTGCTAAGTGCAGTAGAGTGCCGGAGAGTGCCGGAGAGTTGCCGGTGAGTGACGGAGAGTGCCGAAGAGTTGCCGTATTGTGCCGGAGACTGCCGGAGAGTTGCCGCAGAGTGCCGGAGAGTGCCGAAGAGTTGCCGTAGAGTTTCGGAGGGTTGCCGCAGAGTGCCCGAGAGAGCCGGAGAGTGCCAGAGAATTGCTGAAGAGTGCCGCAGAGTGCCCGAGAAACCCGGAGAGTGCCGGAGAGTGCCGGAGAGTGCCGCAGAGTTGCCGAAGAGTGCCGGAGAGTGCCGGAGGGTGTCGGAGAGTTGCCGCAGAGGTCCGGCGAGTACCGGAGAGTGCCGGAGAGTTCCCGCAGATTGTCGGAGAGTTGCTGGAGCGTGCCGTAGAGTGCTGGAGAGTTGCCGCATATTGTCGGAGAGAGCCGGAGAGGACCGCAGAGTGCCGCAGAGTGTCGGAGAGTTGCCGGAGAGTCCCGCAGAATGCTGGAGAGTTGCCGCAGAGTGCCGCAGAGTGCCGGAGAGAGCCGGAGAGTGCCACAGAATTGCTGAAGAGTGCCGCAGAGTGCCCGAGAGACCTGGTTTCGCACATCGACCGTAAACTGTATAATTATGTAGATGTGTAACCTCTGATTTACGAACCGAAGCAATACGCGAGCCATCACAATTTATTCGACTACAACGCCTTCTTACCATAGGATAGTCGCCACGATGATCTATGGTCTTCAATTTCTTGGCATCGATGACTGCAGAATGTTGTTTTTCTATCTTGAATTTCTTACTTTCGGTTGCGTGGTGGTAGTAAATCATTGTAAAGCATGGCTACGGGTGTGAACCGCAAATTAGTCATGAGTTTACGCGCAGTTCCTAATTCCTTCTTAAACGTGAATTCAATGAAACTGTAAAGAGAAGTAATGTGCTGCTTTCCAAGTGGATGTGATTTGAGGTTATAGCTTGGCGTCCGTAAAAGTACTATTTTTATGTAAGGCGTTGCAAAGGGAATAGCTCCATAACCTGATCTTGATTTTGTCCAACCGCTTAAGGTAAAAGGCATATTAATTGTCAATATAAAGATAGGGGAGTTCTTAAATATTAGCAAATTTTTTTTCATCAATAGCATATTTTCTATCATAAAGAGCAAATTGTTATCACAGTGCCAATAAGTATATCAATGTAGATATTAATTGTTTAATGCTTAATTATCGAAAAATCTCATTTGTTTTCTTATGGTATGCAGAGAAAATGTCACGGTCTGAGAAGTCAAGAAACGAAGTGCCAACCTCGCAGGAAATGGAGGAACGTGAAATGGAGGAGCGTGAAATGGTGCAAGAACTTATGAGTAAGTTGATTGTTTAAAATATCAATTATCACAAAAAACATTCTTATGCATACATCGAGAACGTATTGTAATGTATTGTTTGGCTTTATAGATATTGGAATATATGAAGACGGCTTGTCATATAATCAGATGAAGGATATACTCGGTTTTGTTACTGAATCAAAACGTATGGCAAAAATGGAAACAGAAAGCAGGGCATCGCAAGCAGTAAGTATGGATAATTTTCTTCGTGCAAAGAATGCTTCATGCCTCTGGTTTAAAATAAATGCTTATGAATTATTTTTGTCTCGCAGTTGAATCTACATTCTCCACCAAAATCGCCAGTAGACCCAGGTTTAAAATCTAATATAACACAGAATGTAGATGGTCAAGAGCATGTAGGCACACATAAAACTAGTAACATGCCTGTGGCATATGATCGAAGATCAATTCATGTTGTGGATAGTAACAAATTTCCATCTGATAGCTTTGAAAAAAAAGGCATGAAAAATCGATGCAGAGAGTTGGATGATAAGATGATTGATCAAGCTCAATCAACAAGTATATTGCATTCCATGGGATCTAAGGGCTCATCCCGAGATTCTCATATCACAGATGGGAATTTTGATTTACAGTCAAAGTTTAACCAAAAGATTGAGAGGTGGAGATTAAATCCATTGGATGTTCCAATCAACGAAGCCGATGTACCACTGCAGACACCTTGTAGACTTGTTAATCAAAAGATGTCATCGCCCAGTGTCTTTAAGAACATTCAAGATTTAGACACAAGTGATAAAAGCATTGCCATTGTGGATAGTCGGTTGGATAAAATAGCCAACATGTGGCACAGTTGGCATAGGACTACTGCCGATTCGGAGTTTCAGTGGGGGTCACCCATTAAGGTGGGTACCTCCGTCCAAATCGTTCCTTACCAATCCTACCGCTAGAGAAAATCTCGTGTCCATTTGGGCGAAGTGTTGAACTTTTTACAAACTTTTCATCTTTTTATGTTATCATTCTCAGGAAGAATTAGATGTTTTGCCATGTGCATCAAATTGTACAATTTTGATCGTCGCCTGGTGAGGTGTGTCTATGTACGAATTTACAAACGACTCGTAGCTAGAGTGTCCAAAGTTACAAATAAATCATTCCATTATATTCTAACGGTGCATACTGACAATTGTATATACAAATTAAGATAAAATGAATTTCCCAATCATTGTTTGCCTCACCATTCTTCTACTTGTTCATATTTTCCTTTAAACTCTTAAATTCAGAGAATATGTCTACATGTAGTAGGAATTACTAGGAAATGTTTCCCAATGTACTAATACTTAATTTGGTCACTTACACTAATTTATATGTACCTAAACACATATTAACCAGGTGGCTTGTAAAGTAATTTCTTATGATCGTATGTAATGCCCAATAAGACGCGTTGTATACAACAGTGTATACGCATGTAGCCAAATGAGAAAAGAACGCACACGTTTACGTATGCAAAAATGTTTTTAATGTAACTTATAATGAAACTTTTTGAATAAATTGTATTTCTCTAAAAAAGCTTGCTGTTTTATTCTGAATATCTAATTGATATTTCAACGTTTGTATAGGTGGGCGTGGCTAACGATAGTTTGGATAGAAAATCCCTGACCGAAAGTAGATATGCTAATAAAATCGAAGAACCAATTAGAAAAACATACGAGCGGAGTAGCAAACGTAAGGCTTACACAACTATCATGAAATGTCTCGACTCCAGTGATGAAACCGACGATAATGACCGGATTTCCATTAAGAAGAAGAAATCTATGCAAGAGCCAGCCAAAACAATGTCCAAAATTATTCAACCGAAGCCTCAACAGTCTGGCATCGATAATGAGAGCATTCCGGATACGAAAACTGTCATAATGAACGATGACAGAGATAGTAGTAGTAGTAATGATATTTTTGATACCAAGGACAGCAAAAGCAATAAGACGATAAAACCCAAGAGACTTACACTTAGTCTAACTAGAACACCAGGAAATAAGGTCGATACAGTGTTACAAGAAAGAAAAGACATTAAACAGGTGACGGAAGGAAACTTAATAATAGGAGACAGTGACGACGAAAGTAATGCAAATACTGAGCAAGTTATTCCTGCCATTCTGATGTCTGACGACGAGGATGAAATCATGGACACTGACGAAGATAGGAAAATTTCCGAAACAGAGCAGGAAGAGTTTCCGGAATTAAAAGTGTTGAAAACTAAAGGAATATTTAGTCGCCTTCAAAGTCAATGCTCTCGCTTGAAGAATTTACAGCAGGAAGAGGAGAAACGGCGAAAGCAACAAGAAGAAGAAAAATTGAAGAAGAAGGAGGAATTGCAGAAACAGAAGGAAGAGCGGGAGAAGAAACGCATTCAAGAGGAAATTGAATTGGCTAAATCAAACGAAATCAAAGAGAAGCAATTAAAGGCGAAGGAAGAAAGATGGGCAAATATGATAAAGACAAGAGAAAGAGCCAAAGAGATCGAAAGAAGAAGATTGCGAGAAATCGCAGAAGCAAAGAAAAAGATGGAACAACAGGAGAAGGAAAGGGAAGAACGCTTACTGAGGGTTTGTACCGATCACTTATTAATTTACTCAGAAAATTAGTATTTTTGTTTACACTGCGTCGTTTTTTCACTACCTTTTTCGTTTATGAGAAGTTTTAACGTATTTAGATTAATATGTTTGGTCTGATTACACATTACTGTTATACTAATCAACTAGTTAGTGATTACTAGTTTTAAAATCAAAATACACTTCTTTAGGATGATGATGACATTGAGATTCTGCATTCTAATGTCGATAATAATTCTGGAAGCTGTACCACCTGTCCCATCTGTAATGAATCATTCCCAGATGATGAAATTCAGAATCATGCTGCGCAATGTGAGCAGTACGATACTTCAGATAAGGGGAATGATACTCAAGTAGAAACAAATAGAAATAGCAACCTAGTCAGCGAGACATTGAAATGTTACGTTTGCAAGAAATTCAGAACAGACGATGGTAGATATTATGATGATCACGTCCATCGATGCTTAGAGAGCAAGAAAGACAGTCCTGACGATGGCCTGACAGGTGATAATTCAGAATTCGGTTCACACACTCTTCAATGGTTTAAGGCTGCTTTGTCAAAGTTTCTTTACGTTACAATATTTCACTTATTGCTCTGATTCTATTTTAGCTTCGACAAGCTGGAAAGATCCAAATAATCATACAGCAGATACAGAGATAAGATATCGAGTGCCACCTCCTTCAAAGAATAAAGAGCGGAAGTACCCTGGCAAAAAGAGGAAGCGCTGAGCATTTCCTAACCATTGATCTGTTTTTGAAAGCATCGGATAATGCAACTTTGCAAATTATACATATGAACGTCACTGGAAGAAACTTGAAAGGCAGATTTCAAGTCAATGATCGATCTTCCAGTGAAATAAAAGTGATTTCCATACATCTGTAACAGCAAAGTAATTCAAAGCATTTCATATCATATCCTGCTCTTGTGGGTACCGATTATGGTGATAAAATGAAACGTATGAACCGTTTCCAAAATGCCTTTACTTAATCGCTGTTTTTCAAGTTTTCAATGAAAATCGATTTTATGGACCAATTTCTTAATATGTTGTTAACGAGAGGATAGACTACTTTCATTTTTATGATAAAATTAATTCACATCGGTAACCATGGTACGCGTGAGTAGTTACCCTCTAACACAGGTTATCTCTGTGCGATCTCTTGTGTGCATTGAATGCATGTAAGTACCAATAAATAAGTGTACAATTTGCAAAGCATTAAAACTGCCAGCTTTGCAAGCGTAGAGGATTACGATAAGCTTAATATGCTGAACCTCTATACATTTTTTCTACAAAATATATTTATATACATATTACAGCCAAGAATTTATGAAGTTTATTTATTGGCTATCATATGTTTGTATCGATATACATGATTACTAATAAAAAGGTTCTGAATTTTAAAATATAATTGTAAACTAGTTACAAATTTCAGATACGTCAAAAGTACAAAAGCACGGTAGAAAATTAACATATAAATGTATGTATTGTCTGATAAAGCGAAAAACAATTCCAATCTGCTGATACATCCAATGATCTTGCCATTAATCAATTCGTATTATAAGCCAACATTTTATCCGACAGTAGATGTGTTTAAGAAAGATTTAATGAAACGTAACGTATTACATTAAAGGTACCAAGCAATCTGCCTATACAGAACTCTTATCAGCATTAACTTCAATTCAAAGGTCGTCGACATCATTCGTCTTGAAAAATTCTGCTCTTGTCTTCGTACAACAGTGTACTGTAATCAGTTGATTGTCGTCTGGATAGAATGGATATCTCGAGCGCGATGCATCAAGTTATGATACGCATAGTCGCTTGTTGTGTTAACACTGCTGATAAGAAAATGTAAACTGGTGTCTCCAGAAAGAACTGAGGCAATTGTGAGGTTATGCATTTAAGTGCTCCTTGATTACCCGAAGCGATGGAACGATTCTGCAGATTTTTACTAATTTTTACGTATATTTGGAACAATGGGGACTCTATGTCGCTCAATGGAATATGGACTGGGCAAATTCAATCACTGAGTAAGTTTTCACCACTCACAGTATGCATTTAAAAAATATTCAGGCTAAATGACTTCTACAAAGACCGGATAGACGCTAACCGGCAATTTACGTTACTGGCTCGTTCATGACAGTAATTAATATTTACTTTTATTACCTCTTTTGTTCATGTAACAGACATATCATTTCCTGCCAATGTACCAGGAGGCATTTACACGGACTTGGTAATAAATAACTTAATAGAAGAGAACCTCGTAGGGTTTAATGACATCAAAAACCGTTGGGTGGGAAATCAAAGTATTACCTATGAGACGCATTTCATGGGTAACACATTTTTCAATGATAAATGATGATTCTGTGAGAATATCGTACTAAAATAAGAATGATTTACAGTGGATGAAAGCCTTTTGAATACTTCGAACATTGACTTAGTATTCCATGGACTGGATACCTTTGCTAATGTTTCCATGAATGGGAAGTTCCTTGGAATTTCGTCAAACATGTTCTTAAGATATACATTTAATGTGAAAGATTATATAAAGGTACGTTATGTTCTTAAACCTTAACAGTTGGAAGTTATTTTGATTCTTCTGCAAATACATTTCAGCCTGGCAGAAATTACCTAAAGGTGGAATTTATCTCGGCTGTTAAAATTGCTGAGTTACTTTACGAGAAACAGAGTCTCAATTATGTCGTTCCACCAAAATGTGTCCCAGAAGAATATAATGGAGAATGTCATGTTAACCATATTAGAAAAATGCAAGCCAGCTTTGGATGGGATTGGGGCCCAGCATTTCCATCGTCTGGAATTTGGTAGTGGCTTTTGTTAAAATAGATTCTATACATATATGTTTTATGGATAATCTATGTACGGCATCACAGGAAAGATGTGGAGCTTCTCTTTTCGAACCGTGCACTACTTACTGATATCACTGTTGATATCCATAAAAATGATACATGGAATGTCATTGTGACGGTATTTTTTAAAAATCTACAACAAAAACTGTTAGAAGATATTACGTGCCACATGACCGTTAAACTAGATGTTAATGACAAAGTAAGTGTTGTGAATGCAAGTGAAACAGTTTTAAGGTGGGATGATAAACAGGCAGTAGTGTGGATATCTTTACACATCCCTGAAGTAAGTTGTGCATACCTGATTTATTAAAGATTATTTATTTATATGTAATTTTGCATCACATATATATCTTGTACTAGAATCTCGTGGAGAAGTGGTGGCCAAACGGTTATGGGAAACAGACTCTGTACCTCTTGAAAACGCAAGTAAGCATAGGCACCGATACAGTGGAACGTAGCACAAGAATTGGTTTTAGGACCATCAAACTTGTGCAGAATCCCTTACAGCAGGGCTTGAGCTTCTATTTTCTCGTCAATGATATTCCAGTTTTTGCTAAAGGTAGTAACTGGATCCCTGCTAGTATATTTCCAGAACTAACTGCACAAGCTGATACTGTCGATAGTTTACTGCAATCTGCGAAAGATGCACACATGAATATGCTTAGAGTTTGGGGTGGTGGTGTGTACGAATCTGACCTCTTCTACGATTTGGCTGATGAATATGGAATAATGATTTGGCAAGATTTTATGTTTGCATGCTCCATGTATCCCACCGATGATAGATTCCTAGAATCTGTTCGAGAAGAAGTTGTGCAAAATGTTAAACGTCTAAAGTATCACCCAAGTATTGTTTTATGGGCCGGAAATAACGAGAACGAAGCAGCGCTTTATGGAAACTGGTATGGCACTGGTTCGGAAGAAATTTATAAAGAAGATTACATCAAACTATACGCACATTTGATAAAACAAACTGTGGAAAACTTGGATCAAACGAGACCTTTCGTAGTGTCCAGCCCTAGTGATGGATTATTTACAGAGCAAAATAATTTCATTGGACCAAATCCTTATTCGACTTTGTATGGTGACGGTACTGTAAACATTATATCATTCTATATAAATATTAAATTTGTAAGATTCCTGTTTACTTTTGTAAAATCTTTGTCCAAATAAAGATTATTTGGGCTAAGATGATTTTTATTCCATACAGTAAATTACTTTCAATATGTTGGATTCATAATATTTATACTGTTTCAGTTCATTATTACAACTATTTCGGTGATGGATGGAACATAAATCAATATCCCCGAACAAGATTTGCATCGGAATATGGTTTTCAGTCTATCCCATCCTTGTACACATTAGCCAATGTAGCTGAGAGCAAGAATGATTTAAAATTATCCAGTGAATTTATGGTTCATCGTCAACACTTACAATATGGCTATGACTACATGAAATTTTTAATATCTAAGAACCTTCCAATGCCTCGGAGTGTTGATACACTAGAGGGTTTCTTTGATTTCATATATCTAAGCCAACTAAATCAAGCCGTTTCAGTGAAAGTGCAAACAGAGTCATACAGGCAGGCTAAATCATACTTAAATTCAGCAGGAGAGGGTCTGACAATGGGAGCTCTTTATTGGCAACTGAATGATGTTTGGCAGGCTCCATCGTGGTCCTCGATAGGTAAGAAAATCTCATTCATAAAAAGTACGCTTTATCAAAGTCTACGTTTGAATAATTTTTCTTTTCAGAATTCGGTGGTCGCTGGAAAATGCTTCATTACTTTGCAACGGAATTCTTTGCACCTGTGATCGTAACACCTCGTGTATCGGTAGACAGGGATTTAACCATTTACGTAGTAACAGATGACTTGCTATCGATAGAGTCCTGCACCGTAAAATTAAATGTCTACAAGTGGCAATCTACCGTTCCTGTACACACAGAACTATATACAGACATTACAATAGTGAGTAAAGTACAAGAATTGAACCAGTTTGTATAAAAATATAGCTTATTTAAATTATGACTTTCAACAGGAACCGATTTTGTCGTACGAAGTGGCTACTTTCCAGCTCGACGAGTTTTTAACAAAAGCCGGTTGCGGAGAGCTCTTCATTGCCAAAAAGAATTGTGTAATTCAGCTTGCCCTGTACAATCGGAGTGGCGAGATAATCGCTCCATTAAATTATGTTTATCCTAGTCCACTGAAGAGTGTCGACTTACCCCTCGCAAATTTCAGAGTAAATCAACTTATTAGTAGCTTTACGCACAATAAGCGGCGCGATGACCAATCCAAAATATTAATTTTAGGTGCGTGTCACTTTGATTCCTGCTCAGCTATCCGCAGGCCTGAACTTCGAGATCGAGCTAACATCCACTGAAATCGCTCTCTTCGTATACCTCGATCTAGGAATGATACATGGACGCTTGTCTGAAAATGGCTTTCATATATTTTCTGGAAAGAAGGTCGTGAAGTTCCGCACCAACGAGAATGTAACGCAAGATGATATACTGCAAGTTTTGACAGTCCAGACTTTATCGCAAATCAACAACCGCAATGGAACTTTGCACATTGATTACTTAAACAAACTATTCCCGTAAAACGCGTGCATGACGAATAAAACGCTAACCTTTCGTGTGATATAAATCGATGGCAATCTCGTCGAACATGAAATTATGGAAAATATCTATCATGGTGTAAATAAACTTCAATGGCAATCAGGATTAAAATTACAACGATAAAAATGTCCACCGTGGAAGAAAACCACTCGTTCATGATAAACTACATTCCGGTTACCGTGGACAATAATTATTGTTAAATACTTTAAAATAATACGATATAAAGGTTTCTGATCTCGTCAGAGAACTTTACTCTGCTGTGATTCTATGTACTATACGCACATACGTTAATAAATAAACCAATGCATCAAAACCTCTCTTCTTTACTACCTTCAAGTAGTTCAAGAAATTTCAAAATGGCACGGCAATAAAATTCTACGCGTCGAAATCTGAAATGCATTATTGTTAACATTTATTATCTGAAAGGCGGTACAGTAAATTAACATAAAATAAATATTTCCACGCACTCATCGTTGTGCGGTTTAGTAAAAAATATTAAATATCTCAAATAAAGCGTGGAATCGACTCAACATAATGTCACTTGTCTTGCAAGGTACACCGTATATGCGTTAATACGAAAATGCTCTTACTTTCAAGAAACGCAGTGACGTTTCGTCTCCAGCTGACCGAGTTGAGTCTTAAGAGTGTTAATTGTTTCCTCCGATGGCGAATGAAGGTAACGACGACTTAGATTAATAGCTACCATTATGCAGCAAAGAAGTAGAGGGCCAAAAATTGCTCCTTCCACTCCTAGGCAGAAAATACCTCCCGCAATGGATAATCCCGTGAGGTATGGATGTCCTCCTCTAAAATACCATTTAAATTCAGTCTAAGGTCTTTAGTTCGGTAAGATAAACCAGCTGAAAAGTCAAATCACCCTTTGATCTCCTTGTAGAACTCCGTAACGACGATATTGCACGGAAGGAAGTGAAATGTAAAGAAGAGAATCGCCGTCATGGGTCCTTGCACGAACCAGAGTTCCAAGGTGGCTGGGATGCAAGCAAAGTATGCATCGAGAAATGGTACGGCTCCCAGGATTGTCGCGAGGGCAGATGGCAAATAAACAACTTTCACTTGAAAAAGATTGTGAATGAACCACGTCCACATGCCGAAGAACGAAGCCAATTTAAATGTCGCCATAAAAACACCGATCACGGACTCTTGTAATGTTACGGCAAACCTGGAAATATTTTAAGCGGTGTTTCTCCGTTGGATAAAACTGGGGTACGTCTTTAAATTAATTATCTTCGCCATATGGACGTACATAACATGTACATATATAATATGTAAAATTAAAAGCCTGGTTCGTTTAGTAAGCCAATATCTACGACGTACCCAGTATCTCTCAGTGCGCTACCATAAAAATGGAGGAAGTGCTTCTTTTAAAATTGTTTTCAAAACATTCTAAAATCACAAATAGTCATGCAATTTTAGTCATAATACCTGTGACAGCTGATGGGACTAAATGCAGTAATTAATTCAACGGGCTTATATGTTTTCCCACTAGAGCTGAGCAGATAAAACAGCGTAGTAAAAAATACGACCTGCAATAACGTGTGGTTGTAGATAACGTAATCCAACATTCCCGTATGAATGAGTTATCATTAAATAAACACACCATACTGAGAGTGAAGTTGAATAACGCCGTTCCACTCAAAAGTACAGTGTAGAGCAATTCTGTGACAATGGTTAATATAACCGAGATATTTCCTTTAAAGATACTCCAAATCGAGTCTAGTAAAGATGTTAGGATTCCAACGTTTTCTTTGGCGAAATTTTGAATACTGGTCATGTTAAAGATCTCTGCAAGGTTTCAAGGCATTAAACTGGTGTCATACACGCATTATAATAAAATTGAAAACAATTGACAGGTTCAAACACTTACGTAAAGGTTTTCCAAAACTCTCTTGCAGACTATCCCAAGCTGAGAAGGCTGCATTCATATCTACTGTAGGCCCAATTAAATTTTCACTTTCATTGGACATCATCCAAGCCTGGTAAAGTCGGTCCCATAACTCCAAAACTTTTTTCTCCATTTGTTCGGCTTTAGATGATTCTAAGTCTTTCATAAGGCTCTTTACCTAGTCCACGTTTATTGATTTTAATACACTGTCATGACATAAGTGTAAACGAAGACTTACTGACAGACTACTCACTCCGGCAGAAATTGCATCACGTCCATACGTATAGGCATTATCCAATACGCTATTAACCGACTGTTCCCACTGCTCGGGGATCCAATCGATGTTGGGATTATTTATTAAGGTGGAATTTACTACCTCACTAGTAACTTGAATAATGTGTATACCTTCTGCATAGACCTATAAAAATGAAATTTTCTGATTTTTAAGTAGCGAAAGGATATAAATATAGTAAAAAAAAATGCATACTTGTATCGTTATAAATACAGACGCACATATGGTGAAGACTAGTAATCCTAAAATCACAGTAATTGTAGCCACTGAATTTATGGAAGCTTTTAAACCTTGTGTTATCTTCTCATCAATGATCACATATAATTTATACAAGCCCATAATATTAGCTGGAAGTAAAGCTTGATGTCTGTCTTTGCACCATAATTTGATCTTATCTAAAATAGCTTGAAAATGCCCCTCGATAATATTCCAAAAATCGAAGTAACTTCCAATTCGCTTAAGAAAATAATAAGCTATTGGAATTATCATAATATGCATTATCCATCTGTGTTTCCAGAGAATCATGCCTCCACAAGCGTACAATGCTCCATACATGTACTTATCCGTATCACTTTTATTCTCCTCGACGTCTAAAGTCATCCGAAATTCTGTCTTCAGTTTGCGTAAAAAATATTTTTCTTGAGCCATTGACTTTACTATCCTTTGAACACTGGTAGACAACTTTGGACCATGTATCGGAGAAGTCGAGGGTAAGGAACTTCCATCCGTATCAAAGGTAATTGACTTTCTAGTTAAATCAAGTCTAGGCACAGTTTTCATATCAGAGGGTGAAGATTGTTCAGTTGCTTCCTTTTCTATATTTTTGTCAACTGTCACTGGTGTGGAAGTCTTTACCAAGGGTGCATTTTTCTCTGTTACTAATGGATCAACTAGTTTGGGCTCGATACTTGGTTGCTCGTTTATCAGTGCATACTGCATAGCTTCCATAAATGTTATACGATTTTCACTTAGTTCATATCGCTCAATGATCAAGATTACTTCATAAATAAATCCTATGAGGTATAACGTTTGCAAAGTACAAAAGATAATTATTTGATATGCTCCTAAAATGTTTGACAAGTAAAGACTGATCATAAACCAAGCAACGAATGATGTATATCGAAATTGTCTGGAATTAGCTGGTGTCCAATAAATATAGAGCACAGATAAATAACCAACTACTATCACCAATATCTGCAAGAAAATAAATGTTTTTTAACTGATGTTCAATCAAATTAAATAGCGCTTGAATAAAATTTATACCATGTATATATTGCAGGTTGATATGAAGAAAACGAGTATACCATCACAGATCATAAGTATCCTCAGAACAAAATACGTTAGAAAATTTGGAGTATAATTGTATACCACCAATGACACGAAAGCAAAGCCAAAAATGCTGATGATGTACTTTACATGACTAATTAAGAAAGAACCCAGTACTTCGGAGATCTTGTTAGCTATTTGAAGAGGTATACCCAATGCATTGACAAACAATGGTTTGCCTGATGCTTCCGATTCATTGAACCATGACTGTGCTGCATCGGCTAAGGAGAGCTTAAATGGGAAAAGAACGGAGCCACAAAGTAGTGCCCAAATCAGTGGCTTTACAAATGGCCGCAAGATGTAATAAAGCCCGTAGCTGGCTGTCGATATCGAGAACAGAAGGAGAAGTGCTACGGCGTTGTAAACTCCTTGTCTTAATGCTTTCTCGTGTCCAGCACTCAAGCCGGATAACATGTTCATAAGATTATCCATTGGCGTACGAGGAAGACTCATTATATGTAATGTTAAGCGTGATAATTATACAAACAAGTGGAAAACCTTTCTCTTAATCAGATGGGGAGGACCATCTCTTCTTAAAGTCTTATACACCTCTTACTCCTGTACACACTTAGCAGTAGAAAATTGTTTGACTTAAAGTCTAGTGAGCTATGCGTCATTTTAAGCCCCCCTGCAGTCCTTCTGATTACTCAGTCACTATCTATATAATATTTCGTGCGTCTTAGCACCACTTGGAAACGGTTAGAATTTCTTAACCCCTATTTCTACTTCCTTCGCATTCCATTACACATATATTTTCGTCTTGATATATATAGTTTTTTCAATGACATAACAAGTGATGCCATCTGTTGGTCGAACAATGACACCACAGTCCGGCCCTCATTCTTCCAACGTTTCAAACTTTAAAAATATTTAAAATGACAAGTACCTGAAAGTCAAAACTACATTCCTTTTAATCCTTTAAATAGCTAAAGTAATATTATGTAATTTCATGCAGGTTAATGTCAAAAAATTATCCTTCTAATCAGATATTTAAAAATGTTGTCCTTTTTGTTATATTATGTTTCGAACGGTAAAAATGAGTAATGCTGGTGTCAAGAATTTTTAGAAAAAATATATATAAAAGGATTCCAATTAAGTGAAAGGCTACAACAGTTTTAAATTTGGACTTTCAAAAAGGCAAAATAGTTACAGGTAAATGTCATAAAATGATGACAGAATAGTGGAGTTGTTACAACCAGCAACTGATCACATTCTCGATATACCTGCTTAGCAAGTTTCAAAATGTGTTGTATGTATCGCATGTTAAATTCAAATAAAAAAGACCTGAGAGAGGGCAAAATTATTTCGAACTATTCTTATGTTACAAGTACTGCTTCGGTAAGGAGTCGATATCAGTTGACTTACATAAGCTGCACGTTTTCATTTTTGTGAACGTAATCAAACATTCTGTGATCATCGGTCTGTAACTACTTTTATGTCTGTACATGTGGCCAAGGACTCGTCTGTCACAGAGTTTTGAGCACCGATTTATGTATAATTTTCCAGAACTTACATAAGAATTGATAAACAGGTGTGAATATTTGCTGAGTATTCCTGCAATTAATAACAGTTACAATATGCAGGGAGAGAAAAAATTCATTAGGCCAGTATTAAAAACACAAAGCATAAGATTCTATTTTCCATTTTATGACTTTCAGACCGTAAACCACTCTCTTGCCTTACTGCCTATACCTATACAATTATACAATGTAATCATAAGTTCATTACTTTTCGAGTCGTCGCAACCGAGCAACGAATTTCTCCACTTTTGTTTTCAACATATTTGGATCATTTGTATGGGTCTAATGCTGTACTCGTGTGCGCAAAATATCGCAAGAACAAATAAATTCATTAGATCATGTAACATTGCTATAATGGTAAAAATGGCGTAACAAAACAAAGTCCTACTTTGCATTTTTTTTCTCAACCTCCAGGACGATAATTTCAGATTTGGAATCTGTATCGTATGGTTACATTTTCTTACACCCATGGTCATACCATTAATATTCGAGAGCATAATTTTCAAACCATCCAAGTACTGCCCATTTGTGTAGGATTTCCATAACGTTCCCTGTATTCACAGCATCTATGGTCAGAACAGTCTCAAGTGAAAATAAGAAATAGTATGAAGAAAAAAAATAGAGTTAAGGAATAGCGAGAGAAAGGAGTAAAATATATAACAAAAGATTGATCGAATACGATTGCAGGATAAATACTGACTCGCGAGAGATTGCCTAAGCGCGAATTACGGAACCTAGTCCACAATGGACTTGTCGACTTTGTCTGCATGTCTTGGGAACATCATAGTCGCCGTACATTTTCTACGTGCAAAATCGCCTTAAAGAGAAGGATGCTACTGTCAGATTCGTTGTCCATCCACTCCGATACTTATGTTGGGAGCCCATCGAGCTCATGGCTCGTCGCATGCCCATTTACAAGGCCAGAGGAGGATGACGCGGAAGGCTTTGGACTGTTGGCATGACAACTGCAAGGAGTATCACTACTGCTACTACTACTACTGCTGCTGTCGCTCTCGCTATCGACACTTGAAGCTGGGCTTATGTTCTTTTGACCCTTATCCCGCCTAAGTTGACAGGAAACCTGAACAGGAGATAAACTCGGACTTCTTGCTGAACAGTCGCACACTTCACGATTCCCATTGCTGGTGCAGTCACTGTCACCTTCACTATCAGTAGTAGTTACAGTACTTCCATGCCTTCGAGCTCTTAGTGCTTCATTCTCCCTCCTCAGTTGTTCGTTCTGTTGAGTGAGATCGTCGATTCTTTGTTGATAGATCTTTAATTTTTTGGCAACCTCCGAATCAGAAGTAGTACCAGCCTTCCCTTCAGATTCCACTTCCTCCATCGGATTTAAATTTTTTCCCCGTAACCTTTTGGTCAAGAGATCGACTTTTGCTTCTAGCTGTACATATTCTTGTATCAGTTCCGATTTAGTCATGGCTCCTAATCTTTCCGCATGAAGATCTTCATAAGCGGTTGAAAATTCCTTTGTTAGAAACTCCTCCTCATCCTCTGGTGACGAATAGAAATAATCTTCATCCGAGTCGATGCTAAAACTAGAATCTCGAGTTCGAGAAGGCCCAGATGGTATCTCCGATGCTATAGTACCAGCTAACTTTTGCTCAAGATCAGGGAGATCGTTATGATCTTCTATCAGAAATTGCGTTGTATTATAAGGTGCGGGTGGTTGCCTTCCTGTCTTCGTCTGCCCACCACCTGTACGGCATCGCACTCTCTGTTGATAGGCCGGCTGTTGTTTCGAGTATGGCTTCAGTTTCCTATGCTTAGGTTTACCTCTACGAGTCTTTCGTTTTTTTGTTGCGATATCCGTACCCTCATCCAAATGTCCTTCCTGGTCTCCGCTACCACTCGATCTCTCGATCTTGCCCGCCCTCCTCAGTAAAGTCTTCCAGCACTGAAAGTTGAATAAAAAATATGTCATTCATATTTCAGTTCAGTACTACATGTTACAAGAAATACCAACAATCTACTCCTTAAGTTTTTCAAAGAAAAAGGTGCCCAAGGGTAAAATCATGCCACTGGAAAAAAGAATTAAAATTTCCAAGTCAACGTTATAAAAAAGTGTCAATGATATTAAAAGAATCATTGTGACCCGATGCGAAAATGTCTCTACCAGTGACCATCCGAAATCGCTTTCTGTTTATGATTTAATTGTTTTTAGTTAACAAAATCCTGATATTTAAAATTAAATTTACATTTTTCCCGTTGGCACGGTGCTTGGAGTCCGCGTTCTCCGCGACGGATCGCACGACAGGTGGCACCACCGTCGCCGCCGCGAGCGTCGGATCCGCCTTAACAGCTTTCACATTGAGTAGCCCATCCTCGCCACCGGACGGCTTTCCTGCGGCCGCGTCGCCGTCAGAATCGTCCATGGGCTCATCTCGAAGGGTATTCTGCTTCTCCGAAGAGGCACAAACGTCCATAACTCAACCAAGTAGTAATACGCGTCTCGATCCCTACCGTTCCACGACTACGAACCGTCCACCAGTGATGCCAGAATTCCCTCGTCCGTTTTCCCTCGCTGGAGGGGAAAAATTCCCTGGGAGGGAATTTTCCCCCACCTAAGGCTACCCCGCTGTGCCCCTCAGTGCCGCCGCGGTCCGCGAATTGTGGTAGCTTAAAAGGAGGGTTATGTTCGTTTTCTCCGTGAAAAATATTTGAATTTAATAGTCCATGCAAATACTCGTAATAGTACCGTAACAGTCAAGTTGGAGCATGTAACGATTCATGGAAATATCAGATAAGTTAACTGCATTTATATACATTATTCGTAATTAAATAATTGCATTCCTTATATCTATAACAAAATATGTCAGTGCTTTGTGAAATATTATTTTGTTTCAGGCAAGCAGGGAAACTATTAGAAACTTTAATGCAGTTTGGCAGAAGTAGAATTCTGAAATGCAAAAGATGAACAGTCTCTTCCTTAGGGTATCATAGTGAGATAAGCAATGGCAGAGGACAGACATCTTTCTTTGTATGTATTATAATTTACTTAATATACTAGTATTGAAACTATTGGTATATATATATTGTAATACAACTATATATTATTATGCTTTAATGATGGTTTAACTCAAAATTTTGTTCAATTAAAGATTGACGTTTACGTGAATGTTTTCCCACAATATCTATTTTATTTTTCCTTCTTTTAGGTCCCTGGAAGACCAACATTGATTCAGTTTACTGTTCCGATATGGAAGTCAGACAGGTACTTTAATCATACCAATAAACGTCGTTTAACTGTACCCTGTCCAAGTTTTAACGGCATATTGAGGATGCCTGCCAGTAGGAAATTTGTTTTGTCGTCTTCTGTCTCTTCCGAGGACATGATCATTTGGAAAATTTAATATTACTAAATTTTTTGTATAATATAACTGCAATTCATTTTTACAACTATTCCTGTTCCTAAGTAAACAGTCAAACATTTCAAGTTGGGGAAGGGTGGAGAAGGTGAAATGCCAGGTAGGGGAAGGTTGGGGAAGGTCCACAGATCTGTACACAGCTGCTCCCCACCCCAAGAGGTGAAGTGATTTCAAGCAGAGAATCTCTGTCTCAAGCGACTACGGCGCCTCTGTATAGAATTTCATGAACTAATATTGCAGAGCTTGCGCATGCGTCGAAGGCAGCGCGTCGTTCAAAAGAAGTATCTATATGTTCGCTCGAAGAACTTCAGCCACGGGAACTCCTTTCGTGCATGCGCATATGTTACATATTTAGTACCAGAGACGGTATTCATTGCCGCTGGTGTGCTTTTACTGCATTTCAAAGACCTCCGTACAGTGCGAGTAGATATATACGTATGTACATACATATCAGCTATTCATTTAGTATACACACCAAGAGGGTGGAGAAATGAGGTCGTGGTGGAGGCACGTCGAGTATAGGGAGTGGGGATAAAAATCCCTCATAAAGGAATATTTACCCTTTCCAACACACTTCTGCCATCATTGTTCATGTAATTTACTAGATATCACTAGGTATTATACCTGTTTTCTTTTTTTATGTAAAATAGAGCAGCAGAGTGGTGTCCTACCATTTTCAAATGTTGAGCAACGACGCGACTTCGCATCAATGCGACATTTTTTTCTTTGCTCTCTGCGAACTTAATAAATTCAGGTTTGGAAGACTGAGGAAATGTGTGTATATATGTATCTGGGCAAGAATAGACGCAGGTATATCGATGTAAACACTTCGGCGGTCCGAAAGGCAATGACGCTCCGAGTGCGTGCTCGACGTATATATGGACCTACCTAGTCATGCGTATGTCGGTGACGTCATTGTCATGCGCAGTTTCTTTATCATATTTTTGTAAAGTTGAAATAGTTAAGATATAGAGCTAAAAATAATTATAAAATAAATGATAATAAAAGAAAATAAAAAAATGTATTCATTTTTAAACACCGCTTGATACATTATTGCTCGCCTTGGCAGTGACAACTACTACTTTTATTATCGCTATCTCGAATTCTCAACTGTTTTATGAGGTTTATTATCATTTTCTGCGAGATCTAGCCGTGTCTATGCGGTTCCGCTTTGAGATAATTATTATCATTTTTTGCGAGATCTAGCCGTGTCTATGCAGTTCCGCTTTGAGATAATTATTTACAAGTATCATTTGAATACCACTGAATTGTCATTATCGATCACGAGTTTATATTGAAATCTCTATAAATGTCCGCTTACTTGTCAATTTCTACGAGGAGTGCATTCATTTGTTTAAGCGCATCTCATATAGAAAATTATATTCATAAGTATTTTTACAGAAAAAAGTGTTTCCCATAATGGGTCGGGAAAATCGTTTTCCAGGATCTACCATCCTGTGAGTGAAAAATTAAGCTTAACGAGCGTCTTCCTTTTTAGATAATGGTAAGCGCCCTTAAATTCGAGCTTATCTGTAATTTAATTCTGGGTTTTCAGAGGTCTACTTTTGGTAACGTCGAATATTTTGCAATTGACAATGTGTCGCCGAATGGCAGCGATAACGAAATACAACGAGACGGGCGGATTGTTTGAAAATCTCGATACGACTGATTTTGTATGCAGCTCTCCCGAGTGTTACATTTTGGGTAATTGTTTATTGTTCTGAATCACATTCTTTGCACGGTGCAATATAAAGGACTGTTCATATTCCAGGTGACACCCTTGATATGAACATGGACCAGTCTGAAAATAAGTGTAATAATTATTACAAGTATGCTGTTGGAAATTTGGGTCAGTACAATCCTTATGCACCTCTGGAAAATACCGAAGAATATTTAGCCCACAGAAAAGAGTCGATTATCCAAGAGTTGGAAGGTACGTTTTACCATTGCATGCTGATGTCCAATTTTGCAGATTGGTATACTAGACTTTTATATTTCGTTGTGGCGAAATAATCTGCCATTTTGTCGCAGTTTACGACCGGGATGACGAGATCAGCTCCACAAATCCAGATCTAAGAACAGCAAGGGAATTAAGAAAAATCTGCCTGGACGTTGGTGGGCGAGATTTTCATGTTTTGCGTTAAGAATTTCGTAAGTCGAATAAGCTTGTAATGTTTTTCTTTTGAATATATTTACAGCCTATATTCAACAACAAGGAGTGGACTCCGTATTGACGATTCTCAATAATCTTAATAAATGGCCCGTCATCGAACAGAAGTGGGAGAAGAAAATTTCCTGGCAGGATCTAGAGAAAGTTTACATCCGTCTTACCGGAAATGGAACCTTTCACAGGATTATGGTAGAAGCCGATCCAACATATACTCTTGACCCTAAAAGACATTACATGACGGTACGTTGAAATGTTTCTTTATTTCTTGTAATTACCGAAGCGCAATCGCTTTCAGATACATACACCGGAGTTTGACTTGACGAGAGCAGTTTTGGCGAACCCGGATAGCAACAGGAATACGATCCAAAAATACAAAACTTACATAGAAGAGATCATTTCCGTATTCGCGAGGGCGGCTGGAACGAATGTTCCTCAAGACAAAATCAGAGCGGATGTTAAAGAGATGGTTGACTTGGAAATTAATCTCGCGAAGGTAATCTATCGTCTTTAAAGAATAAAAAGTGTGTTATTAGGATACTAATTAAATTTAAAAGCCTGCGCGAACGACACGAAATATTTAACGCCAAAATTCGGCACATTTGGCTTAGTGGAAAAGATCGTTCTTTGCAGTTCGATTTCAATATCCAGTTTTCCTTCGCAGATTATTAATCCTAAACAAGATCGACCAGATTGGTATAAAACTTTTTACCGCTATAGCATTGACTTTTTAATTCAAGGATGGTATGATGAGGGGAAACCACAAGGGCCATACAGCGCGGTGAGTAGTAAGCATTTGGCAAATAAAAATAAATAATAATATATCCTCTTCCTATGAACATTGTCAGGTCAACTGGGCGAGTGTTATCCAAAGTTACTTTAAAGATGGAAGTGCAAAGGTTAACGGCTCAACGATCTCTCATATATATGACAAAATGTATTTGACAAACCTCGCGACAGTTATGCACAAAACATCGGAACGAACGCTCAGTAAGCATTCTCAAATATTTTTTAATAATCTCACGATCGGTGCAGTATATCATGTCTACGTTTGCAGTAAATTACATTCATTGGCGTTTCGTAAGAAATATATTACCCTATTTGGACCAGCAAATGATCGACTACAATGTTAAACTAAATGCCCTGATGCCAGGGAAAAAGAACCCACCAGAGGATCGGTAAATTTTCGTACATACTTTCCCTTGTGTTCTAGTACATACATAAAATATTATACATGTACATACACTTTCCTCCTTTGTTTCTTAGGGCTAAGTTTTGTGAAGAACACAGCCGGGTACTGGAAGCTGCGATGAACAATTGGATATATGAAAACGTACCGGATAATGTTCAAAATGAGGTAAAAGCAAAAATGCAGATTCATTTTAGGCTGGTCGCAAACATCAAGTTTTTGGATAAAGCAACTTGATCGGACGATTGCAGCCCGCCTTAATATTCTTCAGATCAGGCAACTTCAATACGTGATCATTTAATATTTCTTTTTTTAATTCAAGGTCAAAAGAATTGCCGAATCGGTTAAGTCTGAATTAGGGGAAATGGTTTCCAGGGCTGCATGGCTGGATTCTGAAACGAAGACGAGATTGAAGAAAGCTCTTCAAGATATGTCTGTTGAACTCATTCGTCCACACGCGATTGCAACTGGAGATGGAACTATATACAGAGGGGTATATAGAGGACTATTTACAGATGATTAACAAGAATCACTCGTAACTTTCCTTTCGATTCCAGATGACATTCACGGACCTGTTCCTGGAAAATGCAATTTTAGTAAACAAATTGAGAATCGACAAACAGTTCGAGTTGCATGGAAAGCCGTTCTTTTCTACTATGTAAGTTGGCACCCTTTTACGACTTCCGCTTTGGAGAAGCGAACAGAAGATCTGTGAATCTTGATTCGTTTGGTATTATGGTTATTTTAGGGAATTAACTGATCCATTCGCGATTNGACATTTAGCGTGCTCATTATTGACTTCGCTGTTGAAGCAAAGAGTTTCACGCTACAAATAACCTTATAACGAATAAAAAGTAATTATTACGGAAGGCAGAAGTGACAATTATTTCCCCTGCTATTAATCTCGGCGTAATGGCGGTATTTCTCATTTCATTACCTTCGGCAGAAATTTGTCTCGCCCGACTGCAGAGCGTTATCATTTTCAGAAAGCAAGGATTCCTTACAAAGGGCTGACCACACCGTATTTCAATGTTGATTATCCACAGTGAGTAAAAATTAAAATCGATATATCTAAAAAATATAAAAATCTATAATTTATAATGTGATATCATCGATAAGTATTCCTTTGCAGAGGATTAAATTATGGTTCAATAGGAAGTGTATTCGGGACCGTGTTAGCAGAATTTTTGTTGACTCGAGGTAAATGAAGGATTTCAATTACGCTTATAAACACTTGCGATATTAATACGGAATTTAAACAAACTGGTATTTAATTAATTATGAATCACTTTTAGAGTGCAAACTGTCGACTAATTCGGATGTATCAAACTGGGCATGTGGAAAAAGATCTCGTGATGAAACACAAAGGACTTTAACGTGTTTGTCAAGTCAACACGGAAAACAACCTTTGAACGGAATGGTACAAACAGTAATCCAAATTAATATTGCAATCGGTTAATTGAAATGCGCCCTCCTCGGACAAACATTTACCATTCAATTACGAATTATGTTTCTTCCATTAGAATGATGGTAACGCTGTCAGGACTTTGGAAACCGCAACAGGAATTAGGGCAGCTTTTCGAGCTCTTTTGCGATCTCGAAGCGAAAAAGATCCGTCACCGTTAGGAAAATTTGCCCCTGCTGAGCGATTCAAGGAAGAAGAATTATTCTTCTTCTCTTTAGTCACTGTAAGTAAAGAACATAGTAAAGAACATTTTTCCAATCTTTTTAAATGTCTTGCCGTTATCATTGATACGCAATTTGTTGATTTTCGTAGATTTGGGGCGAATTAGGTAAACAGCCACATGACGTGACTGCAGCTTTAATGAACACCGACGCCTTTAAAAAAATTCACGGGTGTTCTGATAGAAAACCAATGGCTCCTATTCCGAGATGCAATCTCTGGACTTAAGTAATCACTTCTTAAAAATGTTTCATAAAGTTTATAAAAATGTCTTCTGATTGAAGAATTATTCTGTCGCTATAAATTTGGAATATATTATTACCTAAACTACCTTATTACCAAATAAAGTTAAGACGCAATTCAAATGTTTAGATAATATTCCTACGAAATTTACGTATTATTTCGGATTCTATAAACGTACCAGGATGAACATTTATTTTCTTCTTTCTTTTATCTACTCCACTTCGTCTATCTCTTAGAGCGTGTGCATATATTTATAATTGCTATATTACTACAATTGCCTCAAAATCATTTGTAGCGTTTTATAAGCTATTATATTGTTTACGAGGAGAATAGACCGAGGAGGAAAGTCGTGCCTTTGCGGTTCCGCTTTAAGATAATTATTTAAATATCACCTGAGTAGCAACGAATGTCAGTCACGAATTTACGATGAAATTTCTATAAATATCCTCTTTCTTTTCGATTTTCAGATCCCACGAGCAGTGCATCGGGATTCTTTTCTTTAAGAATATCGAATATAGTCGAAGAATATTCGTAAGTATTTAAAAAAAAAACGCATTCTTCAGGATCGCGTGGGAAAAATATTTCTCGGGATTTCCCATCCTGTACGTAACAAATCAACGTTATTATATAGTTTGCGTAAATGCAAGTGTCATCGAAGTTATATTTAATTTTTAGGGCTTCATTTTTGCTGGAGAATATTTTGCAATTGGCAATGTGTCGCCGATTGGTGCCATTAATAAGATACAACGAAACGGGAGGATTAGTTGAAAATCTCGGTACTACCAATTACGTGTGCAGACATAGCGACCCGTAATATTTTAGGTAATTGTTTAGTAATCTATGGATCTAAGCTGAAAATATTCTTTTCGAAGAAAATAGCGAAAATGTGAGCATTCCTTCGGTAAAGAACTGTACCGTGATGCGACAATCTGAGTCCTGTATTAAACCGATAACCTATCTTATTTTATTAACAGACAATGCGAACGCACGACTCAGATTGTTTAGTTCCGCTTTCCTGCGATCATTTCCAATAGAAAGCACTAGTTATGGAAAAGTCATGAATTGATTATTAAAAAATCAGAAATTGTTGCGTTGACTCAGGGTGAAGAATCGGCCAACTTACAAAATCTCTCCTTTATTGATGCTTTTTGACAACGTGGGCTGGAAACACACACTTGCTCGTAGCTCATATTAGACTTAATATCGACAGATGTACGAACATACATGTAATTCAATAAACAATTATGCGTAATAATGGGATAAGTACAACAGCTTCCTTAACCGTACATAGGCTCGGGCGTGGCGAGAGGAATGCAGATATAACCCTTTCTCCCTTCCTTCATTTCCACTCGTAATGATTTTCTATTTCCCCCCAAATAATGTACACATCACGAGGAAGCTTCGCAGATCGCAGCCCAACGTCTGCCATCGCTCGTTTTAATTTCCTTTTAAATTTTTCATTTCAGCACGGACCTTTGAAAAAACAATATGGCGTGAGCGAAGGAACGTATCTCGCATCTTCGTGGCTGCGATTCACTTTGATCGACTGGCAATTAATAATTGCCAATCGCCAATAACATTCTCGACTAGGAAAAGGAATTCGGCACAAGGCGCTAGATGTTTCGAGAATGGATCGCAAGCAATTAAGGGAGCGATTTCAACAGTCGAAGTCAACCCAAAAAGGCATTTCCAAATTCAAGGGGCAATCCCGAGAGATCGCGAACTCTTTTGCCGAATCCCTTGCGACACTTTTTCGATCTCGTCGCAAATTTCGACCCGTAACGAGAAATATAGAAATATTTCTCCCTTCCTTCATCCGGCTCGCATTTACCGCGTTTAATGTTTTGCATACACGCACGTGGCAGAAGTGACAATCATTTCCCCTGCTATTAATCTCGGCGTAATGGCGGTATTTTTCATTTCATTACCTTCGGCAGAAATTTTTCTCACCCGACTTCAGAGCGTTAACATTTTCAGAAAGCAAGGATTCCTCTCGTTATTCGAAAATTCAATTTCGACTCCTTCTAGCGGGGAAGGCGGCGCTACAAGCACCGTGATATAATCGTCGCGATAATGATATATTACACGTGTCTTCTTAGAAGATAAATTCGTATAATTTATTGTATACCTCGTTTTAATTACGATCACCTCTGAGTGCGTCGATTATTGCGTGATCTATTATCTCCGCGTAATTAATCCGACTCTTGGGACGGTTTTGACGATTCCGCTTTCCCTCGTACGTGCGTTTACGCAAAACCGGGGATAACTCAGCCAAAACGAGTGGCGTGGTTTCTTTCCAAACTAGAACCCGCAAAAGGAAAGATTTCACAAGCAAATACCTACACTGTTAATAAAATAGCCTTTAAATTTCATTCAATTCAAGAATACAAAGATGGATCAAAATTATACACCTTACGTGATTATCTAAATTAGTACGCAACGTCTGTGAGTGTTTAAACTTTGAATTTGAATATGGACATTCTATCACAAGTCTGTTTATAAAATTAAAAATCTCAACTTAAATTCCGAAGCGTGTGTGGATTTATTACAGTATTTTTTTATTTTCTTAACAGTGTAAATACTCCGCGTGGACATGAGAAACTCCAGCAATTATTTTCCCTGCTGGCAACCATTTAAAAGAGGATCCGCCATCTTGTAAAGTCAATAAGTTCCAGTTTGCAAGAAAATCAGGAAACAAATCATCATTTCAGCTAGGCTACCCTGTGCATGCGAGAAGATCGATTTGCGACGATAGATTAGGTAGATAGGATAGACTCTCTCTCTCTTTTTCTCTCTTTCTCTAATAGACTTTGCAGACGGGCATAATAGAAATAGTTAATATAGCATCGTATCGATACAATATCCGGTATTAATATATTCATTATCTATCGTATATTAATTTATGCATGATATTTACTCCTTCAATATATATATATTTCTATATATATATATGCATTTACTTTTCTCGTTTTGTAGGTGGGGTGATATAAGGATTAATTTGATTTCAGGAGTACCATGCGCGAGTGTGTCAATTAATTCACTTTTCAGACTTATCGCGCACCCTTTTGCGAGGGGATTTCAAAGTATGTAATTGCAGTCGATGGCGGATGAAATTTTACCCTTTCTCTGTCTTAACATTTTCTTTAGCCATACTCCATCGTGCAGAAACGAGCTATATATGTTATCCTGCATGAGTTCGCCCCCGAGAATTATCTAAAAAGAGTGGTCGGTGCGTGACATGTAACAATGGTACCTCACGAAGAGCGCACATGCGTGTACTTATTACAATTACCCCAGCAAACCGCGTTTGCTGCAAGTTAGTACTAGCTGGTTGAGATTCCTCCTTGTAAGTTTCTTTTAATCCCTGCCAAAATTTCGAAAAGCTTTCTCCTCCTCGAGGTGATCATCGACCTCAAGTGAAGCGCGTCCGCCATTTTGGATCCACCCTGTTCCTCTTCACATTCTTCGTTCCAATTAAACGTAGGACATTTTTAGATTACGGAAAGCTCGCGTTAACTCATTTTCCGTGCTTTTCTTCCTTTCTTTTCTATACAATTGTCGCACATAAACGTGGCACCAGGGGAAAGGAGAAGCTTTCAGCGATTCGTCGAAAGTCGCTCGATAAAAAAGTGGACTCTTATTACAAGGGACTCTTGGAAAATTGGATGCACTTTCGTGTATTGCTAGTGTCGCGTGAATGAGTAGGTACAATAGATTATATTACACCGAAATGTGTATCACACAGTCCCCCCTTGACACTGGCAAGATATTAATTATGCAGCTTCGCCAGAGCCGTATTTCTTTTTTCTTCATTCTCAGGCGTCGCGTTGAGAAATTTTGCAGGATGTAAAAGAGGGGGGAGGGGAGGAGGATTAAGGAGAAATGAATGCAGAATTCTCGAAAAGGAAACTGGAAAGGAAAAGGAAAGAACGAGCGTTTCCATTCCCATTCCGATGACCCCGTGAAAACGGGGACATTTGTACAGAAAATAATGGCTTTTCACGAGGTCAGCCAATGAGGAAAAGCATACAATTGACAAACGGAAAGGACTCAGTCGTCGAGGATGTCAAAAGCGGTTCAAATACCCTGGAATTGCTTTCCCGAGAAGAAATGTACCAGCTTGTAATTAACTGAACAAATTGCGCGCTCTCTTTACCCCTAACAATGTCATATTTACTATTATTCTTTCCTTATATACCTTAAGACTCTACGTATAACTCTACCACTCATATCCTTTAGTTATAATATAGTATCCAGAAAATAACCCTTGTACAAAATTGACTAGAGCCGATTGCTTCTACGTGTGGGGGACCGATAATTATCTGGTTTTGGAAAATAATCTCCGCGAGATCTCGACGATTCGTCGCGTCCGGTGATCGATTCGTAGCGTACTTCTTTTTTTCTTTTCTTCGTTTTCTCGTTTCTCTCTCTACTCCACTTAGTACTTCTCTTAGATATGACGTGCATACGTATTGACCTGGGATTATTTTCGCCCGACCGGAGGCTAAGTTTTAAAATGAAGCATTGAAAGAACGTCCCTAAGCGTGGAAATGATATAATTTCGCCAACACCGCGGGGAAAGACTTCGACCTGACAACGTGCCATTTTCTCAAGGTCAGATCATTGAAAATGGCGCCGAACTCGATATGGTAGCTACGTAATCTTCCGAAAAAATATTTATTGCTAGTACTACCACGAATTCGTGGAGCCGTGCAATGGATGTCGCACCTTGATGTGTTTAATTTATTGCTACTGTATTTTATAACTTTTAAAGATTCCTTAATTAGAGCCAGGATCGAAGCCTTTTCCAGCGACGCCGGAGAAGGATTTCGGCAAAAGCGTGCCCAGCCAGAATCGTTCTTTTTCCGGCGGCCACCTTGGAAGCCGTGCACCGGACTCGTGAAAGATAAAATCTGCGTGACTCTAAAATAGAAAACAGCATTTAGACATCGCGTGTACGTGCTCGCGTACCTTCGAAGCGCCTTGAAAAAGTGTGAAAAATCCTAGCTTATTATAAAAATGACAATAGGTGCTGGCAAGGACTCGCGTGTCTGGGAATGCTCCAGGGAACTCATCCCAGGATATAGAGGAACATCTCCTCGTGAAAAACGGCGGTGGTGGTCCGGTCGGAAGCTTAAGAAAAAATTGACGCGAAGGGGTGTTCCATTTAAGACTCCTCTCAAATCGTTAGGCCGGAAATCGTCCTCTCCTAAAGCTAGCCCATCATCTTTCATTCCGGTGTAACTCCAAGTCCTCGAAAAAAGCGCTCTCGGAGACAGCCTCTCTTCCTCCCAAGAAGTTTCGCACCGATTCGATATTTATACTCTTTTCTATCTCAGCATCGAAACGACGATGTTCAACGATCGAATATCAGCGAAATCCCCCTAGTTCTCATTTATACAACGCAAAGGGCGCACAATGGGGCCATTGTTCCGCATAAAGTTACATCGCCGTTTCCAAGTCGGCCTCGCCGTAAAACTTGGGTGAAGCGCTTTTTCCACGAGAGGGCGGGCTTTTCCGTGGCAGCTCTTCCTATCCTAGAATGGCGGCGAAATCCTGGGGTCGGTAGTTACGCTGGAAATCTGAATAGCCGAGTGTAAGGAGGAGTGGCGTTCGAATAAAGGCGCACGCGAACAACTCGGCCAAGAAAGGTGAAGGTACAAGATGGCGCCTGGTGGCGACAATCGGAGCAACCGAGTTAAGCCGACTCCACGGGTAATAAACGGTAATTGGATCACTGCCAATGTCGGCTTTAGCTTGCAAAATCCCCGATTTTCAGCGACACGAAAGCCCCGGGTTTCGACCTCGCGTTCTCCATTTTTTTTCCCCGCCCCGCGAAGCTGCCACGGGAAGATCGATCGCTTTTTCAGCCCACCGCGTCGAGCGATGCGTGGCCAAACTTTCCAACATTTTGTAAGCCGATCCCTGTTTGCCTCCCTTTCAATCCAGATGCATCATGGTCGCGTCGCGAAATGTCCACCGCGGCCAGCTCGGTTATAAATTCCCTGGACATGTTCCTATCCCGGAGATTTCGCGCGGAGACTTCGATGCGCGGACAGGCGAGACCTCCGGTTAAAAAATTGAAAAAAAAATCCACAGACACGGAACGAGCGCAATATTCGAAGGCATCTTCGTTCCTCGGCAACTTCCTAGCCCTAGGGACCGGGCGTGATAGAACTCCACGCTGGATTAATTTTATATACATTTTTTATCCGCCCTCTCTCCCGCTCGACGCGGCCAGTTTAGGTAGCTGCCATCTGGATTGACGCGCGGGAAGCTTTGCAAAGAGATCGGTCCATCCGACGTACCGACATCCAGCCATCCAGGAGGTTGCATTCTATCTTAATATTTACAATAAGCCAACCAGGAGTCACCCGAAAGTTCATGAATCGGCGTGCAGTCGGTTCTTCGTATCTGTTTCGGAAAAAATCCGTCTGGAGGGAGTCTGTACAAGCGCGAGCGATTCGCACGATAGAGCTGATAGATCTCGCTCTGCCTCGACCTCTTTCCTAGATTTTCCACGTTTCTCGCATTTTCGTGAGAGCGCGGTCGAGGCCCTCCCGAAGCGTCTGTCTCGCTGTTTCTCTTGGCTCTCCGAAGGAACCCGAGGACCTCCCGGGGGTCCTTGGGGACCGGAAGTCCCCCAGGATTCACGGGATGCAGGAGTGCGTGTTGGTCGCCTGGGCAGGTGACGACAGGGCCACCGAAAAATCGGAGTCCAGGACGAGGTCGCTTATACAGCCGACGATGCCTCTGCGGTACCTCCCTCCGGTCGTCCTCACTATATCTGGAGCACCTCCTAATAGATTCATAACATTAATCCCAGGAATAAATTATTCAACGAGAAATTTACTGTGTTTCCTGTCTACAGGAAAATATTTCTTTGAATAATCCCAAAGAAATTTTGTTATTAATTCAAAGAATAATTACTTGACTCTAATAAAACCAAATAAATTGGACGCGACGTTTCTTCGGAGTTGTTACAACTTATTTCAGCCAAATGAATTATTCTTTCAATTGAAAATCTATTTCTTTGGTTGAATGATTTTCTTTTTTCTCGGTGTAGAAGAAAAGAAAAATCACGTACCAACGTAAAGACCCGTGTCCGTGTTTAGTTGTCTCAGCTGTCCAGGAGACGATGCCGAGACTCCTGTGCCGCTGTCGACCAGCAACGACGCCCATTGCTCGTTCCTGTGAAATGAAAAAAATTTAAATTCATGGCAGGTCTAGAAGCCTAGAAGGAGAACATCGACGTGATCCTGCTTTATTTTGGAGTTTATCTCTAGATTTATCCCCTCGCTTCGGGTGTCGGCGCGAGTTTATGGAGTTTTCGTGTCCCAGGTTCGATCGCTCCTTGTATCTACCTAGGACTCGAGAGGAGTTTCGTGTGTTTCTCGGATTAAGGTCGATATTATCGCGAAAACCTGCCGAAAGTTAGGCCGAGTAGCGTCGAGGAAGTGCGAGAGACGACAACGTTCTCGTAATGCTGCTCCTCTGTCGAGCAGAACTTCCGGCTGGAGAGTTATAGCAAGTAACTTGACACGAGATGCAGGACGTTCGACGTTGCGATCTTGACGGTGTCGAAAATTGCAACGACTAGTTCCTTGCAGGCCAATAAAACTGTCAGCGTGGGAAACTCCTGTAAATCGCCCGGCAAGCTTCCCGTCGTCTCTGATATCTCCTCCAGCATCCCGTGTACCAGTATCCCGTTCGGGATTAAATTTCAAAAAAAAAAAGGAAGACGGGAATCGATTTCTCTCTTTGCTCTAAAGACCCTTCCAAGATTAACAAAAGTTCCGATCAAGAGAAATTAGATAACGCGCGACGAGAAAGTCGAGAAAGATAACGCGGCAGCACTGATTATCGTTTTTAAATGTCCGACAATGTGATTACCAGTTCCTGATACCGAATCATTGTTATACGAGGTATATGCGAAGGCTTTTACACTTCCAATAGTTCCAGGTGTCTCCGCTGGAGAACAAAGATGGCGGCCGGTCTCACCTGACTGCCCTGACGCGGTGCCAAAGATCGTCGTCCAGTCTCGTGAGATTATACCCGAGCACAGCCTCTCCGGAGCCGAGATTATAAGCCAAGGTCAAGTATCCCTGGTCCAGTCCAAGTGCGAGGAAATCCCCATTTTCCTCGGTCTGTTCCTGAGGATCCGACTGCCTGCCGCTCCACAAAAGCAGCCCGCTGCTGCTGCTCGCCCTGAACCTTATGTTAATGTCCACCCTGTAGCTGATTATCCTGCGAAGGAAGTCGGGCACTTCGGTCATCAAACTTTCGGGAAACTCGGAAAAATCCCGGGAAGGCGGGTAAGCCGTTCCCGGGAGGCTGAAATAGTTCGGAGAACTTGAAGAAGGTGGAAGAGGAAACTCGCGCCGCCCTGGAAAATCGAACTCCTGGCGAGGCAGCGATTTTCCAATCGTTTTGTTAAATTAAACTCGAGGGGAATGTCCTTATTGTAAGCCGAGGGTGAACAAAGAATCTTCAAGGGGACCTCCTCATGGTGTCGGCGTCGTTGTAGTGGAGGTAACTCTCGCTTCCGGTGAAACTGGGCACTGCTCTCTCTATCCTGGCCGAGGTGGAGGTGTTGGAGGTCGTGGTAGAAGGTGCCAGTGGGGAAAAATCGTCGGGCGCGGGGCAGGGGTGTGGGACACCTGGTCGACACCTGCAGGTGAACCTCTCTCTCAGGGGTCGGCACTCCGCGTCACCACAGGGTCGTGCCTCGCAGGCGTGTCCGCAGTTTCCGACGTTGACGCCGCCCAAGGCCTCCGCCAAAATTCCGACCTGTTTGCAAGAACGTCCAAAAATGTCAGAGCCCGAAAAAAGGAACGACGAAAAAGCTCCTGTTCATGGGCACTGGGCCATGTTAAGAAAATCCACCCTGAAAAATCTTCCCGAGAAATATCTCTTTGATCAGTGGCAAAGAAATATTTCGTTGATTCAAGGTATAATTATTTGACTCATATAAAATCCAATAAATTGGATACGACGTTTCTTCATTGATTTTCACGACTTATTTCGCCATATAATTATTCTCTGTATTAAAAACACATTTCTTTGGTGACATTTGGTAATGAGCGCAAAATGGCTGCTAAGATGTAAAAAAAAGTTCCCAGGTGCAATTTCTGCTGACTGAATTCGTTTAAGCCATTTAAGGTTACGTGAAAAAGAAAGAGAATTTACCTCGCGACGGTTCAGCACCATCGTTTGGATACAGCCGACGAAGCTGGCGGTGGTCTTCATCTTCGGAGAGTACATCTCGACGGCAGGTGCACCCCCCAGATAGAGATTCAGGGGTAGAGACAGCTGCGTGAAGGCCCCGGGCGCTAGGACCTCCTGAGGAGGTGAATCCTCCACTTCCAAGGACGCCAAGCGCCCCGTCCTGGACACCTTCACCTCCACCCACTGGCCCAGCCGGATCGGAGATTCGCTCCTGGAGAAAAATCCCCAAATTTCTAGTGACTCCGTAAATCTAGCCGTGAGACGGATACCCGGCATCCGGGTAAGTCGAAACGCCAGATTCGCACCTAATCCGGGGGGAGGGAGGTGGAGGACGCGTCATTCGAGTAGCAGAAGGAAAGACAATACCAGGGGTCATCCCCGCACAATGGACTTCCGTCCTGGGAGAGGTCTCACCGCCAACCAAACAGCGCGGGCCACCCCGATTACGAAGACAATGAAAACGAAGAATGAGTCCGGAGAGACGGACCGGAAATTCGGAAATGCGAAAGCAAGGTCTGAAGAGGAAGCCGAGGCGTCGGTGAACCTGCTCTGACGTTGAAACGCGATGCCCTAAACGTTATTTCCTGTTTGCTCAGAAATTCTGGATTTCCAAAATCCAGAAAAGATCGAATGTCGAGAATAGTGCAAATTGCTGACATCTTGCAAGTGACAGTCATCTCGATGACGAAGACAATGAAAATGAATGAGAAATAATCGGACGCCATCGTGAAGAGGAGCTGGAGAATAGCGAAGACCGCGATTAATAAAAATCGCTGACACCTCGCAAGAGCCGGTCATCCCGATTATGAGGACAATGAAATCGAAGAATCAGTCCGGGGAGCTGGACCGGAAATGCTAAATGGCAAGCGCGAGATCTGAAGAAGAAGCTGAAGAATGAATGAATTTACTCTGACGTCAGGGCGCCGATACTCTAAACGTCATTCCGCTTTCCCCACGAGATAGACGCGGACCTGTATATTTATTTTCCCTGAAATTATGGATTTCCAAAAATCTGCCCAGGCCAAAGAAGATCCCTGCATCAGCGGAGGCCAGGAAGAGCAGAAATATCTGACACCCGAGATCTCACGAGGGGCGTAAAAGAATTCCCGAATATGGGGAAACTGGAAGGCGCCTCGATTTCCGTGACAAAAACGGAAACGGGGGTTCGGTCTTCTTTCGGGGCCGCGGGAGTGTGAAATTCCTGGAGGATTCGCGGGAACGGTATTCCGGACACGGTGCTCCGGTTCCCTCGCAGAGATTCCGGGGAACGCTCGTTCCCTCGACTTGATTTTATTTTTCCGAATTATCGATTTCCGCGAGGCGCGCTTGTTGCTACCGCGAGGTGAATCCTTGAGAGGAGGTTGTGGATTATGGGAGCAGACGGAGGATCTGTGTCGTCATTTTTCCCCGGCAATCGGGCCGCGTCCTCGAGTCTCCTCTTTTCATTTTCGAATTTCCAGGTTAACCCGGACAATTAAGGGGGCGGCTTTTACGAGGTTCCCGCGGAAGCCGAGGAAAATCCTTGAGTCAACTTATAACCCACGGCTTACAGGAAAGGATGCGGCTAATATATGTGCGAGATGGAGGTTCATATTGTACGGAGAGCCTGGCAAAGCCTGCGTTTCCAGCACATATGTGCAACGTAATACCTCGATATCATCCTGGGGTCTTTGAGAAGACCCGGCGCCAGAAACTGCAACAAAATCGCCGCGTATAGAGAATCGGCCAGACTTGAAATATTAAGGATGAAGGTGGAGAAAGAAGGCGTACCGGGGGTCTAAAGGACGAGCCCAGCCAGGCACGGCGTAAAATAAGCCGAAGGATATCCGCATCCCCTTCCTTCAGTGAAAATTTTAAGGTTCATAACTCTTCCTCGCCGTCTCATAACAGCCGGGCGCAATTTTCGCTCCCATTCGCGAGAGAGCCGCGCGTGTTACGCATCTCAATTCTCAGGTACGAAAAGGCCGGCGCCGTGTCGGCGGATCTTGCGGAAATTTTTCTCGACTCCGGAAGGCTCGGCTCTACTTTGCGATTCCAGGTAGGGTTACGAAAATTCCAAAGGATCGCGGAATTAATTCCCCAGGAGTTTTTCGTGTTCTCCATTTTTCTGGTGCTGCGATTTCGCTTTCTCCATTATTTGGTGCCTCATTCTCCATTTTTCTGATTCCTTCTTTCCCTGGTACCGCGTTCTCCATTTTGGAGATACCTCCCTTGATGGTACATTTCCCACCTCTTGGTACCGCTTTCTCCATGATTCCGGCGCCACGTTCTCCACCTCGCCGACCGTGCATCCGCAATTCCTATCATCCCACGTTCTCCAAATCCTGCCAAGACATGAATGGCGGGTCCGAAATGGCCGACCTTGACACGAGAACACACAATGGCCGGATCACTGCCGGCTCTCGTCGAGGGGGTGCAAATGAAACCCGCGAGTCTCGGTGTGCGGAAAAAGCCCCGACCGGACAAAAGGCGGCCGACCTGGACGCCAAGCCCCGTTTTAAGCTTGAATGAAAGGGGCGAGGCGCCCCGTGAGCCGCCACGAGGCTTCGACCCCACCTCTCGCGACCCCCCGCGAACCCTTCCACTCTTTAATCCGCCGAGTGCGAATGACGTTTGCTCGGGGAGTTTTCACCCCCCGGGTGGAACGGGACGGTAAATAGAGATCGACCGAGTGCCAGATTACGACGGAGGAGCGAAAGTGCGGAGGGGTGAAATTCGCGGCCGCGACATCGACACCTCCCCCACCGACTCCACCGTGGGTTCGACTCTGAGGCGACATGGCGACATCAGGGGCGGTCCTGTAGAGGGGGCGAATTTTCTTTCCTCACCAGGGAGGGTTTAATTCCCATTTAATGTGGCAACTCGCTCACCCTCGCTGAGTCGAAGTCGCCCAATCGTGGGGTCGCTCGTATCGATTTCGTTCATGAATATTCCTCGAGCGTAATGTAGCGCACGACGCGGAGGCGATTACACCTCCCCTCTGCGAATGCAGATATACGTGTACACGCGTATTTTATTCCCATCTCGAGGATTGAGCCAGGCACCGTGCAATAGTAATTACCTCTTACGTAAATCCCTCATGGGGGCGCCATTTCGAATTCCGCAAAGCGTGCAGTCTGTTCCTCGAGGTTCATCAGGGACAAGGTGGGGAAAAAAATTGGAAATTTTTCCCGGGTGTACCGAATCGTTTCACATTTCACCACTTAAGCATGAAGACTCTAAAAAAGACCCTCATACCCATGAAATTGAATTTCTTTATAATAAATTGTTCAAATGTCTGTAAAGGAATTTAAAAGAAAAATTGAAAGTTCATGGGGATCAGGATCTTTTTTATAGCCTCTATAATCACATTGTAAAGTTTGATACGTGTCGATACTCCTAGGTCGAAGATTTCTTTGATGCCCCTCCATATCACCTTAAATCCCCACTCGGAATGGCTTCTTTTTTTTTTCTTACATTTTTCGGTACGTAGCATGAAAATGCAGATCCACGGAAGATGCTAATAAGAAATTACTCGTAATTAAATGAAATATTTGAAATAATACTGATTATGTTGTTTTCATCCAAGATGGAGGATGAGTTTCGCTTTTGTTGCGCGGGGGTTCCTTGTATTTCATTTTTTGGGATCGGGTGGCTTACCTCAGGGTCGCCGGGCCCGTTCCCAGGTCGAAGGTGAACTGGACGTGTCCATCGGCGAGATACAGGGCGATAAAGTCACCGGTCGCGTCACTGTGGTGCCCGTTGTAGAGGATCACCCCGTCGGGCGAGTTGGCCTTCAACGTGACGGACAGTTCCAGCCACGACAGCGACGTATCGGCCAGACCGGGGTACCTTAAGTACGAGGATCCGTTAAACGATGGAACCTGCGACGAAGTTTCCCAATCGTTAAGGATACATCCACTCGCAAACCCCGTCAGGACGAGCCTCGTCCCCTAACAACCCGCCCTCGAATCTGCGATAGAAAAATCCCCCGAAAATGATAGCCGACTCCCCTCTCGCTACACTTGATTTTTCGATTTTTTCTATTTTTCAACAGTGGACGTCCCGAGGGAGGAACCAGGAAGAACCGCCATTAAAAAAGTTACTTAAGGTGATGTCAACGTGTGACATCTGAAGGGCCAATCGTTTATGAAACGTTTCGCCGAGCTGGGTGTGCCGAATCCTTTGAAAATTCCCACGAAACACGTGAATATGGAAGCCCTAAGGAAGGTTCTACCCATGGAATTTAATTTATTTTTGCAAACATTGAAATTTCATGAGTATCGGAACCTTCCTAGTAGACTTCATATTAACATTGCTAAGTATGAAACAATTCGGTACTCCTGGCTCGGAGAAAAGTTACACGAACGCTTGATCCCTCCGATGGCCCTTTCACATCACCTTAAAGAACCAATCGTTTATGGAACTTTTCCCTGAATTGTGTAACGAATCGTGTGAAATTTCACCACGTAAATATGGAGGCTCTAAGAAAGGTCTCGATACCCATTAAATTCCAGTTTGAAACGAAATTAAAAAATTGTTTATCAAGAGATTCAAGAAATGAAATTTTCTGAGTGCAAGGACTTTCCTTATAACCCCAGTATTCGCCTTGTAAAGCTTGAAATGATTCGGCACGCCCAGGTCGGAGAAAAGTTGCATAAACGAGAACTCTTTGAGGACTTTTAGATAACCTTAAGGATCACTTCTCCAGCGATTTGCAGTGCCTCTCGGAGTAACGATTGCAAACGTATTTCCGAACCGATCGAACCCATCAGAGGGGTCGAATTCCCGGGTAAATTTCTCCGGTTTCAGGAATTCAGGCAGATCCCTCGGGAGCAAACGAGAGCTCGTCGGCTCGCCTCGCCATTATACCTCGTCGCAGGAAGGACTCCGAGTGAGGCACTTCCTAGAACGCGGCTTAATCCTGGAACGGCCAGGCGCTGCATCGATCCTTCGTTCGATTTACATCGCGGTGTAACTACAGTAACCCTCGCTTACATACAGCGTATGTACTGCGTGTACATACCCGTATTCGTCTCTGCGCGCCCCAGGCGTAAATTAATCCCACTCGAACGCGTAATGCTGCGCGCACAAAGGACCTCTCTCTCCTCTCCAGTACTTCGAAAGTCGAAGAGGACTCCGAATTCGATCCGTCTCGAGCAAAGATCGTTTCCATGGACCGAGAGTCCTTAGTTTTAATCCCGATACCGCGTAAGGTCGATTTACACATCCATTATCGACCCGGTATCCGTACACCGAGAAAAAAATATCATGGAACAAAAGACTTATTTGAATAGTACCAAAGAAACATTTCGTTAATTCGAAAGACGTTTGACTGGAATATATTGTCATAATTCCGAATAAATTTTACCTCGAATTTATTTGAGCTCGTTTATGAAACTTTTCTTTCAATTGGGTGTGTCTAATAGTTTGAAACCTTTCCACGTGAATATTGAGGCTCTAAGGAAGGTATCCTACCCTCGTTACATTATAATTATTATACAACTTTATTTAAAATGAATTAAAGTATATGGAACGTTAGGAAAGGAAAATTAAATTTCAGGAATGTCGGCACATTTCTTAGGGTTTCTGTATCCAGGTGGAACGATTTCAAACGGTATACCCAGTTTGGAGAAAAGTGTCATCAATTGTTGACTCCTCGGAGTAAGTTTCATATCGCCTTATTAGTCGCAGAAGGCTGGAAGTCTCCCAGAGAAATCGGATCCTCTAGCGCACGCAGCATCCGCGGCTCAAGGAGGAGGGAAAGGGGGCGAGATCCTCACGGCTCGAATTCGGATTTGAGGATACTCACCTGCAGATCCACCCTCGTCTCGCACAGGTCCCCCGTATATCCTAGGGGACAGAGACAGACAGCCGTGTCGCCGCCGGTTGTCAGGCATTTTCCCCCGTGGGAGCACGGCACCTTGCTGCACCTGTCCGCCGTGCATTCCTCTGAAAGGACGATCAATCAGTCGGTTTAGGAAAATGAGCACAGATCCTTCCCAACCCGACCACACAATCCCATATTCCGTAACCGAGGACCTAAGTATACTACGAAAATTTCAACAGGTAAATCCTTAAGGCCGGATACGTATTACAAGACAATCCTGGAAAATCCTCGAAAATCAAGGAACTCGGTAGAGTCTCGCGCCAAATGCATTGGAAGGCGCATATGCAAAAAACAATATCGGCACTTGAATCTGATAAATATTTATTTCTCAGGTAATAGAAACTTATCATGTCAGGGGTAATTGAAGTACATCCCGCCCCGCAGAGACTGATTTTCTTCAGATTTTAAGAGCTTCCGGACACTGGGAAATTTTTCTCTTAATTAAAAGAAATTTTAATTAAAAGGAATGTTTCTCTTTTATTTTTATTTTTTTATTTTTTCTTTTGCACTCACCGACATCAAAGCCGTTCGCTGCATCTCCCTGAGGAGCGAGAGGGAAGCGATAGGTGTGCTCGTTCGCCTCGAGATGCCGGACGCAGCCTCTGAATCCGCTCTTCACCGGGAGTCTCTCCAGGCCGCTGGTGTTCCCAGGACCCCCCACAAAGAGTGGCTCCCTGAACGTGATCCTCGAGAAGAGACCCTGAAATCGGATGAAAAATGTCAGCGCTCGAAAGGCCCCCCCCCTCCGAAAATCCGCCTCTTGGGCTGCGTCGACGAGAATTTCCCAAAAATACGAAAAAAATTCAAAGTAGAAATATTCCGCTGAATATTCGGTCCACCCAGTTTGGAGAAAAGTCTTGTAAATATTTTTTACATTATATATGACCTATTCATATACCTCAAGAGAATGGAAAAAAAAAAGAAGAAGAAATACCAGAGACACGATCTGAAAATTTTGTGAAAACTACCCTCGAGGATCGGATCGCTGGTTAATTAAAACGTCCGTGTCGGAGAGAGAGAAGGACGGTCCGAGAAACGGCAAACTTCGCTGCTCATACGTGGCCGACAGAAAGCGTGTTTCCACGTGGAGGGAGCTCGGAGACGTCGAGGCGGACAAGGCGGGCAAATAGAGCCTAATGGGAGAGCAAACGCGAGCGGAGATGGGCTCCTTGCCCGACAAGGAAGGGGAGGGATCGATAATTGACTTCGACGACTTGATTACCATTAATCGGGCCGAAATTCCGCGCAATTCCCCGGCCAGAGGCGCACCTGGGATGGAAAATTCCCCTCGGGGTAAGACTCTCCCGGAATTCCGCAATTTTCTCGATTGACCCGGATATCTCCTGTCGCGGTCGTCGACGTCGGAGTCCTCGCGTCCAATTTCCGGGCTAGAAATTTATTAATGATTCGCTGATCCCCTCAGCTTCCGGCGCTCCATTAAAACGCGGTATAGCTGTGCACCCGGTGTTGACGATAATTTACATCGCAAGTGAATTATCCGGCCGGCTCGCGTGGAGGCGTTTCGAGCAAATATGCGGACGCATCGTGCATACAGGAGCACCCGGTGCATCCTCGTGCACACACCAGGAGGCGCCCCCTGTGCGCTGAACCCAAGATCACCGCGAGGCGCGAGGGGACGAACTCCCCCTGCAGATCCTGCACCCTCCACCCGGACCAAGCGATTTATGCGCAACCGTGCATGCAGTTACGTTACCCCGGGGGATTTTCGCCGGTCTCGAAGTTAACGCGGCCTCGCAAAAGTCGAGAAACACCCAGGTCGCGACCCCCGCCCGGGACTCATCCGTCTCCATTCAGGCAAAACTCCGAAAAAGGTAGAAAAAGTTGAAAGGGAGAAAGAGGAATTTCGAGGGAATGTTCAATTTACCCGAAATTTCGAGTTCTTCACAAATAACCACGGGCTGCACCCAAAAGTACATACCCCACCCTGTTTTCTCTCTTTTTCTGTATACTTTTCATTAACGCGGCATTAATTATTCATTTTTCTTTCGCAACATTTCATTGTCAAGATTTTCTCCATATTTTCTTATGAACATTTTACTTGCCAGGGGGAGTTATATACGTGAAAAACAGAATGTAGAGCACCTGTTAGGAGTTCTGTTAAGAACTGGCCCGGGGGTGAGACGCAGGGGTGGCATTTTAATTCCGAAGACCGCGCTCTAACTATCCGGAGGGGGTTCGGCCGCCGATCTAATTCGTCCCCGAAGTTCGGAAAGTTCGGTTTAGACGGCGCCTTCCTAACAGGCAATATAATTAAGCAACATCCTAAGTGGCTTACGGCAAACGGTTTACGGTCTCGTCGGGCCGTCGAAAGGACGGCGGGCCCCGAGGCCTCGTTAACGCCGATGCAACACGCGTGGCTTAAGCACCTAAGTCCCGGGAATTACATCGCAACCCGAGCCGCGATTATATCCGCCAAATTGCCGGCCCCGATCCGCGATTTATTGCCGGCCGATCGGCGGCCAATTCGCAGGACGCCCTAAGAGACCCTCCCCAAACTGGCACCCCCTGCATGGACCTGGTGCATCGAGAGAAATGCCCAAGGAAGGGCGCAGTCCTCGTCACAGCGCCAAGGAACCTCCTCGACTCCATTTTCCGTACTAGATTAGAGATAACTCCCTTGTAGCCGTGCATAATTATTCATTGTTTTTATCGAGTATGATTACGAATCCATTCAAAAGCGGAGATTCAGGTCGAGTGTGATTTTCAGGATAAACAGGACACCCCTTAAAGCCCAACTTTCAGCGTTGCACCAAAGAGGATGCAGGAGGAAGTGCATATCGCCCTTATCACCGAGTCCAAAAACCTCATTAAGCCCATTTTCATTGGTCAGGAAAAAAAAATTTACTCCTAACCATACGTTATTATTAATTGTCTTTATTGTGGATGATTTTGAATGCGTTCAAAAATCAAGTTTCAGACAAAATATGCTGTTTGGTCCAACCAGAATATCCCTGAAAGCCAAACTTGTCCTGTTGCACCGAGGGAGATGCCGAAGGAAGTACATCGACCCTTATCACCGGGTTCGAAAACCTCATTAAGCCCATTTTCCTTAAGTAGACGGAATTCAGTCCTAACCGTACATCCCTTAAAGCTGTAGGTACGAGGCGCCCTTAAAAGGATTTCCGAAGTCTTCCCGGGGGATAAATGGATTAAAATTCCTCCAAGGCCGGACATCCCGGCCAACGACAATGGCGTCGCCAATAACGAGGAACGACAGCCTCTTCCGTGAGGAAATCTCACCCCGACGTGCACTCGCTAAACGTAACGACGAGTCGTAACGACAGTTCTCCCTCGGTGCCATATTGGGGTCGCGGAAGAGAACGAAGGGAACTCGCGCGTTGCTTCCGCTTCCCTATCTCGCCGGTTCTCGGTGTCCTTCCTTATTTCCCATTCCTTACTGCACAGTCTCCTCGGAGGTCCTGGAGGACCATTATCAGGGAATGGCATTAGCCGAGACACGACGGGCCTCGTTAGTCACGTCAGGATGAGATGCACCGCGCCATCGGAGGCTGGAATTCCTCTCGACGCGCATCTCCCGTTTCGCCCCCAAAAAGGAAAAAGACGGAGGAGGAATTTTCTGGACCACCCAGAGAAAGTTTCCAAGTCCGAAGAAATTTTCCATCCCGGGGAAAAGTACCTTCGGTGCCTTAACTTTATCCTGACGGGTCCGTTTCCAGGAGAGGACGCGCAGAGTGACCCTCGATCTGGAATTGATCGGTCGCTGCATCCGCTGCAAGAGTGCAAGAGTGCATCAGGGCCATCGAGGATGAAATTCGTCATCACTAATTGCAACCTCCTCGTAGGACGCGCCGGAAGCTTAATTGGTCCAGGTCCAAAGGGAGCTTTCATCGGAAGCTGTTCTCGAAGCAGCGACCTCCGGACGCGTATTAAATGCAATTAACGCAGCCACTTAAGGGAAATAAAGTGCAGGGCGGAGGAAGAGTTTCCAGGACTCGTCTGGAAAAATGGATAACTCCGATAAATGAATATACAATCTGATGAAAATTTCAGAAAGTTGGATTTTGAATCCGGCTCAGAGATTTCCTGCCGCGTTCTGGAAAAATGAATAGCCCCGATAAATAAATATAGAATCTGAGAAAAATCTCCGAAAAGTGAATTTTTTATTCTGATGAGAATTTCCCTGTCGCTAAGACTCGAGGAAAATGCAAGTGCGTCATCGTCCTCTGTCCAGGTGGAAAGTTTAATTGGAAAGTTCTCTGGTCCTGAGGAGGCCTTTCAACGAGGGTCCTTTCCGCCATTCGGGCCGATTTTCGAGCCAATTAGCACGGCCTAAGGAAACAAGTGCAATGCCTTTGCAGGACCAAGAGTGGTTTCAGGACAATGGCACGAGGACTCCTTTTGATCCTGGGTAAACGACCGAATAAATTGCGACACGGATGTAAACGACTTAGGGGCTTCAAAGCTTTCCTCGTAATCCCGAGAAACAATGGAAATCGATAATCGACTCGATGAAAAATAATTTCGTTTCGGTGTCTTATTGGGAAAGAGAGAAAATCACTCCCTTGGGAATTTATTTCGCGCAATTTCACCGAGTCATGCGCGGGTTAAGCGATCTCGAGGGCATTACCGAGTCGTCAGGATTCGTCAGGATTCGTCAGGCGAGGGGTGAAAGTGAATTTTCCGCTCGTTCGTGTAAAGCGAGGTTGCGGGGACCGGAAAAAAAGAGGGCGGAAACGGTGAGAGGGAGATAAAGGGGGACAAAAAGAAGACTCGGAGAGGACAGCGAAATCCAATTGCGTGTTTCGTAACGGGACGTGAGGGGGACGATCACGCAACGCGTTCCGCGAAAATTACGTTTATGTAACTCTCGTTTGTCGAAAACCCCTGCGATCGTTTCCGAGGGGCGAGTTTCGTCCCAGAGGGATGGTCGAGCATTTTCCCGAAACACCTGAACCAGGAAAAAAAATCATTTCCCCTAAGAGAAAGTCGCGACAAATCAACGAATCCATCTTTTTTTATTAATTCCCTTAAGGTGATGTGAAAGTGGCGTCAAAAATTTCTTTCCATAAAACGTTCCTCCGAACAGAGTGCATCGAATCGTTTCAACCGTTACACCATGAATGTGTAGTCTACAAGGAAGGTCCGGCCAGCCATGAAATTTGAATTTTTTATTAAACTCGTTAACAGAAATATTTTTAATTTTGTATAAAAGTTAAATTGTCGGGACCATTCTTGTAGCCTCCATATTCCTGTTGTACAATTTGAAACTATTCGGTAGATTCAATACGGAGAAAAGTTTCATAAACGATTGTTCCCTTAGATGCGACTTTCACATCCCCTTAATGTATCCCGATTTTTTCCCGACGATTTACCCAGGTCTTTCATCTTCCGGGAAAATAATGCCGTCCAAAGGGATGCACGGTGTATCTCCTTAGGCAAGAGGTGCAACCAAAGTGCCCTTTAAAGGGCGATAAATCGTTTGTGCAATTTCCCGGTAGTTCCGCTCAGGCGGAACATTCAGGGAAAATTATGCGCAACATTTTCCCTCCCCTCCCCTTCCATCCTCTGCGGTCCCCTTTCCCCCTACTTATTGTTAACACAATTAATTCGGTGTTTTCAACTTGGACTTGTCGGCTGTGTTTTCGCCCCGACAGAGACCGGGCTTAGAGGGCGAAACCTGGTTCGACCCGGAAAAAAGGAAAAGGGACACTTTGCATGCAAATCGCGAGCGTGTTGCTGCCGTCCGGTTAAGCAAACGTTGCGAACAAGGGTGGGACTTGGCGAACTCTTTGTCGAGGGCGGAAAGTTCGCCCGATAAAGCCGAGTTAATTTTCATTTGCAACTCGCGATCCGGGGATAACCGGCGAATGTAACCGCCGCATTTGCGGGCTTTTTTGCATTTCTTTTCTTCCTACCGGAATTTCAGGGAAATTCGGGATGCAAATGCGGCGTCCTCCTGAATCGCGCCGCGGGGTGCTTAGATTACGCTCCAATTAAACAAGCCCACGTCGAAAACATGCAATTAATGCAGTCATCGCGATCATTCAGCGGAATCCTGTGTAGCGGAAGTAGAGCCGCAAGGTATTCATTATACGGTTTCAATTACGGCATATACCATCGGCGGCTTTGTTTACCCGGCGCAGAGGGTGCTTGGGCGCCATTTTGAAAAAATCGATAGGCTCAAAAAAGTAATCCCATAAAATTCCCGCGTTACCAGAATGCTCCCCTGAAATATTTACCTATAGCTGCGGCACGTATGAAAATAAAAATAAAAGGGCCGAGAGTAATCGACGCCACCCTTTGACGCAGATGAAATAATAATTCCGCAAGCGAGCGGATAAATAACCCCTGTGCATTCGGCGTCCCTGTAAACGCATTAAACCGTGAAACCCTTCGATTCTGGGAGCACTTTTCGTGCAGGATTCCCAATTAAATCCCACCAGGATGGGCAATAGCGGAAGCCGCAATTATGCCCGATGGGGAGAGAACGCCCCTTTGGGGGAACCGTGACAAATTTCTATCCGGAAATTGATAACGAAACATCCGCAAACTGCGTCACCTTTTTCGACGAGGCCCGATTCATGAATTGTTGGGCTCGAATGGTCCAAAAGTGTCCCTTCGCGCCGTATCTTAAGGTGATATGAAGGAGTCATTCAACATAAATCAGAAGAAATTCAAGACCCTCGTTAGGACCTCCACGTGTTAAAGTTCCAAATTATTCGGTGCACCCAGTTTGGAGAAAAGTTTCATAAATATTTCGACTTTTTGACGTATAGATGAGACTTTTGTAACACCCGACGTGGGAAAATTGAAAAAAAAAAAAAGGAATATATATGGAACTACCCGGGGGCAACATTTGGATAGCGGGGGCGGGTCGAGGGGATACTTCCCGGTATTTCACGGCGAAGTGCTCGGCTCTGAAAAGCACACGGCAAAGAAAACCAGCAAATGTCGGCCATAGAGTCTTCAAGCCTCCGGACAAAGGACTCGGGGGGCTCACAATGGGACGCGTGTACGCGAGTACTTCGCTCTATGCACCTGGTATGACTGAAGTGCGCCTTCATCTACGTACAAGTTGCAGCCTACGTACGCACTGCATTGCTCGGGGAAAGGGGAATGAGTAAACGTGCCGTCGCGGACCCGCGGCTGCACTTCCGGTCTCCATTGCTCGGCGTAACACAACGCTCCGCTCGTCCATCGCGTCTCATCGAGATGAAAGAGGAGACGCGCGGCTCGCGTTGCAATCTCCCGAGGCAAAGTCGGGATGATCACCCGGCAAATGGCCGCCGTCGTCGATCAATTTGGCCTTCGACGTGCAGAGACAAACGATCGACTCGCGAATCCCCGGGGAGCCCACCTGAGTGCCATCGACCCACCGCCAGGGAGGATTAATCGCCCCTCATCTGCGCCGCCATCTTGGAGAACGCGCATCACCCATGATCTCCTATGTTCATTTTCCAAAATTAACAGAGACTATATGGTGAAACTTATGTAGATCTGCTTGCAAGTTTCGCACGATATAAATACATGACGGTGTATTAAAATTGCATAGACCATATGATCATTCGAGTAACAATTTATTCAGTGTTTGAAACAGCACGAGCATGTCTCTGTTGGAAGCTTTTCCGAGATAAAATCAGAATTTCTTAAATTAGCTTATCAAATTGAATTGTCTGCCTCGTGAATTTATCGCGGCACTTTCTTTTTTATCGGTGCAAACAGGGCCCAATGAGATTCTGCAGTCGTTTCAATCGAATGAACCTTCTCCTCCAGATGGAGAACGCATCTCGCGCAGTCACGGCAATATCCGCGAAAGATGTGCGCTATCACTCTTATCAAAGCGCGAAGTGCACCCCGGTACTCCGAAGCCCGGAGTGCGCTCTTTATTTCCGGTTTAGCAGAGACGAGACGGGCGTAACTTCCGGCGCAAAGGGTCTTTATCCTATGCAGAGGCAGAGGGAAGAGGGGAGGAGGCCATAAAGTCACTCGGTAAATTAGTCGAAATACTTGCGCTATTTACACGAAGGAGAGCGAGTCCTCCCGGCGAGACTCGCAATTACGCGACCCCCCCGCGAGATTACCCCCCTCCGCGCGTTTTCGCGAGATATCGCCGAAATTTATCGCGATGACCCCCCAAGAGCGTCGATATTATTTACGCGATGAGGGGGCGAAGGAAGGCGAAGTGGTAAACACCCTTATCGACCGGACCGCCTCCTCCACTTCCGGTGTTTCTGCGGAAAAGTAATTTCCCTCCCCGCCGCACCTGCTGCGAACAAAGTTCCAAAGATGAGGATAAACTTCGCGGTTTTCATTTCGCCCCCTAACGAACGTAAGCCCCCCTCCCGGGGGCAGGTCAAAGCTGAACCTCGTTCACTTCCGGTTCCGAGAATTCTTTTTCAAATGGATATCAGGAGAGTTTGACGGTTCCAATGAGCGACAAAGATGGGTTTGAGTGGAGGGAGATTTGGGGAAGAGATGGGAGGGTGGTTTTTTTTTTATAATTTTTCGAGAAATTCTTTTTCAAATGGATGCCAGGCGGGTTTGGTGGATCCACCTGGGCAGAGAATTTGATTTTGGATTGGAGAGCGGATACGGGGGTGAAATTTTTTTTATTCTTCTAACGAAGTCTTCGGCGACGCGAGGCGCTCGATACGGTTCTCCAAGATGGCGGCCCCAATTACGGGCGCGCGCGCGGCGGCCGTATCGCTCGGTCGGGAAAAGCAAAGGCCAGGTCGATGGAAACGCAGAAAAGGAAATCTCCGAGGCACGCGATTACCCGGCTTAATCCGGGTAATTCAACTTGGCCAAGCTCACCGCTCCGACGGAATGGCCGCGGGAATACGGCCCGGCGACACGCGACCGCCCTTGCATGTCATTCGCTATTTCCGGTAGAGCCGTCGCGTGATTGGTGCGCCGGGACGACTGCCCAAGAAAATCGGTCATCCCCGGATACTTCCGTCCCCCGTTCCCCCAAATTTCTGGCAAATTCCTGACACATCGTCGTCCCGTAAATTTCCCCTAAAAACATGACGAAGAAATAGAAAAAAAAAAGAAGTGTTTTCTCTTAATTTCAAGCATCTACAAGAGGTGCCCTGTATACCCCCTTTTCTGCAGAGCATTCTCTCTCACTCCAAAATTCCAGCTCCACCTTCCGCGTCCACGTAGGAGGAGTGCAAACTTCAGGAAAATATTTCTCCTGCCCCGAACTTCGAAGAGCCCCCGTTTACTCTTACACCCCATCCAAGGATCTTTCCCCCATTTAAAAAATATCGCCCCTGCCCCCTTTCTCACCTCGCTTTCTATTTCGAGGCAGAGAGCCGCGGCGTTATAATTAAATTGACCTTTCCTTTGGCACGTATCGTCCTTTACGCCGGGGTGGCCGAGTAAAATTACGCCATCGATTGCCCCCGCGATTAAACCAAGTCGCATTTTGAGTAGGTTCCTCGTTAATAATCCGGCATTTCCGGCCAGTCTTCCTCGGTGACACAAAAGTGCATTTAAGCGCCGTCACCCGTTTCCGCCCCAAAACGCCCGGCCGTGGCTTTAAAACGACTCCCCCTGTCCGGAGTGACGAAAGGAGGGAATAAAGCTCGGTTTTCTCCGTGCTTCTTTAATTACTCCTCTCCGTGGCTGGTTAACAAAGCCGGGGCTTACCTTGGATCGTCCTTGCACCCGTTTCTCCTGGTTGAGCTGGATCCAGGCGTCCCACCTGTGCCTGTAGACACTCAGTGTGTTCCACTCGTTGAGCTTTACGGTTTCCGAGCTCCTGACAATGCCTACCCCGCTGCCGCAGTCGAACCTGCCGGTAACAAACGAAAAGTGTCGTTAGCCTCTAACAAAGACCCGAGGAGCTCGATTGTTCCCTGGGGAAGAAATAAAAATCAAGACGATTCGCGCCCTGCGACTTGACTTCGATCACGGCCCCTCCCCGGATGGTCGGTAACGAGCTCGCGGGTACCAATTTGAAATTTAAAAATAAAGAAACCGGGGAAAGAATAGTTTTCGAGGATCCTGCCGGCCGTCAAACGATATTCATCCTTTTAAGGACCCCCTATTTTTTTTTTTTTTAATGAAACGACTCGGGCGATAAAAATCGCCGGCTTAAGGCGCCCCCTGAAACGGCTCTACGCTGCGTCTCAAAGAGTTTACGGGATTGTGCTCGATAATAACGACTCTTCGTTAAAAGTTCCTACATTGAAAAGGGGAAGAAAAAATGCAGGCGATGCAATGAGATTCTTTTTTAAGCGAGAGTTCTTGTGAAGCCCGGGGGCTAAGGAATTAGAGGGGAAACGAAAAGTGAAACGCTCATTACAAGGAATTACTGATTGTATTTATCCTTGCGTTTTGGTGTTCTTGGGCGCAAAACGAGCACGGCTGAACCAAAGGCTTTTCGTGAAGAAATAGTTAAGAATAATTGAGAATAGTTCATAATTATTCTTTTTAAACTTGGCAATTTTTTTTTGCCTTTTTACCTGAACTCGACGAAGCCGCGGTACAGGATCAGGGCGACGAAGTCGCCTTGCAGGTCGTCGCGTTCGCTCGCCAGGAGCAGGATGCCGTCCCAGTCTTCTGGACGAAATTCCAGCTCCAGCTGGACGTGCTTGTAGGCAGCCCTTAAAGCTGGAAAAGCCAGCCATCCCGATCCCGTAAATCGGGGCGATCGCACCTCCGCCTCTGCAAGAAGAATTAATCAAAAACGATTAAAAAAGTCGATCTTGACGCCAGCCATCCAAATCTCGTAAATCGGAGCAATCGCATCTCCGTTTATAAATGACAAATGATTAAAAAGTATTAAAATGGCAGCTCTCAAAATCGGGAAGGCCAGTCATACGGATTACGTAGATCAGGGCGATCACATCTTCACCCATGCAAGGAAAATGAATAAGAAATATTAAAATTGCAGATTTCAAAGTTGAGCTGGCCAGCAATCTCGATCCCGTGAAACGGGGCGATCGTACCTCCACCTTTGCAAGGGAATTATTAAAAAATAGTAAAGTAATCAATCTCGACAAAACCAGCCATCTCGATTCCGTGAACCGGGACTCTGGTAATGGCACTTCCGCCTCGACAAGAAAAATTATTAATAAATATTAAATGTGGCGGCCAAGGAGTCCCGGGCTGCGCTCTCGACGGGGAACGCGACACTCTTAATCGAGCGAGTCCCTCGGGATTAATTCCAGCCGAACGGCCGCGAGTTTCCGGACGCAGAGAAATCATTTTCACAGTCATCGGCGTTAACGACTTGCGTGTTGGCGCCCTGGTGGGGTGTTGGTTATTTGCGGCACCCCTTGCCGACTCGTTCCAGGGACTTAGCACGAGCTTAATTAGATTCTCGAGGGAAAGTGTCGTGCGCTTCGAGAGGAAGCTTTTCGCCGGAAGAGTTCGGATCCGCGGGGCGTAAAACGAGAAAATATTGCCTGCCGTCGCCGTAAAGCCGAGGAAGACGAAGAAGACGAGGAAGACGAGCAAGACGAGGCAAAAGGAGAGGAGAGAAATCGAGGATTCCAACGGCACGCGAGACTTATGGGAGACGCCTTGCCATCGCGACGCCCGGCGTCGTATCAATCACGAGAGACGAGAGGAACCGAGAGACGAATAGGTAGAGAAAGGGGGCGAAACGCGAGAAACGAAGAAAGGAGGGAAAAGCAACCTCAAGGAAGTAAACCGGAAGACAGGTGGGGGCGGAAATAGGAAGCGGGTGGCGGCGAGGGTGAAAAATTGAGCGAAAATGGGAACGCAGAGACCGAGTGATAAATAGCGGGAGACCTTAAGTGGGAAATAAAAATAGCTGACACCGAAGTGCCATTATGAATATATTTAATTATACGCGCTGCAGCCGCCACGATGGCGAATTTCCCCGTGGAAATTGCCGGAGAGTTCAATGAGCGGAAATGCGAGGCGCCCAAAGAAGTGGTCCTCGTGGAAGGGCGTCTCTTTCACGCTCGAGGGACCGAATCGCGATTGATTCGGCAATCGATACTCAGGAGGGAATTGGAAAGGTCGCTCCAAAGGTCCCGTGTCAAAGCGAATAGTCGATCGGTGGAGAGACCGACAGTTGGTCCAGACAAATCTCGCATTTGTACTCGTTGAATATTAATTCACTCTCTCTCCGTTGAAAAGAATCCACGATAAATTTACGGAACGTTCATTGGACATTTTACTACGATACTACGTGTTTTAAAATCATTCACAATTTTACAGGCAGCTTATAAAAATTCCTGATCAAGTGTGGAGTCGCGCGGAAAGGAAAAAAAAATATGTACACTTTTAGCAAAGGACGGCATTACTGATCTTTATCATTGGGCCGGGTGAGGTTAGGTCCGAGATGCGGTGGAAAAATTCTCCGGATTTTAGAAAAACATCTCTTCTCTTCGGGCGCCGAGCGTCCTATCTCGATGATTAGGGATGAATAATTTATCGGAGGGCTCTTCCTTTCCCCGGATTCCGAGCAAGCGTAAACCGTAACTTCGGTCACCTGGCAACGACGACGCCAAAGGAACCGAGGGCAACTACTATTGATCTACGTGCGATCGTTGATAAGCTCTGCTTAGCTGCCCTACGCGTTGCTCACCTAATGGCTGGCTGTGCCCTATCGCGCGCCATTGGCACGCACCCTCCTAAACACACAAATTAGGAATACAAACACGACCAGACATCGCCCTTGTGGAAACACCATCAGCCCTTCCTTCGTCGATCCGTTTTTCGGGGAAAGAAACGAGAAAATGAAGAAAAATTAACAGTTGTTACTTGTCTTCCAGAAGTGAACAATGGCAGAAATGTGTCCTGGTGGATCTGGTCTCTAAATAAAAAAAAAGAAGAAAAAACAGGGTTCGAAAAACGAATTTTCAAATATCAAGTACGGTTTCAGCATCTCTAAAATCGTGCATTAAAATTTCCGACGAGTCGATTAGTCCGTCTTTTAAAAAGTCTATCCGCGCACCTGACCGTTCAAGTCCACATTTAACGTCGCCTTAATCCTAGATAAATATATCCGTGTTGTATTAACGATGGAGGTGGAGGCGATGTCGAGGCAATCGATATTTACCGACATGATTCGGTAATTGCGTAGGTGTCGCGCTTGGCAGTCACGGCACGGCCGAAAATTTGATTTCTGAGCGTCGGGACAGATCGGTGACGTAACGCGGGCGGAATCCATAAACCAAATTCGAGCGGGTTTTACAGTCGATATAATGCGTCGCCATAAATCATTTAAACCGGGTCACATCCGAGTTTTCCGTCCGGCGGGTTGATCAGATCGCACCGCGCGGTCAAAGGGGAGGGTGGAAAGGGTCATTTCCTCCGTTTTTTATCCCGACCCCTTTGACTATCAAAACACCGAGTCGCTACCGCGAAGATTCGACGGCGGTGCCAAAAGTCGGGAAAAAAGGACCTCCTCGAGATGTAAAGAATAAATTACCGGCACCGGCGGTGCTATCGCGCGCATAAATATGTAGAGCTGGGGGATTTATCGCGCAGAAAAACGTCCGATCATACACGGCGAGCAAGAGTGCCTTATGTACCCCGGATAAAACGACTCTTTTATGGAGGCTGTAATGCCGTGGTCCATTCGTTTTATGGATTCCTCCTACACGTCCGTACACAATGGCCGCCGCGTACCAGAGGTCAGCCGCCCCGGAGTCGTCGGGCCCGAGGATAATTTATTTCCCAGGAATACGTTCGGTATACGTAAATATAACATTTGATATTTACATTGGCCAATCTCCGAAGGAGCAGACTTCGCGATACGTGAGTCGGGATGCGTTCAATGTACGTAGGGAATAATATTTTATATTTTTCAATGCTTAATCTCGAAATAAGTAGATACGAGCGATACGAGAGATAGAGCGAACGAGAGCCCCTTCGGATAACGAGGCGTCGCATTGAGGATTCCGTGGGCGTCGTGGATAAAAATTTCAAGAGGAAATTCCTGATTGGCGGAGACCTTCCACGAGGATCGCCCACAAGTCGAGGTGAAGTATGAAGCGAAACTTTTGCCGGAAAACTCGCGTATCGCTAGGAGATAAATACCGGCGCCCCTTGTTCGGCTCCAAAATGGACGCCCTGAGGAGGGCGTAGCTCGTTTCCCCTGGAGCCCCGTTAAAGAAATAACTTATTTACCAATGTGCTATCTCCCTCTTTTCCCCACTCTTTCTTTCTCTGTTTTCTCTCTCTCTCTCTCTCTTTCCATTTTCCTCAACTCAAAGGAAGGCCAAATCGAAGAGAAATTGCTCTGTGGAAGAAATCTTATCGAACCTAAGAAATATTTTGCTAATTCAAAGAATAATTCCTTGGCTCATATAAACTCGAACGAATCGGAGGGAACATTTATTCGGAATTATGACAATTTATTTGAGTCAAATAATTAAGTTCTCGATGCGTTTATCCCTAGTCGAGGAGAAATGTGTACTCTAATGTAAGGTTTCAAAGTTATTGCAATGTATAGTAAACGATTACGAGAGATTATTTTATGTGCGTACTACGTTTACACGACATTCACGTTACACGACCAAAACCATAGTTTACTATACGTAGAATAGAAGCTTTTTCAACGGTATTCCACTATTTTCTGTTTATTGGGAAGTTGGCGTACTATAGACGTGTCTCTAAGATTTCCAAGATGGCGGCCGACCGAAATTCAAACGCTCGATTAGCGGACTGTAACTCTGCAAGTTTTGAGAGATGGAAAGTAACCGAGGGAAGAAATCGTCATTTGGCCCTCTGCCAATAGTTTCCTTCAGCGGCGGCTCAATTAAACCACTTAGCACGCCCTTCTCCATACTTAATCTTCTTCTCATCCAGACCCCTCATTCTAGATCTGCCCCACATTCGGACCAGCAGGTTACTTCTTGCACTTCGACCTGCATACATATGCATGTCCCCCCTCATCTCTCTCATTCCAGGATGCACCAGGAGCCGTACTCTGGTCGGGCTCCAGGATGCGTTCCCGCAACCTGCATCCTGGTAGCAAACCGCGAGAATCCTTAATCCCTTTGTGAGCGCCTCCACCGCCCGACTGCAACTCGCGCTAAATCCCATCGTTGTAAACTCCCGAGGAAATCCCCGATGCACCGGGCTATTTTGCATTGTTTTATTTATGCGCCCGAGGTTGGTAGTCTCTTCTGTGCGATTTGTCCGCGGAAGGAGAGCCCCTCTTTGATCGCTCGAATCCTGGTAGCGGGAATAAACTCGACTTTCCCCCCTTTCATATCGCGCGTAGTTATTAATTATTAAACCCAATCCTCCACGTTATTTTCGAGCGTGGTCCTGTTGTTCACGTTATTTTCGGGGAATTGGTAATAACCTCTGTGTGGTTTGTCCACGGAAGGAAAGTTCCTCTTTGACCGCTCGGATCCTGAAGTGGCGATAAACTCGACGCTTCCCCCTTTAATATTGCGCGCCGTTATTAATTATTAAACTCTCCGCTAGTACCCGATAGGTACATTATGGGGAATAAAAGGGCGTTTTTGCCGGCTTGGTAGTGTTATTTCTTGTAGGTCCCGTTCTCCTCCCCTTCGGGAGAGAACCAGAAGTCCTGACCGCAGCCCCCGGGGCACCGGGACCGCTATGCAAATCGAACCAGAGGAGAAATGGGAAATCGGCAAGTTTCACCCCTGGTTTTGCCGAACCCCTCGGTGGTTTACACCGAGGCGTCATTGTGGAGGTTATTGTGGCGG